GTTTATGAGAAGCTAATACAGACATATTAACTAAAGAAGCAGAAAGGAAAAAAGAAAGAAATAGGTAACACCACAAAAAAGAAAGACGAATCATCGTGTAGTTGTGGTGAGTGATGTAGAAGATCGTGTGGTGTCTTTCTGCCCCATCAATGAATGGGTCTCCGCATCAGATTTAAAGGGAGAGAAAAGGGAAAACAAGAAAAGAAAAGAAAAAGGCTCACGCCTACTTCGGAACAGCCGGCGTGACCTGTGCATATGATTCTTTCTCATTTTCTGGTGCAGAAAAGGGAAAAACTACCCTGACTCTACCTTGCTGAGATGGCATCGTGCATGCCTTCGGAGATAATGATTAACATCTCAGAGAATAGATACCCAGGCGGGCAGGCAGCGGCAGGTTTATACGACGATCATACTTGTACCTATTACCCAGAAACAAGAGGGTTGATGTTGAGGGGGATGGTACGGTACAGCATTTGTCTTGACTATGTTTCATGTTTGGTAAGCGAGAGGAAATGTCGAAGGGAGCGAGCGTTTTGCGCCTACTAAGATGTGCATGGGATGGATGGATTCAAAAGGCCGGGCTTCAAGGGCAAGTGCAAGCGCAAGCGCAAGTGTCCTTACTAGTCAAAGCGAGTACAGAGTGGGTACCATACCATTCATTCCCTGAAGGATTTACCAACCATTGCACGAGCCTGAACCTCTGAGTGGGGCAAAGACCACTTCCTCGGTCCGAACGCTCTAAGCCTGACAAAGATTAAGCTATCTATCAACCTCCCCCCACCGATTTCAGCCGCGATGGCTGAACCTGCTTACCAATGGAGACTTCAACATGCACAATGATGTTCCTGCGGGAATAACCCTGATCCTGATTCCCTAATTTTTCTGCTTTCAACACCACCACTTACCACGCTGAAGGAATGAAACCCAGACTTAATCCTGCTTCGACGGTCATGTCTGCTTGGATTGCGACTCATCCAGACGAGTTTCTCGCATGATTTCATAGTACAGGCCTCCGTACATCTGCCAATGAAGAGTGAGACAGAGCCGACATGATGAACAGTAATTACCGCACACTACCGCACACTAACGAGGAAACCTCGCCGTTAGAGGCGTGGCGGAGCAGGCGGCCTACGGAGTACGTACTGCCTACTGAGGAATGAGCTAGAAAAAGTGGAGTTTGGGAAAGATATTACGTGACGAAGACGAGCGCCTCAGGCTCTCAGCAGCTTCCTTCAAAAGAGGGATATAGACGCCCTGAAGGAGGTGCCATACAGATCATCCTCCTGTGGGGCATGGTCTGCTCGTAGACTGACACTCGCCTTTCAGCAAAGACCGCCAGAAAGACCACAAGAGCCAACTGACTATACAGAGTAATGTTGTTTTTGCCCTTGGTCGCCACTGATGCAAGGGAGAAAACAGAACTGCATGGCTTCACGATGCCTTTGCTTGATTCATTTCACATTTGTGCGTGCCCATAGATGATTTTTGACAAGAGATTAGTTCGGGGTATAAACACACAGTATAACTGCATCTACTATGTATTTACCGGACGAGCAGAAAAGCAGGACGCTCCGGCCCTACCTCCCATTAAAGCACTTTGAAGAGTGGGAAAACCTGGAAAACTCCAGCATCTTACTCTGTCGCAGACAAAAGGCCGAGTCTCGTCATTCCCGTACCTCGTAGTCTTGATGCTACGCTACGTCAAGCTTTAAAAACCAAGCTCACCGCGTTGCTGGTGTACATTGCCCCAAGATCTATAAAACTCTTACTCAGAAAGCTCCTCGATTCGACTCTTCCACCGAGCATTTCTCTACCAACAACAGACCCAACCATGTCTTCCGTCAACGACTCCAACACTGCACTGGTCGTCCGCGTCAACGACGGCGAGTCCCCCCGCTTCTCCAAAGAACAAATCCCCATACCTCGCCCCGAGGCTCATCAGGTTTTGGTCAAACTTTCCCATGTTGCACAGAATCCCACGGATGGTATATCTCTCCTTTCTCCTCGGCGCCACCAGCCAGATCCTGCGCGCCCCTATCGAGACAGAAGACTTAACGCTGATCGCTAGTGCAATCCTTTGACGGCAACGCCTTCGGAGACGGCGTCGTTCTAGGCTGCGACTTTGTCGGCAAAGTGGTTGAGCTGGGACACGAGGTGACCCGACTAGTCAAGGGCGATATCGTTGCTGGTTTGATTTGGGGGGGTGAAATCAAAGGACTTGGCGCCTACAGCCAGTATTGTCTGGCGGACGAGCGCATCGCCTTCAAGGTGCCGGAAGGGATTTCCTGCGCAGAGGCTAGTACTGTCCCTCTCGCGGCTGCCACCGCCTGGTTAGCTCTTTTGTCCAAGGACTGTCTGGCTCTCGATCGATTCCACGCCCAGGGTACCAGTGTTCTGGTCTGGGGTGGCAGCTGTACGTGATCTCTACCCACCATGCTCGATATTTCCCCCTAAATCCCTTCTTTCCCTCCTCCCCGCCTTCTCCTCCCCCTCTAACCTCTCTGCAGCAAGTGTGGGTCTCTATGCCATCCAACTGGCATCACACTATGGTTTCGAGGTGGTGACCACCTGCAGTCCCCGGCACGCCGAACTGGTCCGGGCCTTCGGGGCCAAGCATGTTTTTGACTACAAGGATGAGACCACCATAGAGAAGATCAAGTCCGTCGTACCCAGTCTTCTGCATGCCTTCGATACCATTGGGGTCAAGGGCTCGTCGGGGGCTGCCTCTCGGTGTTTCGCGGCGGGTCCTGGGACCATCTGTACCGTGCGGCCTGGCAAAGCCAACACCCAAGATGTCCTTCAAGGCACCCAAGTGACCGACGTCTTGGTGTGGACCGCCTTCTTAAAAGACCACGCCTACGGTAAATTCAAGTGGCCCGTATGTGTTCGACCAATCGACCCCCCAATCTTCTATTTTGGGCCGAGCTAATGTGCCGGATTGGCCGGATTCCTGTAGGCCCACCAGCACGACCATGAACTCACCAGCGAGTTGTTTGAAAGGATTCCCGCCTGGCTGCAAAGGGGAGATCTCAAGCCAAGCAGGCCCAAGGTACTGGCAGGACTTGACTCGGTGCCGGACGGATTTCAAGAATACAGGGATGGAAAAGTCTCGGCGTTTAAGATAGTCTATGAGCTATGAAGGTCTAAATCGCCACTTAGTGGCACTCGATAGGATACTTTTTGTTCTCACTGTAGAGAATTCTGCTTAGCTGAATTTTAGTATATTGTGAATTTCTACAACAGCCTGATCCAATGGGTATGCTGTTGCCAAATCACGCACCTACGGCTCGAGACGGGCTAGATAAGAGGCAGCCCTAGTCTTTCACCAAGCAGCAGTCGTCCACTCAGGCAGTAGTCGTCCATGTAGCAATGGGTCACCGTTTAGTCATTAGTTCTTCATGACAGTTCAGTCCTTTCTTGTCTGGGCCTGCCGCCTGACAAACTGAGAGCAAGAAAGCCAAGAATGAATCTCGTCCTTGGCCCGTCCTTTCTGAGCCCGATTCGACAAGCTCAGAGGCCTGTCAATCAACTTCATTCATGTCCCCACTTTCCGCTCCCCCGTTCTCCCGCTTTGAATGCATCTTAGGCCCAGGAGGCGAGGAAGTTTTTGCACACACAATGGTTTGCTGGTCTCGAAATGCATTGATCGGAGCCATATGGGTGAAAATGCCCCTCCGTCTATTGATACGGATTCCAGTCCCGTTATAGTAATTCCCAGATATCTTGACACACGAGGTATGTCGATGCTTCTGAGACATTCCTCCTTTGTGAAACTAGTGCTAGTATACGCACGAGCCGTGCTGCTCTGAAGAAACTTTATAACCTACTATTTGGGAGTTGGGAATCCGTTCAAAAATGTTATATCAGCTGGGTCTAAATTTAGGGCTAAGAATTAACTGAATCCTATTCGACCCGACGCAATACGAGAAGCCCGAGAAGCTAGAAAAGCCAGACAAGGCAGCTGCCTGGCTACTAACAGTTAGTTTGGCCGATGGCATGCGCATCTGAATCCTCTGGGTGAAATCGGAATAGCTAAGTAGATGCGATGCCAATCCGTCTCGGCGCTAGCCGCTCCTTCGGCTCCTGCCAATGCCTGATGTATCCGCTTGTGGAACTAGAGGCGCTGACGGCGCACAGCCCGTGCATGAGAATGGTGCATATCTGGGAGCTTTGCAAAGCCTCATGTAAGACACGACCTTGCCTATTCCCTCCTGAAGACTCCGCTGAGTGGTTCTGACGATGCTGGATGCAGTGTAGTCTGCAGAAATGGAGACGGTCGAAGCGAGTACGATGGGTTGAAAACGGGATGAGGACTGCTTTATCGCCGCAACCATGCGAGTGATTTTCATCCTGCGATAGCCACACGAGGGCTTGATGTGATGGGAGCGCGAAGAATTTTCCGCACTACGCCATTCAAGTGTAGGGCTTATAGCCAAGGCAATAGTGATACAGTTGTCTAACCGTGGCCTCGAAAGCTATATAGAGGGACTGCTTCGCCCATCTCCTCTCACTTCTTCTTCTATCCCAAGTAAGGCGCCATTCCCAGAGCTTCTTGATCAACCCAGAGTGTGAGCACCTTTACCATCCATCACCCAGCTGCTGCGATCATTTCAAAAATGCTCTGGAGTATCCTCGCGACTGGCTTCTTGGGCGTTGCCACCCAGGCGGCCGTGCCGGCCACTGGTACTGCCGCATCCAAGTCGGAGCAGATCAAGGCATTGCTTGGGCCCCAGCTATCTGAGAATGCTACGCTAATCTTCCCGGACTCGACAGAGTGGGACGAAGTTACTGATCGTGCTTCTGCGCCCCGCGTCCACCCGGGCTATCTCGCCGTGGTCGATATAGCTGCCGAGGAGGACGTCGTGAATACGGTACGTGAGGAGCTGTTGAGGAAGACCAGGACCGGCTGACTGTCTGGTTTTTACAGATCAAAGTCGCCAATGAGATAGGAGTCCCGTTCCTGGCCATAACCGGCACCCACGGTTGGACCGATGATCTCAGCAAGATCCAAGACGGCATTCAGATCCGGATGCGTGGCCTCAACCAGGTAAAACTCAGCGCTGACGGTCAAACTGCTATTGCCGGTGGTGGTGTCATTCAATACGAGGTCGTCCAGACTCTCTATCCGCATGGAAAGCAAGCTGGTATTCCCCCCCCCCCACGTGTGTCTTCCCCCGTGCAATATCTCGCAGCAGCACTGACAAGCATGGTTTACCCCCTAAAGTCCACGGTCTCTGCGAGTGCGTCTCCATCATGGGTCCGCTGCTGGGTGGTGGCCACAGCATGCTCCAGGGGGCTCACGGTTATGCTGCTGACAACTTGGTCTCGGCTAAAGTGGCTCTGCACAACGGTACTGTTGTCACCGCCTCGGCCACCGAGAACGAAGATCTTTTCTCGATGACCTGGCAAAAGTGGTATACATCATTGCCATTGCAGCTCGAAAATTTGAATAAATGGAACAGAATTCCATCTCACACACATCGTTGGAAGTGATTGTAATCCAGCTGTAGAAACAAACCTCTTGGTCGAGTCCGTCTTTCAGGCTAGGACGGATCTGGCTCGGAATAACGGATAAATTCACGTGATCTAAATCCGATCCTCCCAACTGCCTCCCAATGAATGACGCATCACGATGAACCTTCCATTTTAACAAGACACAACGACTCAGCCAGCCAACTTGCCCCGTGCAAATGGCTGACGCCGAGTCCCCGGCTCAATCAACGGGTTGGCGGATCGCCAAGGCATGTCAGGAGTGCAGGAAGCGGAAGATCAAATGCAACGGAGTCAACCCCTGCAAAACCTGCCAATTGCGGGGGACCCCATGCATCTACCGCGATGTCGTCCGCCAGCGGAGGAAGAGATATCAATATCAAGCGAGACTCGATACTGACAGGCCTGGGTCTGATGGGGCCACCACTACCACTACTCGGCCCGACGAGGGCAGTGCTGCGCGGCAGTGGTCTCCCGGTCCGTCACACCACCAAGCACAAGCACGTCGGCGGAACCCATCGGTCAGTTTGAACGTCAACAACAGCGTCTCAGCCACCCACATGACATCGCCCTCATGCAAGGTCCAACTGTACTATGGCTCCACCTCGCACTTTGCCCTCATGCACGAGGTGTACAGAGGCTTGGTGGCCAACAGTCAGTCGGCCGAGGTGGATCGGCCCCACGGCGAGGTTGAAGAAGCCGGAGCTGGTCTGGACATGTTTAGCTTTCGTCGCGTCTTCTTCGGTACACCCTCAGACTCCCATGATGCCACCAAGACCGTTGCGGGCCTGGACTCTCAGCTGCTTTTCTTGCCCTATGAGCTAGCCAAATGCTTTCTCGAACGTTTCTTGGCTACCCTGTACAACCTGGCCCCGTTGTGGCCCAAGGAAGAGTTCTATTATCAACTGGATCAACTGTATGGCCAAGGGCCGGATGTTCGTCCCGATAAAATCACCCAGTCAATCCTGCTCGTGGCCATGGCAACTGGAGCACTGGCCACCCAGCATCACAGCTGGGGTGATACGCTTTACGATCGCGTCAAGCTATCCATGCATTCACTTGATGATGTTGTGAACCTACAAACCATCCAGCTAGCGCTCATCATGATAAGTGTTCGACGAGACTGTTGCGAGTCGATGACGCTGACCTCTCTTCCCAGCACGCCCATTATCAAAGCGAACAGGGCAGGCCCAACTCTACATTCCTGCTCATGGGCACAGCCACACGAAAGGCTATCTCAGCTGGGTTGCACAAGGAAGCCCCAAGTGCGGGCGAAGACGCCGCCGACAGCACCGAAAAACGACGTGCTACATTCTGGTCCCTCTGCTTCTACGAAATGTAAGGGACTAGCCTCTACCGTGTACCCTGTCTTGCCCACCGCTGATTTTATGCACAGCTGGACGTGTTTCCACCTTGGACGACCAAGCTCGCTGTCATTAAAGGATGTCAGTATCGCCCCTCCTGAGGATTCTTTCCTCCAGGTCCTCGTCAGCCTTGGCAAGGTTGTTGCTCGATCGGCGTCGGAGATGCACGGCCGCCGCCATGAGTCCTTGCTACAAATGTGGAAGATTGCTAGATCAATCATCGACGAGCTCCGCGGTTTCGACGGCTTGATGAGACAGGCGCTGGGCTTTGGGCTGGACAAATGTGCCCAGCCAGGGAGCTTGGGGGTGCGACAGATCATTGCGACCACTCGTAAGATACATGAAACCAGGATCCTTGACGGAGTTGCTGATTGCCACAGTATATTATCACACAATTCTTCTCACCTTTCGACCATTTCTGATATTTCGTGGACGGTGGCAACAGGATATGAAACGGTCATCATGCGTTGCGGGTACGAAACGAGCGACTGAAATTCCCTCATGGCTCAACGACGCCTGCAACCAAGCCCTCAGCGCTGCATGCCGGACCATTCATCATCTATGCGAAGCATCGGCGTGCAATGAACTTGTTAGAGTATGTTGTTCTTTGAAGAGCTATTTGAGCATCAGAAGGCTGATGACCTTATAGGAGTTGCGGTATCATGGCTACTTCTTAGGCAACTCATCTTTTGCGCTCATGTACGACCTCATGCACGGTGAGAATCTTGCGGCCACACACCTGCCGTGGATCCATGCTGCCGTGCAAGGAATGTCACAGATGCGGCCTGGGGATCCGATCAAGAGTTCCATTACCGCCATCCAAACTGTCTTGAGGAAACTACACCCCTCGTATGAGTGGGTAGCACCGGAAACCGCCAAAAGTCAGATGTATGATTATGAAAACACACCACCCTTCAATCCACGGCGACATCCGACGTCCGCCTCCCACCAAGGGCAGAGTTTCATGCCAATGGCTACACCCGGGGATCCGGCGACAGTAGGGACCCTCCCCATGCTGTCTGATCTACAAGGAAATTTGTTACAGGACGACATACGCATCCCCAGCGGTAGCGTAGGCAGTGGAGATGATCTTCTCGATTTCACACAATCCGACATGGGCTGGGACTTTGATTTCTCCACGATGGATCTGGAGGCCTTCTTTTCCATCAATGCAGACCTAGACCCGATGGCGTTCTGAAATAGTGCCTGGCGCATGATCGAACACGATAGGCCCTGGCACACTGCGCTGCTTGGGCGACGCTGGCATTGGGACCTACCTTTGCCGCTACCCTTTGCCACGGGTACAGTACATATCGGCGAAAGACAAAATAGACAGGACTAGTTGATCCTTCGGTACCCAGGATTTGGAATAGCTCATTTGGCCGGCGAGCGGTTGAAGATCTGGACGAATGGAATGCGTGACACCAGCGTGGACTACCACCCCTGGACCTTAATAGCCAAGATTCGATACAGACTTACACCGAGCTCGATGCATTGCAATGCATTCGAGCCATTTCCTTGATTGAGCCGGTAGATCAGCCTAGCGCTGGTACCCGGCGATGATACATCAACCGCGGGTACGGGGTGAACCGGGCGGTGTTAAGGTATTGTGGGTTTCAGGTTTCCATCCGTGCCGGGAGGACAGTTCATCCCTGGAGATTGTGCGTTGCGGGTCTAGGAATCGGATACTACCGATCGATTATGTGGGATGGATCACTGGCCTGCCAACTTTTTTTCTTTCCCACATGTGAGGCTAGAAAGGTGCTCTTTGGACATGCAGACAGCGGATCATGCAGCTGTCTCATAAGCACGATGATAGCTCACTTTCCACGCCTGTTTCTACGGTCTAAAGACCTTCTAGATACGGAGTACTTCCCATTTCTATAGTTAGGTGTTGGTCTAGCCCCAAGGGGTAAAAGTACTTTTCCCCACTAGTGATTTGTTGGGGTGGGGATAATTATCATCTGGGACCTTGGAGATACGTTGTATTGCAATCCGCAGTGCCTGCGAGGATTTACCATCATGAATGATTTCAAATCGTGAATCATCACCATGAATGATCACATAATCATGAGTAGATAATCAATAATTGGGTGCCTCAGGCATGGGGTGTTGAAAGCGGAAAGATGAGGCAAGAACCTCGAAGAAAGAAGTGAAAGAAGCTGAAAATGAATGGAGGCCAGGCCGGCACGGGCGGGAATCGGGATTGAAGCCGCGAGCTGCGGGCGAGTTTGTTAGTACTTCGTTCCCCCGACGATCGCCTATTTTCTACTCTTCTCTGTCTCTCCTTCCATTTTTTTTCCCTTTCCTCTTTGCCTTTTCCGGCCACATCGTGCACAACTCTATTGAAACCACTGTGGAGTTCTCGCTAAGTTTCCTTTTTTTCCCCCTTATCGTTTTTCTCGTGAGCACAGTTACATCCGTCCTTCCATCTATCTATTCAATTATCCACTTTCCATCGATCCCACATTCCAACTACAACCTCCCCCTCTCGCGCAATCTCCACGAAGCCCCCATCGCCGGTCCCTCCCCGAGCCCGCTTCCTCGGGTAAGAATTCCTCCCAGGATTCTCGCTTGGTTTCTCCGATTGACAGATATAAATAAGGCCTTATTCTGCGCCTCGTAGGGAATACTTCGGAGCCGAATTTCTTCCCCCCACAGGAAGCTTTTCGGCCGGATCATGCGCTCAGAGTCGTCATGGTCGAACCGTGGATCACCAACGGTCGTTCCCGGAAATTCACCAGGTAGAAAGCCAACGCACCGAGTGATTCGGGGCCGTCGATGATCCCCTTACCCAAGCTGCGACCCTATGAGCGGAGACGCTGGACGGCCTAGACCCATTTCCGCACCGACTCCACTTCTAAGCCCACTTGGCTGGGGGGGGCTTTCCTGTTCAGCTCCGACGGTGGCCAATCTCTCAACTTTATTTGACCTTCAAAAGCTGCGCGGCAATCTCGGCCCTTTGCACGCACTCACACGATATAGCTTAACCTCTCCGCTGTGCCTGTCATTCTTCCTCATCGTCTTTCTTCCCACCGGGGTGATCGGACGAGCTCGTATCATCACTTGCGATGCCATAAGGACTCTGGCCTTCAGCTATTGCGAATAGCGGCGTGCTAGCTCTGCCCTTGATGGCTCCAGATCAGACCAAGTAGGATCTCTTCCTGCCGCTATCTGGCGGCCCCAACCGGCCTTTTGCCTTTTCCATCCCACTACACTGGACAATCGACTAACAAGTTGGATTCTTGTGCAGGGTATTCAGCTTCCAGGCTATAGACCGCACGGATGGCCTGCCGCAGCCGCTGTCGGCGTCGTCGCCAGCCGACGAGCCAGACAGCTCATCGAAACCTCGTCCCCCTCCAGACTCAACCCTGACCGCTCTTTCTCGGCTCGGTGTATTGCAACTGAACTGCAAATGTGCGTTTGTGGCGTCAATCGAGAATGGACAGACGCACATCATCGCGGAAGCAGGGTCATCTGTTCTCGGAGACAACGAGACATCTGCTCTAGGACTCATGACACTAGGTCTACGCTCCGACGAGGAGGTGATATCTCATTCCCACCATCCGCCCAAGGACGCATCCACCATTATTCGGGACATTTCCGTGCAGACCGACGTCAAATCACACGCTTTCCTTCAACAGCACCCTCGTGCCAGGTTCTATGTGGAGGTTCCGGTATGCAGTTCGTCTGGGGAAGTCATTGGTACATATGGTGCTGTAGATACTCAGGCTTGGCCATCTTTTGGCGAGGCCGAATTGGCGGGTCTTCATGAAATTTCCAATTCGGTAGCACACCACCTGGAAACCGTCCGGACTGCGCGTCGCCAACTCCAGGCGGACCGTTTACTTACGGGGCTTACGGCTTTTTCTCAAGGCCAGGCCAGTACACAAAACGCCGATTGGAGCAGTCGGCGGAAGAGCATCGCATCGAACAGGAATTCGCCTCGATCCCTGGATGTGCCAGACATTGCTCGTCTGTCGGTCTCGTCCACGGCGACCCGGGAAGTCTCACCTTCTTCGGGTAGACAGCCGGGAAATGCTCAGGACTCGTCCTTCTTTCAGCGTCGACCCTCGGGTACCCCCAAGGCGGCCTCGCCCTGGGAACAGTCGCAGAATCCTAGGAAAAGGTCGGATGACACGAACAAACTGGTGATTGTCCCGGAATATACCGCCACCTCGGAGAAAACCTCACAGCTTTTCACTCGTGCCAGTGCTTTGTTACAAGAATGCATGGAGTTGGATGGGGTCATCTTCGTAGATGCATCCCGGACTAATTCCCGCAGGTAAGGCGTAAAGTCCTCACACCGTAAACTATCTACCTAACCTGGACACAGTAGCTCGACTGCTAGCGTAGGTGACTGGGACATGCTCTCCAGAGATAGTGACTTGGGGATGTCCAGTCGCTCGCCAAGTCTCTCCTCTCATGGACAATGGGCCGAGCGGTCATGCGAGACGTTGGGTCTCGCCACATCCGACCGGGTGAGCGAGGGCACCGCCAACTCGCTTCGACCAGCATTGACCGAGGGCTTGTTCCATGACCTTTTCAACGCTTGTCCCTACGGGGAGATCTTCAACCCTCCACAGTCAATCAACCTTTCACCGCTGAACTCATTGAATCGACGCAACAGCCAATCCCGGAAGGAGAGCGACGTTACTTTGCGTCAGTCGGTCGAGACTCGGCTGGCACAAACGTATCCCGAAGCCCGGTCCTTCATCTTTCTGCCGTTGTGGAACTGGAACAAATCGCGCTGGCTCGCCGGGACACTGATATGGACCTGTGACGAAGAACGCTTGTTCGATCAGGATGATCTTCACTTCCTGAAAGTGTTTGGTGACTCTGTGATTTGCAAGTATTGTCAGATTGACTGGACGGCGACCGAGAAATCCAAATCGGATCTGCTCTCCTCAGTCAGCCATGAATTGCGGTCGCCGTTGCATGGCATGCTTACAAGCACGGAGCTTCTGCAGTCGACTGGGCTTGAGTCCGCTCAGCAGGACATGGTTACCATGATTGAGACGTGCGGTCTGACATTGCTGGATACCGTAAACCATCTGTAAGTTCAGCTACATGCTATTTCACCAATCGACTGACTTTTTCAAGGCTTGACTTCACGAAGATCAACAACCTAACCCTTGTGCACAAGAAAGCCGGGGCCAATGGAAGTGCACTTGACAATCTGATGACCGATTTCGATCTGGACACGCTCATAGAGGACGTGGCCGACTCCTTGTATGTCGGCCATCGCTCTCTCATTAATGCTTCCAAGATTGCGGGTCGGTACCTGCAGACCGGCACGTCTATGACGAGTGGAGCTGCAAAGACCAACAACCCCGATGATCTGTCTGTCATTATTCAGATCGAGGATCTCGGCTCGTGGAACATTCAGTCATTATCAGGTGGCTGGCGCCGGATTGTGATGAACATCCTAGGCAATGCTTTCAAGTTCACTCGGTCGGGATATATCGAGATCTCCTTGGCGAAGAAGGTGCATAGAGATGTGGGATCCAAGAAGGTCTTCGTGCACTTTTCTGTGAAAGACACTGGAAGTGGTATTGCGCCTGAATTTCTTGAGCATCAGCTGTTCACGCCATTTGCACAGGAGAATATCTTGACCGAGGGGGTTGGGTTGGGTTTGAGCGTGGTGAACCAAGTGGTGACCTATCTGGGGGGGGAGGTAGAAGTCAAAAGCACTGTTGGCGTTGGAACGCAAGTCGACGTTTATGTGCCTCTGGACTTTGTGGCGGAGACGTTCGCACCGTCCGAACCTATTCCTAGCTCGATTACGCGGGTTTCGTTGGTCGGATTGAACGCCTATGCAGACTTGAGACAAGCCCCGGATGGGCTTCTGCGGCCGGAGGCAAAGCGCAAATTGGCTCTGCGGAGCGCGTTAAGCAATGTGCTGTTGAGTCAACCTGGGTGGATGCTGTCCTTTGCCGACTCAATCGACAAAGCATCCGGCGACATTGGGGTGATCGAGGAGTCCGCGCTGAAGGCGCTTCACGAGAAGGGCGCGACTCAACTGAAGTTCAACACAGTCATTGTGATCGGGGAACAGGGTGTCTCCATCCCGCCCGACCTCACTATCGAGGGTGCCGACGTGATCTACATCCCGCAGCCGTAAGTATCCGCCCGTGACCAGGCGACAGTCCCATGCTGACAATAGAATAGTATCGGTCCGCGGAAGATCATCCAGGCCTTGCAAAGGATCAACGAAGCTCGCCCGCAGGCCCCTTTGGCGGAGCAGGATTATATTATTGGTCCATTCTCCGGTGCTCAGCGTGGACGCAGCTTGTCGGATGCCTTCGCCCTGGCCAAGGGGTCCGAGTCGCCGCCAGTGGTGCGGGAGAATATGTCCGACTTCGCGCCGGACATGTCGCGGAAATCGAAACAAAATGACCTTCACGTGTTGATCGTCGACGACAATGATATCAATGTCAAGGTACGTCAAACATCTCAACGAGACTATTGTTTGGTTGTCCTCTGGGTCCATGCGCTAACAGTTCTAGGTCTTGACCACCTTCATGCGCAAAATCGGCTGCAGTTATGAGACCGCCACCGATGGCCTTGTCGCGTTGGAAAAGTTCAAAGCGTCGACGAAACACTTTGATTACATTCTTATGGGTATGCCAGCGCTCTCTCCATGCTCCTCACCAGGATAGCTACTGACGGCGACATCCCAGACATCTCCATGCCTGTCATGGACGGGATCGAATCCTCCAGCAAAATGCGGGAATTCGAGGAGGAGAACTCGCGCCCGCGCACGGCCATCATGGCGGTTACCGGGGTGGCGTCGAGCGAGATGCAGCAGCAGGCCTTCGCGGCGGGGATCGACGACTATCTGGTCAAGCCCCTGTCGCTTCACGACTTGAAACGAATAATGAATATTGCATGATTGTGTTTTGCGGGGCAGGGAGCTTTGGTGCGGGGTGAAAAGTGCGGGATCGTCATCCATAGAACCCATGTTTTTGGTGTTGGTGTTGGGGGTTGGGGGTTGGGGATACTTCCGGTTTGCTTTTTTGGTTTCCTGCGGGGATCTAGATGTATAAAATAGACGCATTGATGGCTTGCTTGCTTGTTTGCTGGCTTGGCTTGGCTTGGCTGATAGGAGTTGAGGTATCTTCATGCAGTCAACACATTACTTCGAACTTGTAGTCCTGATACGATACCGGTATGATACCCACTCGCACTGCATGGTTTGCATCGACATGTCATGTGACCCAGACCTGCAGATAACCGTGGAGGTCAGATGACTTCACCGCCGGTCCAATCACGGTTAGCGGCGGCGATCTCCGACGAGGAGCGAGGCTTCTTCCCTGCTGGCTTCTCTGTATACATACTTAGTCAACTGTCGTCCGTTCGTCCTACCTTCGTCTGCCTCCTTGCTTCTATATTTTCATTCTTCCCCTCTGTTCCTTATCTAACTATCTTTCTTTGTCTTACCTTATATTCGAAGACTCTGACCTTCGCCAGCGAAAATCACCTGTAACGAATTGACTGCCGCACCTGCGCCCCTCTTTAAGCGGGGAACCCAGCCCGTCAACACCATGACCACCCGCTACCGCGTTGAATATGCCCTCAAGTCCCACCGGCGGGACCAATTGATCGAGTGGATCAAAGGCCTTCTGGCAGTACCATTCGTCCTGCACTCGCAGCCCACCGCCGTCTACCAGGAGCACAGCGAGAACCTGATCGCGGTCGCCGCCGACACCCACCAACGGTATGCGGAGATCTTCCGGGACGTGGAGAAGCTGATCAGCGACCACATCACGCACCAGGCCCAACAGGCGCCCGGCAAGTCCAAGCTCAAGCTGCTGGTGCCGACGGTGGGCTCGTTCTTCACGCCGCTGCCCCTCGAGGACGCCTTCAACTACCAGGACCGGCAGCGGTTCATCAGCCGGCGGCGGTTCGTGGCGCCCTCGTTCAACGACGTGCGGCTGATCCTCAACTCGGCGCAGCTGTTCGGCCTGGCCCGCACCACCGGCGTCGACCTGGTCACCTTCGACGGCGACGTCACCCTCTACGACGACGGCGCCTGCCTGACCGATGACAACCCCGTCATTGCCCGCATCACCCGCCTCCTCCTGACCGGCCGCAAGGTCGGCATCGTCACCGCCGCCGGCTACACTGAGGCCGCCAAGTACTACGAGCGGCTGCGCGGCCTGCTGGACGCCATGCACGCCTCCCCCAGCCTGACCGACGCCCACCGCGCCGGCCTCGTCGTCATGGGCGGCGAGAGCAACTTCCTCTTCCGCTACGACCACCACTCCCCCCACCGCCTCGTCTACGTGCCCCGCTCCGAGTGGGTGCTCGAGGACATGCGCGCCTGGCAGGAAGCCGACATCACCGAGCTGCTCGACATCGCCGAGTCCTCGCTCCGCGCCTGCGCCGCCAACCTCAGCCTGCCCGTCGCCGTCCTCCGCAAGGACCGCGCCGTCGGCGTCTACCCGCTCGACCGCAGCAAGATCACCCGCGAGCAGCTCGAGGAGACCGTCCTCGTCGTGCAGAATACCGTCGAGCGCTCGCCCGTCGGCTCCCGCCTGCCGTTCTGTGCTTTCAACGGTAAACCCCCCTTGTTTCAGCTTCCCTGTCACACCCAGCCCTGAGTCATACGGGAAAGGCTTTCCGGGGGAGAACCCCGGACCCCCTTTCTTTCAGCTTCCCAGCAAAGCTCAATCAGAGTGAACATTGCACAGCCGGGGCGATAGTACTAACAGCTTGTCAGGCGGCAACGACGTGTTCGTGGACATCGGCGACAAGTCCTGGGGTGTGCGGGCGTGCCAGAAGTACTTCGGCGGCATCGAGCCCGCGCGCACGCTGCACGTGGGCGACCAGTTCCTGTCGGCGGGCGCCAATGATTTCAAGGTGAGTGGGGTTCGCGTCCTTGTTCGATCAGGCAGGCTGACAGAATGCTAGGCGAGGCTGGCGTCGACCACGGCGTGGATTGCGAGTCCGGCGGAGACGGTGCAGCTCCTGGATGAGCTGGAAGGGCTGTCGTAGGACCTGGCGATTGTGTTTGTTGCTGCTTGTCGGGCAATAGGACTGATGGCTCGTATTGCCCGCAGCAGAAGTCTAACTAATTCTTTGTTGTGATTTATCAGCGTTAGTTTGTCTGGGAGCGATGCTTTATAATCAAACGCCGGTTGCCGAGCGGGATTTCCAAGCCGGGCCTGCTTGTATCACTAATCTAGTTCCATGTACTCCGTACTCCGTATGTGCAAGCAAGTCAGTGCTGCCTAGTAGACCCTGGAGTGTCGGTCTGCGATCTGCAGCAAAGTGGGTCGACGCGAGCGCGTCAGCACGCAAAGCCGATGGTCTGTCTGGTTAGTCGTACACGCACATCGCACATCGCACCCACTCCAGCCAAGGTTACAGAGTATAAGGTGATGGAACGGGTAGACTATAAATCCACCGACATCCGACTCCACCTACAATTATTCACATCGCCAATCGACCAACCCACCCCCCCCAGACCCCCCTTCCTCCGCAAGACAAGGCAAAATGCCAACCGTCCTCATCCTCGGCGCCTCCATCGCCGGCCTACCCATCGCGCACGCCCTCCTCAAGAACAATGCCACTCAACCCAAGAAAACCAAAGTCATCCTTGTCAACCCCTCGCCCGACTTCTTCTGGATGATCGCCGCCCCGCGCATCCTCACCAAACCCGCCGCCTTCCGGCCGGAGCAGTACCTCATCCCCATCGCGCCGGGGTTCGCAGCCTATCCCGCCGGGGAATTCGAGTTCGTGGAGGGCGCCGCGACGGCGGTGGACTTTGCGGCCAAGAAGGTGGATGTTGCGCTTTCGGCCCCGACCACTACCTCAGCAAGTCCAACGGCAGGGACAAGGACATTGGGGTATGACTACCTCGTCCTCGCGACGGGGAGTACCACGCCTTCTTCGATCGCGACGCACACCGAGACTGCGGGGGGGGTGGCGCTGTATCCGTTCAAGCCCCCTCCTCCCCCTTCGACCACCCCCAACCCTACCCCAGCCTCCCTAGGGGAGTTGATCAGCAAAGCGCAAAGCAGCATCCGCAACGCGAAAAGGATCGTCATCGGCGGCGCCGGGCCGATCGGGCTCGAGACGGCCGGCGAACTCGCTGACCTCCCGCACCGACCGTCGGTTACTCTTATCTCCGCTGCTGAACGCGTGCTCCCGGGGTCAGCTGAGGGCGCGAGCAGGGCGGCGGAGACGCAACTCGCGGCGAAGGGGGTGTATGTTGTTACCGGGCGCAGGGTTCAGAGTTACTCTCCAAAGGAGGGAGTGGTGAGATTGGATAATGGCGAGACCGTTGAGACGGAGGTCTATATCCCGACGACCGGAGTACTCCCTAACAACTCTTATCTACCGCAGGAGGTGCTGGATGAGAAGGGGTGGGTGGTAGTCGGCGAGGAGTTGCGCGTCAAGGGGGTGGAGGGGGTCTGGGCGGCGGGGGACATTACCTCCCATCCTGCGAGGTTGGCGCAGCGGGCCGGGGAGCAGGCGGGCATTGTGGCGAATAATCTGGTGGTGGAGATCAATGGTGCTGGGAGGAGGAAACGCTTTGCGCCGGGCAGGGCGATGATGGTTGTGCCGATTGGGGCGGCGGGGGGCACGGGGGAGTTGTGGTTTGGGTGGGTGCCGTTTGCTTGGTTGGTGAGGTTGGTCAAGGGGGAGGGATTTTTTTCATTGCCAAGGCTAAAAGCCTTGTCTTTTCTTGATTGTCGTGTTCAAATAATAAGGGGGGGGTACGGGGGTCTCCCCCCGTAATCTCTATGGTCTTTTATTGATGGGGGTTAATGCTTAATATACTTGAGAAGGGGAGTCCGGGGGCCTCCCCCGGTATCTCATGTCTACATTTTTCTCTTAAGGGTTAATGTTTGATTTAACTGAGCAGGGGGGGTACGGGGGTATCCCCCCGTTACTTTCTTATATTTACTTATTTTTCCAATAAGTTAATGCTAATTTAATTAAGAAGGGGGTCCGGGGTCTCCCCCGGTTAGTATCCAGATATCTCTGTGTTAGGTGTTTTGGAGTATACAATGAGAGAAGGGGTCTATATTTCCATGTACATTTCCATGCATTCGATGTTTACTATGGATGTTTTTACTGGGAAGCCTTACGCGAAGTATACATTAGGGTGGAGATTACCAGGGAGCTGAAAGAAAGGGGGGTCCGGGGGTTCTCCCCCGGAACATATTCATGCTAGGTATACATTAGGGTTGAGGTTTACTGGGAAGTTGAAAGAAAAGGGGGGTCCGGGGGTTCTCCCCCGGGAAGCCTTACCCTAGGTATAGATGAGGAGTGGTTTGGGTGGGAAGGTGCAAAGGGGGTCCTTACTCTGGGTATACACCAGGGTCAGTCCTACGGGGAAGGTGCGAGGAGGAGGGTAAACATCAACAAGTCCATTGATGAACGAATCATTATCCATATCGCATAACACCCATCACTGTATCGATCTTTTCATGCCTCATGCCACGCTCGTATCTAGCTCTAGCCCAGCCCGGCCTGGCCTCGTCCCGTGTCAGCCTTCTCACCAACCTAAGCCGCGTAAGAAGTCCAGGCAGCCGCGTTCTCCTTGCTAGACCGGCCGGACAGGATGTTGACCGTGTCCTGCAGCTCCAGCCAGAACTCCGTCTTGGGCCGACGACGCGACCAGTCGGTCTCGGTCGCCTCCAGCCCGTTCGCGCCGCCCATGGCCGAGAACAGCACCTGCGAGCCCTTGATGCCAATCACCGAGGCGGACATCTCGTCCGCGGCAATCTCCTCCGGCGACTTGCCCGCGTAGCTCTCCAGGTGGATCATACACTTGGTGGCCATGCGCAGCGCGCGGATCCGGTCCATCGGCGACGGCTTGCCGCCCTGCTGGAAGTGGCCGGGCACCGCGGCACGCGACTCGAAGCGGCCCTTGGCCTCCTCCTTGAGGATGTCGGCGATCACCTGCGTGGTGTACGTGTTGGAGGCACACTCGTTGCGCAGAATGATCTTGCCGGCGCGGTTGGCGCCCTTGTCGCGGGTGAAGCTCTCGCGCAGGAAGTCGATGTCGCGCGACAGCGTCTTGATGTCGATGCCCTCCTCGGGAATGTACACGGCCGCCGCGCCCACCGACAAACCAGCCGTCGTGGCAATGTAGCCCGACTTACCACCCTGGGTCTCGATGACGAACACACGACGCCGCGAGGACGAGGCCGACTGGCGGATGATGTCGCAGAAGTCGATCAGGGTGTTGAGACAGGTGTCGCTACCCAGCGAGTACTCCGTACCGGGCACGTTGTTGGAGATCGTGGCCGGCAGCACGGTCATGGGGATCTTGAAGGCGGGGAACTTCTCGCGCGCCTGGCGCAGCTGGCTGACAGCAGTGAAGGCCTCGAATCCACCGACGACGAACAGCGCATCGAACTTGAACTTCTCGAAGCACTTGGCGGTCGTCTCCAGGTCCTCACCGGGCAGGCTGCGGTTCGTTCCAATGTCGGATCCTCCCTCGTTGACCCAGCTGTCGGACTCGATCCACTTGATCTCGCGGACGGAGCTGACCGGGGTGTCGGCGTGGTGGCGGCAGAGACCGGGGAAGCCGTTGTGGATCGCAAGCGGAGTGTGGCCGCGGGTCAGACAGTAGGCGACGGCGGCGCGGGTGGCCTGGTTCATACCACCAGCGGGGGCACCGACGTGCACAATCGCGATGCGCATTCTCTGTATTCGATCAGCACACGTGCCGAAAGCCTCGCAGCAGTCTTCTTACCTTGTTCTCAGGGAGCAAGAGCTTCGGGTGGTCGGGGGTGGAGGTGTTCTTGTAAGAGAAGTGGTATTCCTTGAATTCCGAGTCGCGGAGAGCCATGGCCTTGTCGAACTCCTTGTTCTCGATGTGTGCGGTAACGGTCTTGGTGAGCTTCACGGCCTCCATCAGGGGCGTGCGCATGATCTTGTTCTCGCGGATGGTGATGACGGGCGACGGCGAGTCGGGCTTGGTATCGAGGACGGCGCGAACGGCCTCCACACCCTGCAGAGTCGACAGCCAGCGGTCATAAGCACAGGCCGCACCACCTCTCTGAGTGTGACCCAGAACCGTCACACGGGTATCCAGACCCAGACGCTCGGTCAGAATATCCTTGACCTTGGAGCTCGAGATCTTGTTCAGGTGTCGGTCCTGTGCACCCTCGGCCACGATGACAATGGTCCTCCGCTTTCCGCGCTCCTTTCTGTTCTGGAAGATGTTAGCGGCGCTCGGGAACATGTGTCAGGGTTTATGGTACCTTAGTGATGATGGAGCACATGTCATTCTCCCATCCATCCTTAGGAGGCATTTCAGGCACGAAGAGCCAGTCAGCACCGGTACTGATGGCAGCCATCAAGGCGAGCCAACCACAGTGACGTCCCATGACCTCAATGACGAAGCCTCTCTGGTGGGAGAAGGCAGTGTCGAACACGTCGTCAACCGCATCACAGATACGAGTCAGGGACGAGTAACAACCGATGGTGGCGTCCGTGCCGGACATGTCGTTGTCGATGGATCCAACCAGCCCGACAATGTTCAAGATCTTGTAAGGCTCGACTTGCTCCTTAGTCAACTCCTTCTTCTCGACCAACTCCTCCAACAAACCCGGCCACTCAGACCGGAAGAGATCAGCACCAGTCAAACTGCCGTCACCACCGCAGACCACCAGGGCATCAATGCCACGGAGGACCATGTTCTTGGCGGCCTTCAGACGACCGGGGCGCTCGCGGAAGGTCAAGCAGCGAGCAGAGCCGATCAGGGTACCACCCTGAGACAGCCAGCCGCGGACGTCTTCCCAGTAGACCTGACGGATCATGTCTCCGCCGTTGACCAGACCTTCATAACCTTCGAAGACGGCGTAGGCCTCGCAGTCGGAGTGGATGGCCATGCGGACGACAGCCCGCACGGCGCCATTCATACCAGGAGCATCACCACCGGAGGTCAAGACCGCGATGCGGCGTCTCTTGGGGGTTTGGACGGGATTTTGGGGGGCGGCCATCGTGTCGATGACGACGAGTTCAATGTGTTAGGGGTTGTAGCTCCAATCCACGCGGGGGATGAGCAATGTACTTTGATGAGGGGAGGATAGGCGATGGGATGATGAGTGAAAAGAGCTGGCAATGGCGGTTTGCGGAACGTTCCTCAGGTAAGATACCTTGTGTGACGGTGGGGGAGAAGTTCCGGTGAGAAAAAGCGGGTGTGGGCAACAGTACGTCACAGACTTGAGGACTGGAGAGGTCCGGTAGTGCCCCGCCGAATGAGTGAGTTTAACGGGGGACGAGATGAGCGGGTGGATGGGGGGACAAGGGTGCGAGGAACAACGAAAAGAACACGGAAAAGTCAGCTCAAGGAATTCTGGTCTTAATGAGATGCGGATGCAGCTGTCTTTAATGCTCGTGTCAGTTCTGGTGAGTCGAAGCTGCAGGCATCTTGCCCAGTGGCATGACGAAAGAGGGGAGCGAGGCCAAAGGCGGCCCTTTGCGGCAATTAATGTCACCGCTTTTGCACCCGCCAAAAGCGGATTAGTGCGGTACATTCCACGTGATTATTACTAGGGTAGGGCCGCTTTTAGCACGTGAAGTCATGTGATTTTATCTCAAACAGGATCCACGCGCATAATCTGTGTGGTCCGATTGGAGTAAGCTGCAGCACAGCTCGGATTTCCTGAGCGACTGACTTGCTACCTACATTGCCTGGGCTTCCCGAACCGGACAGTGAGGGGTCTTGCGGGCCGACCGTCGTTGCGCCCAGCCGGCAAGCTAGACATTAACATCATACCGCTCAGAACTGGTTTGCCAGTGGAGAATGACAACATAGAGATTGGTAGTCGAATTTTGATGATTCGATCGCGAGGTACACTGGAATTAGCGCTCATCTATACACATTCCAGTTCTACAAGCCTTTCGGGTTCAATGCTAATGTTCAGCTCGTAGACACAATATATATTTCAGCCATTGAACTACTACTAACCAGTCATACGCCCATGGTTCTCGACAAATGACTTGCCAAATGAGCAAGGGAGGATCTCACCCTATACTCGGAATCCAACATTAACCTAAATCGTAGAGAAAATGACATAAACAAGCGATTGATCGCCAGACCGCTGCTTCCCTCCTAGGATGGATGTTGCATTGTTTATACAGTACTGTGTACCTTTTCTACTGCTTTTGTCAGAGGCCTAGATGAATACGTCCAGACACATAATGAGTACTATACACAGTCCTGAGATTAGCTGCAAATGAACGGTTCTTCATTTGTACAACTAGCTAGTAAGGGCCTTCCTGCTTGAAGGTAGATACTGCCTGAATGGTAAGCCTCTGCATCAATGTCGGTACTTATTCCATCAATTCAAGGGTGTTGGAAAATTGTCTTCACCATCAGGATATATCCAGGGAGAAGCAGGAGAGCTAGCATCACTCATCACGCACCAAATCATGCACTGACTCCTAATGAAATGTGTTTCGCAAGTCAAACTCCTCTATCAAGAAATGAAGCCTTATCGGAACCGATAACCCGAGGAACACTAAGCCCAACCCGGACTAGCGGAAACAGCTGCCCCGTCACGTGCAAACTGCCATGCTCTATCGCCGGCTCCATCAATTGCACAAACTCCTCTCCTCGCCATTAGCTGCCACCTGACGGACAAACGACACCATGTCCGACTCCTTCCCACTTCCCCTGCGCCCGCTTCTCGAGAAGCGCGAACGGCCGGACACTCTCCCCCAGGAAATCGCCCAGATCAACGCCCAGTACGGATCCTTCCGCGATGTCACCGAAGAGAGCCTGCGGGCCAAAATCGCAGAGGAGAAGAACAAGGACCCGTGGGCGGAGGAGGACGAAGCCGAGAAGCCCACCGCCGAGGTCGACACCACGGAGCGAATGGACCAGCTGTACAAGCGCCGCGCCGAGATCACACAATTCGCCATGTAGGTGATGGGGAAACCCCCGACCGACCAATAGAACACGGTGCTGATGGCAGGTGTTAGGCAGGCGCACATGGAAGCCCTGTTTGCCCTCGACTTCGTCTCGCTGCTCCTCTCGAAACACACCCCCCGACAAGCGGAGCTCTCCATGTCCGCCTACCTGAAACAGGTTGCGCCGCTGGGTTCGCTGAACGCCGAGATCGTGAGCCCCCCGCCCAAGTCGGAGGCCGCGCTGCAGGACATCAAGACGGTGTCGCGGGGCTGGAGAATCCAGAACTTCAATGCGGCCGCCAGCAAGCTGCTCCGGTCTGCGACCCGGCTGGAGACTGAGGTTGCGTCGGAAACAAAATACTGGGAGGAAGTGCTGGCGGTGAAGAACAAGGGGTGGAAGGTCTGCCGTCTGCCCCGGGATAGGCAGGCTCTAGGGGTGCAGTACGGGTTCCTTGAAGGTATGCATTCCCCTAAAAATGCAGGCCTTTAGCCATGCTGATCTTGGATAGCTACGCCGATTTTCCGCGACCGAGGCCTGGCGGCTTTGCGGCGAGCCGACGACGGAAGCCTACTGTTGGACAAGGGATTGATTCCCCAGAAAGTCCGGACGGTCCGCGTGCGGGTTAAGACGCAGGGACAATTTACTGGGTGTTCGAAGGTGTCTTGGTCTTTACCGGATGCAGACTCGATCGAGGGCCGGATTTTACAAGCGCGCGACACGGTCTACGAGGAAGAGCTGTTTCATGAGATGGTACGCGAGGCTCGCATCATGGGCAGTCAGGGCGTGACGACGCGTCAGAACCTCGTGCAGGTTCCCGTTTCGGAAGAGCAGGAGGTTCTGCTGGATCTGGTGGATGTCGACCAGGGCGAACCGGCAGATACAGAGGTGCTTTCGAACGAACACGACACCCTGGCGGATGCAGTAGCGCACTCGATCCGCATCCTACTGGCTTACGCCCACCGACAGAATCTACGACGCAGGACACAGCCGCCGCCCCCTCTGACTCCAAAACGACGGCATGTTCCCGAGTACCAGCTGCTGCGTCCGGTGATGGCATACCTTCAACACACCGCGCATGTGCGGTCTCTGGAGTCTTTTATGGGTGACATCGTTAGGGTGCTGAAGGCTGCCGGACTTCGTTGCGGCTTCACTTCCGCCCCCTTTTCGTCTGTGAGATTGCCCACAGTGCACGCTTCCGTGCCCAAAGTGGAGACTTTGGTCAAACAGTTCTTGATGCCATTCGAGTCTACGTTCACCGGCAACCTCCTCACCCCCGAAAGCTCCTTCTGCGTCAAAGTCCGGACCAACACCGTCTCCCCGCCATCAGGCACCTATTTTGAAATCACGGTGAACCTGCCGCATCACCCCGAGGTCAAGCCCCCCAGTCGCATTGGACTGCAAGCCGAAGCAGCAGCCGCCCTCGCCCATTTCATGCTGCTCGATATTGTGACCACCATCTCAAGCAAAGGGGCGAAATCGCCGGGAGGCAACGATGCGGGCAAGGGCGTGCTGAGCTGGGAAGCGGCGTACGCGCATCATGGCGAGCTCCGGGCTCTCTCCAGCTTGGGAAACAATAAGAAGATGAAAGTCAGTCTGTCGCGGGAAGAGTTGACTGTCGAAACCTACCCATTGCGCGGGGTGGATGTATCTGGCCGAGCAGAGAAGGGCAAGTCCGCAAATTCGCGCGCTCAGAGTTGGAGGGCTGATTCTAGTGAATCACGACCAAGTCTGATGGAGTTTGTGGAGGAGGTGTCGCAAGATCGGCCTTGACTGCCAGAGACTCGAGACTCGGTGGGTTCACCTGCGGCAAGAGCAGTGAAGACTCCACGCAGTCAAACCGTACTGCTACCACCGTGCCGGTGCATCGAACCATAGTAAACCTCCCATGATACCCATGATATAATGCCATGATTCTTTCTGACCCAGGTTTTCACGACGTAAGCACTATCTGTAGGAAGACGATTGAAGGAGACATTTGAGTTGAAGGCGGTCACTCCTTGCGGCGCGACCAATGAACTCGTTCCAGTGGCTCGGGCAAGCGGGACGGGTGAATGGAAGGGTTCATGTGGATGTGAGTTGGACAGGGCTATGCGTGGGTTATGATGCAGCAGTGCAGCGATAGATGATGTTATATACTTCAAGTTGAGTGAGTAGGCAGCTGATGCAGCTGATTCTGACGGATTCAGAAGAGTGACCCCCACCCGGGCCTTGATTCCGTCCCCAGTTTCTCCCCGCATTTCGACGGGACCACCGCTGCGACATTTGGAGTTTGGGGACAGCCTCGAAGGCGAGATGCAAACATTCAAGGACAAATGATGCTCATGTACGGTGCTCATGTACATTGAAAAACGGCACAGGAATAGAGGAATAGATCTTGGGCTCATATCCTCCTTGTGTCGTCGTCATGATCTTCCAGGGACGGACAGTACAGTAGGAACTAGAGCTCCCATGAACCGAGGCTGATGGCCGGTCTGGGGCATTACATAAGCCAGCGGATCGTGGTACCGTAACGCCGTAATTTACCTTTCTATACACACTTGGCCGCTTGTTGAGCACCCAAAGTGTCCCACAAACCGGTAAGATACAGGCGGTGACCCGCCCTCGGTCGGGTGAGCTGCTGTCGCTGTGCTGCCGAGGCTTTTCCCCGACTTGACCGGCCTGATCGTCTCATGTGGTCTTCCTCTTCTTCCACCAACTTGCTCTCTGCTCTCTGCTCTCTTTTCTTCTTATTCCTCCCCTCCGACTCTCGCTGCTCTACTTTCTACCCTGCGACTACCAAATCACCCCTCTTCTACCACCCCCTCTTTCCAGTCACAACCGTGAGGGATGTTTACGGCTGCGAGCAGAAGCCGCCTCCCCACTCTCCTACGGCCCCGTCTTCCCCCCACAAATTTACTTCTCGCCCGATCAGCTTTGGTAAGTTGTCTCTCTTCATTACTGCGATAACGACTAACAATCATCGGCAAAAGTCCCCAGTCATGGCTCCCCGGCGCAAGGCCTCATCTGTCCCTGAGGGTAAGCGAAAGTCTGCCGATCCAGCAACTAGACGGCTAACGCGCATTCCGACCCAGGCTACACAGAGGATCTCTCGAAAGGGAAGATGCTCCGCTTCGAAGACTCACTCCCCCGATTGCCCGTCCCTTCGCTAGAGGAAACCGGCCGGCGGTACTTGAAGTCCGTCCACCCCCTGGTGTCCGAGGCGGAGTACGAGCGCACCAAGAAGGCGGTGGAGGCGTTCGTGCGTCCCGGTGGTGAGGGCGAGCCCCTGCAGGAAAGGCTGCTCGCCCGCGCCGCTGACCCCAAGACCAAGAACTGGCTTCTCGAATGGTGGAACCACGCGGCGTACCTCGCCTACCGCGACCCGGTCATCCCCTACGTCTCCTACTTCTACTCGTACCGTGACGATCGCGCCCGGCGGGACCCCGCTAAGCGGGCCGCCTCGGTCACCACCGCCGCGCTCGAGTTCAAGCGCCAGGTGGACTCGGGCGAGCTGGAGCCGGAGTACATGCGCGGCCAGCCCATGGCGATGAGCTCGTACGAGTACATGTTCAACTGCTGCCGGATTCCGGGCGATGGGGTGGACTACCCCCAGAAGTTCCCCGCCCAGGACCACGAGCACATCGTGGTGGTGCGCAAGAACCAGTTCTTCAAGGTCCCCTTGGCCGTCAACGGCCGGCCGCTGAACAACTCCGAGTTCCAGCGCCAGTTCGAGCGGATCTACCAGATCGCCCAGCGGTCGCCCCCGGTTGGTGTGCTGACGGTCGCCAACCGAGACTCGTGGGCTGACGCCCGGAAGAAGCTGCTGGCAGCGCATCCGGCGAACGAGCAGGCGCTGCGGGACATCGAGTCGGCCGGGTTCGTGGTGTGCTTGGACGATGCGTCGCCCGTGACTCTGGAGGAGCGCGCTCACCAATACTGGCACGGCGACGGCGCCAACCGCTGGTTCGACAAGCCGCTGCAATTCATCGTCAACGACAACGGCACGGCTGGGTTCATGGGTGAGCACAGTATGATGGACGGCAGTCCCACCCATCGTCTCAACGACCACCTCAACGGCCTGATCTTCGGCAACAAGATCGACCTCTCGGAGCAGGCGGTGCGGTCGGACCTGCCCGACCCGCGGCCGATCAACTTCCACCTCAACGGCGAGGTGGAGGAGGCGATCGAGGCGGCCACCAAAGAGCACCGGCAGCAGATCTCGAACCACGAGCTGAAGGTGCAAGCGTACCAGGGCTACGGCAAGGGCCTGATCAAGAAGTTCAAGTGCAGTCCGGATGCGTACGTGCAGATGATCATCCAGCTGGCCTACTACAAGATGTACGGCAAGAACCGCCCGACCTACGAGTCGGCGTCGACCCGCAAGTTCCAGGAGGGCCGCACGGAGACGATCCGCACGGTCTCGGACGAGAGCGTGGCCTTCTGCAAGGCCATCAGCGACCCGGCCGTTGCCCGGGAGGAGGTGGTGCGGTTGTTCCGCGCGGCGCTGGCCGCCCACTCCAAGTACACGGCCGAGGCCAGCGACGGCCACGGCGTGGACCGTCATCTGTTTGGACTGAAGAAGCTGGTGCGCGAGGGGGAGAAGTTGCCCGCCCTGTACGAGGACCCGGCCTATGCATACAGCGGCTCGTGGTACTTGTCCACCAGCCAGCTGAGCTCGGAGTTCTTCAACGGCTACGGATGGAGTCAGGTGATTGATGATGGGTTTGGCATTGCCTACATGATCAACGAGAACAGGTGAGTTGTTTCTGTCACTGTGTGTGGCCAGGCCATTACTAACGTGTGTAGTCTGAACTTCAACATCGTGTGCAAGCGCCTGGGGGCGGAGCGGATGAGCTACTACCTGAACGAGGCGGCTTCCGACTTGAGGGACGTGTTGATGCCTGATCTGGCTGCTCAGAGCGAGAAGGCGAAGTTGTAGTATACCATATATAGAGTGGGATGGGATTTGGAGATATACCTTGTAGATCAGAAGATCGTACTGAATTGAGTTGTTTACCTAAGCACGATATGACTGCTGTAATCTGGACTAATTATCCTACTGTAGTAATTCGATACATGTACACCACTAAGGCTTTCCGGGGGAGGACCCCCAGACCCCCCTTTTCTTTCAGCTCCCAGTAACATCCAACCCTAAAGCATACAATGAAGGCTTCCCGGGGGAGAACCCCCGGACCCCCCTTTCTTTCAGCAAACCACGAACCCGTACTAACGAGGGGGGTGCCGCCGTGACGAGTACATTGCAGTGTACGACAGAAAGCTTGGCTATCACGCCGAGCAGGGATGCGACACGTCATACCGGCGCATTTTCCGGCTGAAGGGATGCAGCTGTGACTATCTGGGACGCAGCAGTGTTTCTATCTGGGAGCCACATCATGGCTGCAGAAGTAGTGATGTGGTTACACTCAGTGGAGATCAACCATAGCTGACGGAATGATTAGCCCCGCCGATCTTACTTGTGGTGGAGTGCGGGGTGAGGGAGCTGAGCTGGACTGAGCTTGCAGTTAAATATGGGTTACCCCTCATTCCATTAATACTACCTACTCTCTATTCCAACCACCTCTGCTTCTGTATACTCACCTTCCACAGGACTGTCTTCTATCCATACAAAATATCACCATGGCTCCGAAGTATGAACTCCCCTTCAAGGTTCGTACTGCCCAAGCATCTCACTAGTATCTACCACGACTAAGATGGGCAGCTCGATGACCCGTCGATCCTCCACTTTGACTCTTTCGTGCACAATGAGTGGACGCCTGCAAGCAGTGGGGAGAGGTTCGAGGTTATAGGTGTGGCTCTCTTCTTTGTCCTCCTTGAATGCACACTTCCCTCTTTTTTTGATGAACGATTCAACCTATATTATAATGTTGTTCTTATACTGGAGAGGAGATCTATGAGGGAGACCCACCGTACCCCCCGTCTCCTATAGAGCCTGTTCAGTCTACACAGAAAACATTTAACAATCACGGGGGAGACCCCCGTACCCCCCCTTCTTATCTACAGTGCAGACATATGACATATAACAGGTACGGGGGGCTTTCCCCCCGTACCCCCCTTCTTCCCCTACTAACACCTCCCAAAGATCCCGCAACCACAACCCCCTGGACCAGCATCCCCACCAACACCGCGTCCGACATCCCCAAATACACGAAGTCCGCCTCCACAGCCTTCAGCACCTTCCGCACGACAACCGCGCGACACCGGGCCCAACTCCTCCAGAACTGGGACACGCAGATCCGCACCCACCGCACGGACCTGGCACGGATCCTCGTCCACGAGACCGGCAAGCCGCTCGCCGAGGCCCTGGGCGAGATCGACTACGCGCTGACCTTCACCTGGTGGTTCGTGGGCGAGCCCGAGCGGATCTCCGGGAGCATCACCCCGGCCGCGCTCCCCGGGCGCCGGATCCTGACGCTCAAGCAGCCGATCGGGGTCGTCGCCGCCCTGGTGCCCTGGAACTTCCCGGTGGCGATGGTCGTCCGCAAAGCGGCGGCGGCGTTCGCGGCCGGGTGCACGATGATCGTCAAACCGTCCCCGGAGACGCCGGTCAGCGCGCTCGTGCTCGCGGAGCTGGCCCGGCGGGCGGGGTTTGCCCCGGGCGTGTTGAATATTGTCACCACCGACCTGGAGAATACCCCCGCCGTCAGCGAGGCGCTGTGTCGCGATCCGGCCGTGCGGAAGGTCACGTTCACCGGGTCGACGCGCGTCGGGAAGCTGGTGGCGCGGTACTGTGCCGACGGGCTGAAGAAGATGACCCTCGAGCTGGGCGGCAATTGTCCGTTCTTGGTCTTTGATGATGCCGACTTGAACCAGGCGCTGGAGATGCTGATGGCGCTGAAGTGGCGGCATGCCGGCCAGGCGTGTATCACTGCAAACCGCGTGTATGTGCAGGCGGGGGTGTATGACAAGTTCGTGGGGATGTTGAAGGAGAGGACCGAGAAACAGATTAGGGTGGGGAATGGGTGGGAGGAGGGCGTGACGATGGGGGCGCTGACCACGCCCCAGGGGGTCGAGAAGGCGCTGCAGCAGGTGCAGGATGCCACGGCCAAGGGGGCGACGGTCGTGCTCGGCGGGGATAAAGTCCAGGGGAAAGGGTATTTCTTCCAGCCCACCATCCTCAAGGATATGACGGCCGACATGCGCGTGTCCAGCGAGGAGTCCTTTGCCCCCATCGCCGCGCTGTATCGCTTCGAGACCGAGGACGAGGCCGTCCGGCTGGCGAATGATACCGCCATGGGGCTGGCGAGCTACGCCTTCACCAAGGATGCCGATCGCCTGTGGCGGTTGTTTGAGAATCTCGAGGCCGGCATGATTGGGTTGAATACCGGGTCGTCGTCGGCGGCGGAGGCGCCGTTTGGCGGGGTCAAGGAGTCCGGGTATGGCAAGGAGAGTGGGAAGGAGGTTGCTGTCAATGAGTATTTGGTTACCAAGACGGGGACGTTGACGGTTGCTGGGCATTATTAGGTTTTGTTAGGGGGTGGAGTTTGGTTCTGGTGATGGATATGGTTGTGAATAATGAATGATGTTCGAGTATGCCCACATAGTTCGTATGCGTGTCGGACTGTTATGGTTGCTAAGGGTAGGGCTTGCAGGGCTTTTGGTATTGGATTTCTGCAGGGAAACTGTGCGACTGCTTGACTCATTGAAATGTGCTCAAGACTCTAAGTACGGACGTACAGTACAGTACCCCATGGACGAACCTCGAATTCACTATCGTCGATTCCATTCTCTACGTAACCGGACACCCCTCGGCCGCAATCGACAGTACATTACTCGATAGCTTCATCTCATACATCATCCTCGCGAGAACCCTATGATATATCCCAGACCCGTGACCTCAAGATTGCTCTCAACGGGGAGACAAGAGTTGTAGACATGGATGGCGAACTTCCTTCCCACTTATCTATGTGTACGTCAGTCGTTGTCCCATTCAGAAGCTAGCTACATTTCATCTCCCTCACCGGAGCACATCCTCCTGCACGAATCACTGAGATGCGATAAGGTGAAGGCAAAAGACGGAGGCGAATGTGCTGTATAATCCACTGTTGTTCCTGCTTCTATTGGCGATTGCTCAAGCTAACACAGAGGCCATCTCCTTCGAGTGCCGCTACTGGTTGAATGTGTTGATCTTTACTAGAGACGAGTCACACACAAGACCAACACAAAAGACATTCAAATTATAGATATCAGCTAACATTACAGGTATCAGGCTCGTCATCACAGATACAGACTAAAAAGCAGCAAAGTATAAGATCACAATCTCAACCACGGCTCGCGCTCAACCTTTATTTCTTCTTGCGGCCAGTCAGGCCCAGGGCATCGGTCAGCGAGGTCAACCCCAGGTTGCTGAGCAACTTGTCCAGGCCCAAGCCACCGAGCAGGCCCTTCACCAGAGGTCCGAGTCCCAGACCCTCGAGCAGGCGACCCACCAGACCAAGCACACCGCTCAGCAGCAGGCCGACGGCAGCGATGATCTGGAAGAGAGGCTCACTGAGCAGACCCCAGAGAGGGTTGAGCTCCTTCTTGGCGTGAGGCATACCGGCAATACGCTTCTTGCCGTTGTCAATGGTGCGCAGCACTGTGTCGGTGAGCTCCTTGAGCTGGTCGGCCAGCGCGTATTCCTCCGGAGAGGCCTCGTGCGAGGCGGCGCGAGCCTTAGCAGTGGCAGCGATACGTCCATCAGGGTCGAGGGCCCGGATCGCGCCGTTGCATTCCTGAAGGATCTGGCCACCCTCTTCCAGAAGAGGCTTCACGTCCTTGACCAGCTGCTCCTCGTCCAGCTCCTCCTTCGGAGTGCGGTCGGCCTTGTCAACGTGCTGGGAGATGTTAGCAATCAGTCCTATACCATCATCGCCTGGCGCGAGATTCTTACCTCGGAGATCATCTTGCAGATAGGACGAAGGCGGTCCAGGGTGGATCCAACAATCGCGCTCATCTTCTTGGCCAACTGACGGTCCTCCTCCTCTTTCTTCTTCGCCTCCAATTCCTCAGGGGAGGGACCGGGCTCCTCTTCCTGCACCTCCTCCTCAGGCTCCTCAGGCTCGGGCTCGGGCTCGGGGATGTTCTCAATCAAGGTACATTCGCCAATCTTGTTGCCATCGTTGTCCACAACGTAGCCGTTGTCGTCGATCTCCTTCCCGATCAACGAAGGAAGGTCACCAGAGGTCAGCTTGCCGATGAGGTTGCCATCAGCATCGCGCACCTCTCCCTCCTTGTTGACCTTGCGGCCGGCCATGGGGTTGACGTTGCGCTTCTTCTCCTCGGGCTCCCAGCGCTCCGCCTTGCCAATGGGGTTGCCGTTCTTGTCGAGAATGTCGCCATCCTCATCGACCTTACGGCCCTGCAGGCGCTTCGCGTCACCCTCAATCACACGACCAATGATACGGTCGGTGCCATCGGTGACCACGCCGTCTTTTCCGACGACCGCATTGTCAAAGCCGAAGAAGGGGCCCTCGGGCTTCTGCTCATCGGCTCCAGGGACGAGTTCAGCCTGGCCAATGACCTTGCCATCGTCACCCCAGATCTGACCCTTCTTGTCGACCTTGCGTCCAGCCAGTCCCTTGCCGCCAGAGACGACACGACCGAAGACCCGGCCCTGCCCGTCAACGACGTTGCCAGCCTTGTTGACGACCTTACCCTCCAGGATGGAAAGATCCACCTCCTCGGGCTTTTCTTCCTCGGGCACCTCGTAGGGCTCAGCGTGACCCTTGACGCTGCCGAACTTGTCGATAATGTCTCCATCCTCGTCAACAGCCCGGCCGCGCAGGTTCTTCACATCACCTTCGGTCACCTTACCGACAATGTTGCCCTCTTCGTCCTCAACGAATCCTTCCTTGTTGACCACAAGGCCCTCCAGACCGGCAAATGGTCCCTCGGGCTTCTTTTCGCGCTCGTTCTCCGGGATCAACTCGACCCGTCCAATGGGCTTAGGGCCGTCATAGATCTGGCCATCGTGGATCTCCTTGCCGGCCAGCTCCTTGGGGTTACCTTCAACGACCCGACCGATCGGGACGCCCTTAGGGCCGATCACAAAGCCGAGCTTGTTGGGGGTGAGACCCTCCAGGCTGGAGAGGTCAATGGTCTCCGGCTCGGGCTCGGGCTCGGGCTCCTCGTCGGGAGTCTCGTAGTACTCCGCCTTGGCGATCACGTTGCCGTGCTTGTCGGTCACATCACCGTCCTCGTCAACGGGCCGGCCCAGGACCTTCTTGGCGTCGCCGTCGACGATCTTGCCGACACGCTTGCCGTTCTGGTCCTCGACCCAGCCGTCCTCGACGACGTGCAGGCCCTCCAAGCCGCCGAAAGGTGGCTCATCGGGGTACTCCTCCGGAGCGAGGGTCTGGGCTCGACCGATGACGTTGCCGCGGTTGTCCCAGAACTGGCCCTTGTCGTCAAGCTGAGCGCCGAGAGAAGCGAGCTTCTTCGCATCACCCTCGATCAACTCACCCACGGGCTTGCCGGTGGCCGGGTTGATGATCTTGCCCAGCTTGTTGCAGCGCAGGCCCTCCAGGGAGGAGAGAGGGGGGAGCTCCTTCTCAGCTTCTGTGCCTTCTTCGGCTGCCTCCTCAGTTGCCTCCTCGGGGGCCTCCTCGGGGGCCTCTGAGGTGACCTCTTCCTGAGCGGTCTCATACTTCTCCTCGGCGGTATCTCCAGGTGCACTCTCAGGAACACCTTCCGTGGCCGCCTCAGCAGCCTCCTCAGGGACCTCCTTGGCCTCACCTTCAGCCTCGGTGCCGGCAACCTCAGAGCCAGGGGCATCGGACTTGTCACCGACAGTCTCCTTGGCCTCGTCGGCTTCAGCGCCAGCAGCTTCGGTGCCTGGAGCCTGCGAGCCAGGGGCTTCGGACTTCTCGGCGACAGTCTCCTTGGCTTCGTCGGCCTCCGTACCGGGCGCTTCGGATTTTTCAGCGACAGTCTCCTTAGCCTCGTCAGCTTCGGAAGCCTCAGGCTTCTCGCCGACGGCATCCTCAGGGGTGAGCTCCTCAGCCGAAACGTTATCAGCAGTCGACTTGGGGCCAACGGTGCTCTGATCATCCTCGGGCTGAGCTCCGGAAGCGGCCTTGCTCTTGTCGGCAGCGCTACCGGCGGCAGAGCCGGTCGCCTTGGAGGCAGCCGTACCAGCGACGCTGCCCCTCTGCTCGGCCTCCTCGCCCGACTCACGGGAAGCAGCCTTGCTAGAGCCGGCGGCACTTCCCGCGGCCTCCTGAGGAGCAACATCCACGCGACCAAGAACGTCACCCTCGTCGCCGAGGATCTCGCCCTGGTCGTTGGGCACCTTGCCCACCAGCTCCTCGGGCTCGCCCTCGACGAGCTTCCCGACAGTCTGGCCGGCATCATCCTTGATATCGCCCGACTCCGAGACAGCCTTACCCGCCAGATCAGCGACATTGCTCACCGCAGCGGTAGCGGTATCGGCCGCCTGATCGACGGTATCGGCAGCTTGATCGACAATCCCATTGGTCTGCTCATGCTGGCCCTCCTCCTCCTCCTCTTCTTCTTCCTGGCCCTCATCCTGCCCATCAACCTGGCTAGCGTCCACGCCATCCTGCTGATTCTGGAACGCCTCCGCCAGCACATCGACCACCCCGATCAGATCGCCATCCTCGTCGAGGATCTCCCCGTTGTCGCCGACGGTATACCCGACCAGATCCTCGGGCTTGCCCTCGACCAGCCGACCAATCGCGTTCCCGTCCTGGTCGTGGATGAGCCCGTCCTCGCCGACCTCCAGGCCCTTGAGGATGGACAGGTCGAGATGCTCGGGGTGCGACTCGGTCGGTCCGCCGTTCAGACTTGGGGTCGGTTGCTCCTGGCCATTCTCTTCTTCTTCGTCGTGCTGCTGCTGCTGCTCCTCCTGGCCTTCCTCCTGAGGCTGTTCTTCCTGGGGCTGCTCGGCCTCACTCTCAGTGCGGCCCGCGCGACTCTGGGCGCGGGAGCCCGACGCCGAGGCTGAGGCCTGGGAAGGAGCATCCTTGGGCGCCGGGACGGGTGAGTCGCGCTGCTCGGACTGGTGGCGCGCGGCGGAGGCCTTGCCCTTCGGGGTTGGGGTGGTGGGCACGCTAATATCGTCCTCGGTCTTCTCGGTGGTGCCGGATTGCTCGCGGCGGAGCTTGGGGGGCGTGCCCTTGCGCGAGTCGGGGCTGAGGTTCAGCTTGGAGACTTTGCTGATGAAGGGGGAGGACATGATGAGGAGTAGAGTGATGATCAATGAATAGTGAATGGTAGACGATGGATGGGTGGTGGAGGAGTTGTGTGTGATGAAGTTGTGGGATGGTACAGGTACAGTTGAGCGAAATAGGAAGGGTGCGTTGGATAGTGAGGTGGTGGTATAGGGCAGTGTTCTCGAACAGGCAACTGCGCGTCGATCGTAGCTGTTATACTAAAGTCGTGGTTGTAGTAATTGTGCTAAACCTCCAGTCCTGGATCAAACAAGCTAAGGCAGTCGTATCGTATCGTATCGTATCAAATCCTCGTACAATTTTGCGTCGCAATTAGGTGTAGGTAAGTAGGGAGTCGTTAACCGTAAACTAATGTACAAGTCGTGGATGTGGTGGTGGTGGTGTAGTGTAGATGTGAAAGAACAATTATGAATCTAGAATCCAACCCCAGCGAGTCCCGACATCCCTCCCCCTTTTATGTTGCATTCTGTGTATCGTGACGAGGAGATCGGTGATGATGTCGATAGGTGTAGTTCGCAGCTCTATCCACCTACGTCATGCGCTACGAGCGTTGTGCTGCCGGAGGGGGGCTACGCCAGTTTGACCTGTAAGCCCTACGCGTCACATCGGGGGGTGGGCTGCAGGGATAGACTTAGTGTTAGTGTCTGTGACATCGTCGCGGCCCTGCAGGGTGAGTGGGTGGTGGAGAGGGCACGGAGACAGGAACATACTGCATTACTCGGTACGGAGTACTGGAGGAAGGGCATTGGAGTGCAGTGAGTGGAGAGTGGAGGTGGAGAGAGGGTACTGTAGCTATAGGAGAGTGGGTGTAAATGCCGTACTTTTTACTTTTTCATCATCGCGGATCCACTTGCTCGGCCGAGGATACGAAATTGGCTCGGGGTTAAGGAGGGGGAGGAAGCATTGCGATGGGTTCGACGAGGTCGACACACAATCATCATTGCGTCAGGTTGTGCAGGGATGAGGGCCCTTGACTGTGAGATGTACATGTGTATATCGTGTTAGGGCAGCGGGACGGGATACTTCGACGTACGGGGGGCAGCGACATCAGCGTGCAGCGGGAGTGCATCAGCGGTAGTATAAAAGGATCGTGGCTTTCAAGAGAATCCTCATAATTGATTCTCACTTTGCTGCAGTCTACATTGCTATAAACTATTGTTGTATATGCATACCATCCTTTTTCGAAGAGGGACTCCACCCTGCAGTGATAGTCCCTGTCTCCCTCCCCTGTCAGTCAACTCAGTACCTGGCTGTCACTGTCATCGAACAAAGACATGGATTCCGGTGTGTTGCTGGGGCGGATGAGATCATGGGCGGCTCCACTTTTCACCTCTCTCGGAGAATTGATCAAGCCACCGTAGCCACCCAGAGTGCCCGTGCCCACGAGTTTAATTGGAGGTCCCGCCCGCCGGTTTTACAGGTCGATAGTGACGTATCGGGCAGGTGTCTGAATATTCAGCTTGATGACGGACAGTGGCGTGGATACGTATGCATTGGACAGAATGGGCTGCTACTGACCAACTTCCTACAGCTGTGTAGTACATACTCAAGTAGTGCATAGTCAACCCTTTGCATCTCTTTAACTGTGGACTCAATATACTCCTCCTAGTATCTTCTGAACTAATCGCATTCTCAACAGAAACATGAATCATACCCATCGATTCTGCATTGTCCTAGAGTCCGTTAAATGTCAACTTGACACTGGGGCATGCCAAGCGGTGGAATTCCGGATCGTGGCGTGACGTAATGGATGAGGATCGCGTGGCGTTGGCCCAGCCCGACGTGCGGATTGGCTAGAGTGAGTGGTGGGCGGTCTAGACTACCGTTAATTTATTCTTAGTGGGATCGGCAGCTTTTCGATGGTCTCTCCCACATGGTATATGGTATTGGCCATCCCCAATGTTGTACTTGAAGTCAAAAAGATAGTAGGTGTTGGGGTCATATACCAGCCCTACCTGATCCTGCCAACTTTTTATACATAGTACGGTTCAATACAGTTATTCACAAGTAATCTGAAAAGTCATGCATTAGCAATGCACATAAAATGTTCCTTACATAACTGCCACTGCAATAAACCACCAACTGTATAAAGAAATATATCCCAAGACTATATACCAAGTATAAACACCACACCTACCAATTTAAACCCAGCCACAAATATCAGTACAGGGAAGTGAACAATCTCCCATCCAGCGCCAGATTCCAACCCACACTGTCACGCCATATACCAGCCCTACCCCATCATCCAACCCATCCAACCCGATAACCTTCTCCCTTCACAAGCAACTCACCCCTTCCCCGGACCTTGTTCCCCCTCCTTTCCCCCAGCACCAGTAGTCCGGACACTATCCCCAACACCCACCTTCTTCCGCCCCCTCACCTCCCGCAAAACCCGCTCATACCGCTCAAACCTCTTCCCCCACCCAGTCTCCCCGGGCTCCGTACGCACCCGAAACACATGCGCCTTCCGCGTCCACCCCATCCCCGAGCACCCCGGCTTGACCGCGTTGTGCGCCGCGCCGCCGGCCATCGGGTCCAGAAACCGGCTGACCTCCGTGTTGCCGGGGCTGACGTACAGCGGGTCGTCCTCGCGGTAGTCGTCCAAGGCGCACTCGGCGTCCGAGGCCAGCACCTCCAGCGCCGGGTCGGTGATGGTCGGGTCGAAGGACCATGGGTGGTGGGCGGCCGCGTCGTCGGTGCCGCTCTTCGAGGTCTCGTAGGACTCCGGCCGCAGGAGGTGGCGGTCCAGGTCGGATTCCGGGTGGCGGTTGCGGTGGTGGCTCGAGAGGTAGGAGGAGGATGGGGTGGGGGCCGGGTTGGCGCTGGTGGTGTTGGTGTGGGGGGCTCGCTTTGAAGGTGTTTTGTAGAGGAGAGGGAGGTGGGTTTGGGGTTGAAGTCCTAACCCCCTGGGGCGGAGGAGAGGGCGGGAGGCTTTGGTGGTCAAGCGCCACATTGTAGGGTACAATCGATTTCGATAATACTGATGGATTGGCTGTGTGGTTTGAGATGGTCTGATGTATAGTCGATGTTGGGCAACGAGGTCAGAAAGTCACGGTCTGTCACACTGGGCTCTTTATGGGAATGGATGAGGTTGACTTTGACGCTTCACATACTGACGTCAAGATGCTCGAGTACGGTCCGAACCATGGGTGCCGTGCGAACTTGGGCCTGTCAGAACACCACCGCCGGACTCGCTACCAATAATGACCGCAATGTCCTGTGTCTTCATTCATGGGTGACCTTGTCCGCCGATCTGGGGTTGGTTAGACTTTGTGAAACAGGATGCAGCCTACATCCTGTACGGCAACCGCTCACAAGATACAACATGCCCTAAGTAGAGAAGTCTCACCATCCGACATCACCACAAAGCTCAACTCATCTCCATTCATAAACTTAATTATCTTAATCTCATTTAGAACAGCACTCTCATCCATATTAACACACATCCCCCAAGAAATCCACCTAAGTCTTGACCGCATATCTCCTCCGCAACATCTCATCCACATACTCCAAATAATACGTCCCCGGCAGCAAATCCCCCACATCCCCGCGCGGCACATACTCCCTGCGCTGAAACGACCCCTCCCTCAACCGACACATCTCATCCCACAGCTCCGGCGCAGCCGGCACCCGGGCCGCCAACCGCCGGTGCAGATCCAGCCTCTCCGCCATGACAGTCGTATCCCCGCGCACCGCCAGCGTGAACAGGGTACTCGCCAGCCCGCTCCCATAACTGAACATGCCGATCCTCTTCCCCTGGAGCCGGTCACTCGGCACGGAGGCCAACAAGCCCACGAGCCCGGAGTACAGACTAGCCGTGTACATATTCCCGCACTGGGTGGGGACCAGCAAACCGGGCTGCACCCTTTGCTCAAAGCGGGACTGCGCCAGCGCCATCACCCGCTTCTCAAGACCCTTATCAGCAAGGGTGCACTCATCCTTCAAACTCGCCGGCCTCAGCTCCTCCGGGACGTTCCCGGAGCGCAGCCAATCATTCCACAGCAGCCGCGCATACCCCTTGGCCACGAGCTTGCAGTTCGGCGCATGGAAGAGGAAATAATCGAAGACGTCAATATCAACCCCAACCCCAGCCCCCATCCCCGGGACAGCACCTTCCTTCCCCCGCAGCTCACCGGCCTTGACCTTCCCAACCCAAGACCGATAACACCCATCCAGCGCCTCAAGATAACACCTCCCGGACCCCACCCCATCCACCACGGCCGCCTCCCGTCCAAAATCCGCCTTGAAGAAATCCCACGCGTGCCGCATATACGACGCCCGCGGCACCCCCGCCTCCACCACAACCGGCGCATCCCTCCCCACCAGCATGGCCACACACCCCGCGCCGCCCGTCGGCCGCGCCGCCGCATCCTCCCGCGCATACGCGGCGATATCGCCGCACACGACGACGGCGTCGCGGCCGTCCCACGCGGAGGACTCGATCCACGCGACGGCGGCCAGCAACGCCGCCGTGCCGCCGTAGCAGGCGTTGTAGGTGTCCACGCCCTCGATGTCGGGGTTTTCCGGCCCGAAGAGCTGCATGAGCACGGTTTTGGTGGATTTGGCGCGGTCGAGCAGGGATTCGGTGCCTACCCCCAAGTAACCGATGGAGCTGCGGGGGATGGTGTTTTTGTCGAGGAGGGCGGAGAGGGTGGTTAGGGCTAGGGTGTTGATGTCTGTTTCCGGGTTAGCTGGCTGGTAGCTGGTGGGAAAGGGGGAAAGGGGGAATAGGGATGGGATGGGGTGTACCCTCGCGATCATCACAGAAGCTCATGTTCGTTTGACCCAGGCCGATCGTGTGTTTGCCTTCGCTGACGTGCATGTATTTCTCTAGTTCGCGTTGGGGGACGTACTTCCTCCGAGAACGATCTGTTAGAATTACATTCGACGAACCCTGGGAGAGAGGGGGTGGGGCAGGCATACGCGGTTGGGAAAGTAGATCTCGATGGCTTTGATGCCGACGTTCTGGGGGCGGGCCATGTTGATATCGGGATGGACAGGCGGTCAATGACAATGAGAATTGAGGTTCAGAAGAAGAAGAAGAAGGAAATGTACTTTGTTGGAAGGTTGAGCTTCTGGTTTCATGTATAAGCTGTCGCATGCCGGAGTATTTATGGTCTGCTCGACACAGCCCCAGGTGTCGGTGTCGGTGTCGGTGTTGGGACTAGGCGTCAGTGCTCGCGACTACGGTGTACATCAGAGCATACCGGCCACTACTCAGTTCGGACTACCGGGATTTCCTCTTCAGGTCGTCGATTATAGCTGAGACGTGTGCTAGACGGTTCTGCTAGGGTGTTCTGTGGTGAGCTAGAAGGTTAGAGTCGTGGTCCGTTATTGTGGTCGCGTGGTGAGTGGTGGATGGGGATCGAGTGGCATGGTTGGTATACAGCACCATCTGAGATTGGCGACCCGCTTTCCATTATGATTCCCTGCCCCCTGCAAACTTCTGGGAGGCGCAGGCTGTGACGATGAAGTTAGAGATTTGTTGAATCGGAATATCCGATATGTCCATATGACGGATGCTCGTTGTAGCCTTGACTGACTGCACCCACCCCCTACCCAACAATGCTGATCCGAGGACAATCCATTTCCAAGGTATCCCATCTCGTCTTACTTTCATGATCAGCCTCATTCAGGATCTACTGCATCTATCCGAAAAGAGGGTAAGCTTGAACCAGCCGTTGACTCCCAAGCAGGACATAGGATAGATTGTCGACTCGGCTTCCAAAACGCTCTTTCTGTGGCGTGGGTTGAGCCATGCTGACCATATGACCGAGATAGTTGAATTCATTTACTTCCTCAAACACAGTGCAACCTACAATCAAGATGCAGCGGACTAAAGCATCCGTCTAATCCACATAGCCATCCCTTGCCACGAATCTGAAAGTCAAGTCCATTTCAAAGACCAGTGACGTAAATACTATACGGTTGTTCACAGCCTGCTAGTATATGCCAGAGCGATATGATTCAAGTATGTAGCGTAGCTCCCACCTCTGCGTCGAGGATGGTATAATATACTTTATTGATATGCAAATTCGACATGCTACTCCAAAAGAAAACGCGGGTATAAAACCTTATACTCAACCAACGCAGCCCCCAACCCTACCCAATCTAACCCTAAAAAATGACTTAAAGCTTCGCCGTCGGCGCAATCGCCTTACGCCGCACCTGCTGGACGGAGAAATCCACCTCGTCGGCCGGAGTGGGGCCGGCGGTCGCGTCCTCGAACAGCCGCCGGCCCACGAGGTCGGACATGCGCATGACGCGCGAGGAGACCGTTGCGCCGTCGCGGCGGTTTTTTCTAGCCACAGGCATAAAAATTAGTATTGATTGATTTCCTGGGTAAAAGGATAAGGGTCCACAATCCCCGAAGACTTTCTGGGAAGATTTTTTGGGGGGGGGAGGGGGGGTTGGGCGGATAAACTCACCCCTCACGTCGCGACTGCGCGATCAGCTCGGTAAAATCCCACAGGCGGCCGCGCGGGAGGACCTGGCCGGTGGCGGGATCGCGTTCCGGGGTCCATTCCGGGGCGAGGCGCACGGAGGAGGCCTTGGATCCCTTGCTCTTGGCGATGTGGATGATGCCTTCCTCGGCGAAGCGTTGGTAGGAGTTCTTGAGGGTTTCTTTGTTGACGGCTTCGAAGTAGGAGAGGTCGCCTTGGTGATAGAGGGTTTTGCCGAGCTTTGTACGGGAAGTGAGTTTTGCATTCCTGGAGAGAAACGGAATGGAAAAAGAAAAAGGGAAAAGGGGGCTCACCAGCTGGGCGTTGTCTTGGGCTTTGCTCAGATCGATCCATACGTCTTTCGGGAAGTCGGAGGGCGGCGTGAGTCCCAGTAGCGAGACCGACCCTAACCACGACGCTTCGATGAAGGGCCAGATCAGGAAGCAGTAGAAGTCGTAGTTCTCGCGGCCGCATTGGCGCTCGGCTTCGCTGAGCTCGACGGTCAGCGGCTTGCCCGACGAGGGGTCGCGGCTGACGATGATCACGTTGTCCTTCTCCAGGCCCCGGAGGGTCTTGTCCAGGTTTGTGGTCAACCCTTCTGGCGGGAAGATGAATTCGCCGCGGAATAGCTGGGTTTGTTAGTGGATGGGCTATGCAAAGCGGGAAGAACGTACCTGCGACAGGAAAGAGACCTGGTTCATGAGCTCGGGGAAAGATATGCGCTGGTAGGACGGCCCGCCGCCTTGTTTGATGCGCGTGTACATGGCCGCCGAGACCAGGGCTTCAGTGATGAAGAGGTGGATCGTCATGTTGCGGTAAAAGGAGAGCTGGAAGCGGTCCACCGCGTAGTAGGTCGGCTCGACCAGTCCGGTCACCTTGCCCACAATCTGCGGCCCCAGCACCTCCAGTGCGCGATCGACAACCACTTCGGTGGGGAATCTGTAGAAGTGCGCCACGCGGCCGCCTTTGGCTTTGACCCGTTCACAGAGCCATTCGACGCGTCGCACGAGCTCGCCCTTGCCCACCCCGCGGCCACGCAGTGTGAGAAGCACTGTTCCGACCAGAGCGGTGGGCATCATGACCGACACATTGTTGATATCTGACAGCACCCGGTACCCTAACGACCTTAAGATGCGGCCTCTCTCGACATTGCTCAGCTTCTGGCTTCCAATCTCGGTGATTTGATCCGGGAGCCGGGTCAACTGCTGGGCGATGAACTCTTTCAGGCTCCATGGCTCGTGAAATCGGACGTCGACACGACCCAGCTTCAAGGACAAGACGGACGACGAGGAAAGAAAATCCGCCAGGTTCTCCTTTCGTTTCGGCTGACCCAACAGCTCGCTAATGTAGGACCTGGAGTCGCGATTAGCCAACAGCCACGGACCAAGACTTGGCGCCATACTCAGTCTCGATGACCTTGTCATATTGTGTGCTGACAGGACAGATAATCGTATCTTCCACCCGGCCCGACAAGACACTATCCAGGATAAAGCTCAGGATTCCAAACTTGGGCGATAGCAGCTTCCCCGTCCGCGACCGACCACCTTCAATAAAACACTCGAAATTGAACCCCTGCTGCAGTAGCGTGTCGATATACGCCTGCACGACAGTATTATAGAGCGGATCATTCCCAAAGCTCCGACGAATCCACATCGCCCCTGCGCCCACCATCCGTCAGCCGTCCGTACAGATAAAAAAAGCCGAGCAGCCGTAATCTTACCTGCATGCTGCAAGAATGGGCCCACCAGCGGGAAGTTGAGATTATCACCGGCGACCACCACCGGAAGCCCGATCCCCAGACGATAGCAGATCAACTGCAGCGACACATAGTCGACGTGGGATTTGTGGCACGGCAGGAAGACAATGGACCGTTTCTTCCGCGCCGCCTCCTCGGCCACCGACCTTAACCGAAGGACCTCCTCGCTAGACACATGGATCCCTACCCGACATCAGCACCCATATCAACCACCGTTTTGCCCAATACATACCCTGATGATACGCCCTCGTCAACAGCTGCGTAGCGACATAGTAGGCGCCGCGAATAAACCGCTTGCTCTCCATCTTGCAGATCATATTCTCCAGCATGGAGTCGACCACCTCCTTGAGGTGCGTCTCGATCTCAGTCCGCCGGTGGACCTTCTTCGCGTCGCGCGAAGGACCGGGGACCACGTCCAGCAGGCCTTCCTGCACTTCCACCGCCAGGCGCAGCTCGGCCAGCTCCTTCACTTTCCCCTGCAGCAGCGGGCTGGCGAGGATTCGGGACTTCATGCGCTCGGAGAAGCCTGGGTAGAAGATGGGCTGGCCGATGGCCTGGTCGTAGGCGCGCCAGCCGGTGCCGGACATGTAGAGGCTGACCTCGCGGAGGAAATCGAAGGGGTTCTCGCGGAAGCGCGCCATGTGGCGGACGAGGTTGCGCTCGGTGATCTGGTCATCTTGGGGCTCGGGCCCACCGGTGACGCCGCTGGGGTGGATGGTGAGCTTGTTGCCGGCGATCTCGAGGTCGGGGGCGGATTCACCGACTGGGGAGTTGGTGTCGGAGGGCATTGTGGTTGAGATTCGGGGGGGGATGTCGTGGTGGTGCTATACGCGGGAACGCCGAGGGAATTGTTTGTTGGTCGGACAGGGATGGAGATCAAGCTCAACACGGTTCGTTAAAGCATCAGGCAATGACGATGAAGATGAAGATAAGATGATTAGGTGAGAGGAAGTGGGTAGAGAGCTGGAGCCATGATCAGATAGCTCCACGATGCTGGGAGGGGGAAAGAGAAGAGGGGAGAGAATTGGAGTAAGAAACGAGAAAAGGGACGATCTCCGCGCTATTTCCCCAGAGTACGGAGTGGCTTGACCGTTAACTTACTGTAACTGTAAGTTCACTCAACTTACCTCGGATGTGCTCACGTGAAAGTGACGGTACTGTATCAGCAAGCACTAAACCCAATGGAGAGAAGCAGCGGCAAAGGATGAGGTCAACGCAGCAGCCATCAGCACGATCCCCCTTCTACCTTTTCCTCGCCTCTCGCCTCTTGCGCCTGCGTGGTTCGGGATGGACCGCAGAGCATCCATACGATCATTTCCAGATGATCTGACCCAGGCCATTTCCTCCAGAAACTTCATTGACCATTTCCCCTGTCGACCGCCGTCCCCTTGAAGCGTCACCCCAAGACAGTGGCAGACAGAACAGAACAGCTCCACAGCGGGGACCCGCAAAGGCAAAGAAGCATTCATCGCATCCGCCAGACCGAACAGCCACCCAAAAATCCATCCAACACCTCAATCGTTCTCACCGGAACCCCCAGACACAATGTTCACCTTACGACGGCAATTCTCCAGTACGCACCCATCTCCTCTGCACATCCACCTCGCTTCATGCACCACAACCCATACTAACACTCCAAAAAAGCCGCTGCAACCCGCCTCAAGCCCACCACCTCCAGCACGATGACAACCCCTGCCCCTCCCAAAAAACAACACACCTTCCAAGTCTTCCGGGACGTGCCCCCGCTCCGCGCCCTCCGCCGAGAAATCCTCCTCTCCAACCGGACCGTGGGCCTGGTGCCGACGATGGGCGCCCTACACGAGGGCCACCTGTCCCTGATCCGACAAGCGGCGGCCGAAAACACGGACGTGATCGTCAGCATCTTCGTGAACCCGACGCAGTTCGGCGTGAACGAGGATCTGTCTAGCTACCCGCGCACCTGGGACAGCGACGTCGCCAAGCTGGAGGCGCTGAACGCGGAGCTTGCCCAGACCACCCAAACCACCACCACTAACAACAACAACAACAACAACAACAACGCCTCCCCAAAACAAGGCCGCATCACCGCGATCCTCGCCCCGACCGCGCAGGTCATGTACCCGTCGCTGCCGCCGACCTCAGAGATCGACGGCGACGGCTCCTTCGTGACGATCACGCCCATCGCTCGGAAGCTCGAGGGGGCGGCGCGGCCCGTCTTCTTTCGGGGTGTGGCGACCGTGTGCATGAAGCTGTTCAATATCGTGGGCGCGGAGCGCGCGTATTTCGGGCAGAAGGATGTGCAGCAGACTGTCGTGATCCGGCGCATGGTCAAGGACTTCCACGTGGATACGGAGATCAAGATCGGGGCGACGGTGCGCGAGGCCGATGGGTTGGCGATGAGTTCGCGGAATGTGTATCTCGGGAGCAGAAGGCGGAGCGTGGGGTTGGTGCTGTATCGGGCGTTGAAGGCGGCGGAGGAGCGGTATACAGGAGGGCAGAAAGTGCAGCGGCGGGAGATCTTGGAGGCGGCGGAGGAGGTTACGGCGCAAGTCCTCAGGGAGCAGGAGGCGTTGGCCCCGAAACAGCGCGCGCGGTTCGAGGTCGATTACATCTCGCTGGCGGATCCGGAGACCTTGGAGGAGCTGGAGGTCGTCGACCCCGAGAAGGGGGCGATTCTGAGTGGCGCGATCAAGATGGCGCCGTTGGAGGAGACTGCGCCTGGTGAAGACTGCGGGCTGGGCGAGGGCAAGGTGCCCGTGCGACTGATTGATAATCTGATCTTTGCACCCCAAGCGTAGCTGCTTGCTTGCTTCGGGTCAGGTTCTAAGCGCTATACCGAACAGTACAGTACATATACCCAAAATCACCCAGAAAAGATGTTTGATACAATGTAAACTAGACTAAATACAGACCCTTGACTTATAATCCAACACCCATATTGAGATTCCCAATCCCTAACCATCCACTTGCACCTCCCCAAATCTTGCGCGTTAAGCGCATACCAAGAAAGGAAAATAGGGCACATGGAGAGGGCTCGGAAGGAGTCTCGGCCCGAGAAAATTTCCCATCCGCAAAGCTTCCTCCTGGGCTGTTCCCCTCCGGAACACCGCAACCGCAACCGCAACCCGACCGCCTCAGAGAAAATCAACGGTCTGGAACAAACCAGCAACAAAAAACTCAACTCGAACTTACTCACCCAACAACCCCAATCACTCGTCAAAATCAACAAAACAACAACACCACCGCCCATCCCACAAACCCCCCTCACCTCCCAAAAAAATGGCCGACGACGGCCTCCTCCTAAACTTCACCCTAGGAGGCGACACCGTGCTCAACCCAACAACCACCAAAGTGAAAGGCGGCACATGGCGGGACCGCCTCAGCGCAAAGAAGATCGCCGCGCACCGGAAGACGCCGCGCGACCCGAACGCCCCCAAGCCCGAGAGCAAGAACCCCAACCGTATAGCCGTATCGTCGCGGCCGGTGAAGCGCCAACGGACGGACGATAACAACTCCGGCCCGAACAACCACAGCCACGGAAATCAAAACCAGTCGGCGCGGCCGTTCGTCTCCTCGCTTTTCACCAAGAATCCCCTGCCGCAGAATGCGGAGGAGGCCGACCCGAAAAATGGAGAGGAAGAGGTGGAGGAGGCGAAGCCGACGAACGCGCCGCTGATCGATGGGCTGGATACGTTTACGAATCTGGGGTTGTCGGAAGCGCTGGCGGCGCATTTGCTGACGAAGTTGGGCGTGAAGGCGCCGACGGCGATTCAGAAGGCGTCGATCTCGCAACTACTGAAAGAGGAGAGTGATGCGTTTATTCAGGCGGAGACGGGGTCGGGCAAGACGATGGCGTATCTGTTGCCGTTGGTGCAGCGGCTGATGAGTATCTCCAAGGCGTCGGCGGGCGGGAAGGACGGGGTGGCGATTGGGGCGGCCTCCTCCTCCGGCGGGGAGGGGTCGGTCGTGCATCGTGATAGTGGGTTGTTTGCCATTGTGCTGGCGCCGACGCGTGAGCTGTGCAAGCAGATCGCGGTCGTGTTGGAGGGGCTGCTGCGGTGCGCGCACTGGATCGTGGCCGGCACGGTGATTGGTGGCGAGAAGAAGAAGTCCGAGAAGGCGCGGCTCCGGAAAGGACTGAATGTCCTGGTCGCGACGCCGGGGCGGTTGGCGGATCATCTGGAGAATACGCAGGCGCTGGATGTGAGTAATGTGCGGTGGTTGGTGCTGGACGAGGGTGATCGGTTGATGGAGCTGGGGTTCGAGAAGGAGCTGCAGGGTATTATTCAGAAGCTGGACGCCCGGCAGCGGCCCTGTCGCATCCCTGGGGTGCCGGCCAAGCGCACGACGATCCTGTGTTCGGCGACGTTGAAGATGAACGTGCAGAAACTGGGCGAGATCAGTTTGAAGGACGCGATCCACGTGCAGGCGGACCCCGCCGACGAGGACCCCGACGCCATCAAGCAGAAGGACGAGGACGAGGCGTTCCGCGTCCCCGCGCAGCTGAAGCAGTCCTACGCGATCGTAGCGGCCAAGCTGCGGCTGGTCTCGCTGACGGCGTTCCTGAAGCGGACGTTCATGCGCAAGGGCTCCGTGATGAAGGCGATTGTCTTCGTCTCGTGTGCAGACTCGGTGGATTTCCACTACGAGCTGTTCACGCGCAAGCTGAAGGCCGAGGAAGACCGGGGGAAGAAGGACAGCGACGAAAGCTCCGACAGCGACGACAGCTCCTCCTCGAGCGAGGATGACGAATCCGACAACGACAAGAAGGAAACCACCAAACCCAACGAGCACGGCACCGTCGCCCTGGCCACCGCGTTCTCCAACCCCTCCAACCCCGTGATGCTACACCGACTCCACGGCTCGCTGCCGCAGCACGTGCGCACGGCGACGCTGGGTGCGTTCGCCCGCAGCCGCGAGGCCTCGGTACTGATCTGCACGGACGTGGCGTCGCGTGGTCTGGATCTGCCCAACGTCGACCTGGTGGTTGAGTACGACCCGGCGTTCAGCGCGGAGGACCACCTGCACCGGATCGGGCGCACGGCGCGTCTGGGCCGCGACGGGCGGGCGCTGCTCTTCCTGATGCCCGGCTGCGAGGAGAACTACGTCGACATCCTGAAGCGCGGGTACCGCGACGGCGGCAAGGCGCTGACGCGGCTGAACGCGGACGACATCCTGAAGCGCGGGTTCGGCGGCAACGTGCAGGCGCAGAGCAAGGACTGGGAGGTCAAGACCACGGACTGGCAGATGGACGTCGAGCGCTGGGCGGTCGACCACCCGCAGTACCTGGAGATGGCGCGCCGCGCGTACCAGTCGCACATCCGCGCCTACGCGACCCACATCGCCAGCGAGCGCCACATGTTCAACATCAAGGAGCTGCACCTGGGCCATCTGGCCAAGAGCTTCGCGCTGCGCGACCGGCCCAGCAAGATCAACGTGCCGGGCCTGCGGCAGAGCAGCAGCGACGCCAAGAAGGACTTCAAGGCGGCGCGCAGCAGCAGCACGGCGGGCGGGAAGAAGCGCAAGGCCGGCGAGGATGACGGGGACCGGGGCGCCGCGGATGTGTCTCTGGCGGCGCAGAAGATGAGAGCCAAGATGAAGGAGCATATGGCGGGGGCCAACGAGTTCAATCTTGCTTAACCTCATCACCTTTTTCACATTTCCTCCAACAAGACCAAAAGCATGAGCATGTAAATAATCGAGATTCACGGATACAGACCAATTCAATAGATATCCCACAGCGAGATCTTCCCATCCTTGGACCCAGCAGCGAGCCAGTGGGTATTCTGGACTTTATGATTGCGTAGTCGCCGATGGACGGCCGCCAGGCCTCCTCCCTTGCCATTAAGGCCTGTAAGCGTACGCTCACTGGCGCCAACACCATTCTCAGTCTCAACCTCACCCTCACCCTCATCCCCATCCCCATCCCCCGTCCCAACCCCCGCGAAAGCAACAGCATAACACCCCTCCTTATGCCACTTCAAAACCGCCACCTCCTTCAGCGTCTTACACGAATAAACCCGGACCCTGGAATCCCACCCGGCCGTCGCCAAGATGCGCCCATCGGACCGCACCCTCAACCCCTGCTGCCCGGCATGCCGCGTCTTCACCACCTTGACGGGCTGCTCACTCGCCAACCCCCCCGCGCCAGCTTTCCGCAGAAAAGGATGCATAACGACCTTCGCATCCGCCGCGGACGAGAACACCCACTGACCAGACGGAGCAGCATCGATCGATAGAACCGGCTGGTCATGCGCGCGGCTCGCGTACAGCTTCTGCCATTTCCAGGTCGGTGCACTGCCCTGCTGCTGCAGAGTTAAACCCTGGACGGAGATGGGAGACCGGAAGACCATCACGCTGCCGTCTTCGTACGCGGCCGCGACGTGGAGTGCCCGCTCCGCGGGGCAAAGAAAGAGGGTAAGCGCCATGACCATGCCGGTCTTGACCTCGCCGTCGGCGGGGATGGTGCAGACGCGTCGCTCGGTGGGGAGGTGGAACAGGTCGATGGCGCCGGAGTTGAGGGCGTTGGGGACGGCGATGAGCACGGGGGAGGTGGGGATGGAGGTGAAGGTGGGCTTGTCTTGGGACGGAGGCTCAGGCTCAGCCTCCGCTCCTCCATCGCCATCCCCATCCGAAGGCACAGACGCAGGCCCAGACGGCAGCGCGGAGAGATCCACCCAGGCAAACGCGCAAAAGTTCAACGCATTCACAGGCAGCGAATGCACCAACCACGGCTGCCTGCCCCCATCCTCTACCCCCGCGGTAAATGCACCCCCAAAATCGACCGGCAATCCCCTCCGCAACTCCACCTCCTCAGCAACGCTAAACCGCCACACCCTCAACTTATGATCGCGGCCATGTCTATCTTTAATCAGCAACCAAACCCTTCAAAAACCGCATAACCCTCAACAATCCAAACAGACCAAAACAAAACAACAGACCACAAAAAAAGCAAGGGAAGGGGAGGGGCAAACCCACGTAAAAACCTCCGTAACCCCACTACTCCCACTGCTCCCACTACTCCCATCCTCACGAAACCGGGCATAAACACCCAGAACGGCGCCGTCGTGCGCCTTCCACACGGCGACGGGCCGCTTCGAGACCAGATCCCAGACGGCAATCCAGCCGTCGGCGTCGCCGGACAGTAAGCGCAGGTTGTGGTGGTAGATGTGTAGGCTGTGGATCTGGGCGGCGTGGCCGCGGAGGATGTAGGTTGGTGTTGCGGGGGGTTGAGTTTGAGGTGGTGTCATTGCATTTGTTTGATTGGATATAAATTATGGGGGGAGCAAGGAATTGGGATTGGTGGTAAGTGATGGGTGAGGGTGGGATTTCAGGGTTGATAGTATAAGGCAGATGTATGTATGGAAGTTGGTGTTGGGTTCATGCTGCAGTGTGGTTTGCGATGGGGATGCGGATGAGCGGTTGGCGGGCGGTCTTGGCGTTCCGAGTTGGATGGACTGTACTGTGTATGTACCCCGGCTCGTAAGGGATTCAACTTCTAGCTTATATTATTCTACAAGGTTGGGACAAGATTACGCAGGTTGACTAGCTCTTATGTTTCACAGTACCTTAAATTCAGACACAGAAAGAGGTTGCAATATGAACACGTCTAAATTTCACCAAAGCCTGGAATATGCTAAATTACTGTACACTCTAGAGTACCAAATATCTACACTCGCTGAATACCGCCCAAGAACCCCAACCAACGCCTACCAACGCCTAATCACTCGTAGACTACAATCAAACCCCCATGACTACAACCCACGCTACCCCCCACACCTACAACCCAAACGAAAACCCCCCCAACGCTCGATGCGGCGCAACATAATGATCCTGGTACGGATGGTTCTCCATCGAGAAATCTGCCGACGCCATCAGTGGGTTGACCACCCCCACGATCTTCGACTCCGGCGAGATGTGGCACGGCCGCAGGGGCGCATCAGGATGGTCATGGCCATCCCCACTCCCAAACATGGCCACGATCTCCTCCGACGTCGCCATGGGCGGGCCGTGGTGGCTGCTCCACCCCCACGCCGCCTGCAGCTCGTTCTTGACGCTCTCCGTCCGCCACCCCGTCTCCTTGATGATGTGGTCCAAGATCTCGAAGACCTCGTGCTGGGCCTCACGCGTCACGAGACATCCGGCGGCGATGGCCAGAAACCGGATGGACAGACTCGCTACGCCCCTGCAAGAAAAGGTTAGCATGTGGAGTGGAATTAGGCGATGTACCAACAAAACTCACCGATCCTTCGAGTGGGCGACAATCCCGCAGATGTCTCGCGCGTGGCCCTGCTGGATGGTCTGCATTTCCGCGCTGAACTCGGACTCGACGGGGTTCGTTTTCGTCAGCAGAATGCGAGTGGTATGGTATAGCAGTTGAGCCACGATTGTGGAGCGTTTGATGAGCCTTCACGAATTAGTCTAGGACACAAAACCCAGCAACCCAAACAGCAAGGCTCACCATATCTCCGGAAAGACGGACTTGGAGTTCGTCTGCCAGGAATGAAGATAGCCGACCGGCATCATGGACCGTGGCACGGCCCGAACCCATTGATCGCACCATTCGTTATACGTACACCACTCCTGGTATCGCTGGCTCACCCGTGCGTCACTGATGGGATCGTCCACGCCCTGGTCCTGGCCCATCGATGACCGGAAGTTCGCGACCTTGGCACAGATGAAGACCATCTTGTGGGTCCAGGCTTCTTCGTTGCCTGCCACACTCGGCTGGGCCTGGTCAAACTCCAAATCAACACCCCAGGAGTCTGGGTTCCAAGAGAGCGCCCAGTTGAAGTGCAGACAGCTGATCAGCTCCATGCTAACGTTCAACCAGAAACACGCTCCCCCGAGTCCAGGGGTCTTTGCATCCCAATTGCATTCCTTGATCAAGGCTCGAGCTCCGGCGATATGGCTCATGCCCTGGATCGGTCGACCCGACATCAGCTCGTAGATATTCAGAAGAATGGCGGTTGTGGCACACAAAGCAGAGTCGCGATCCGGATCCTGCAAGGACCGCAGAAGATACTGAGAAGCTTCGTCATGAAAGAGCGCGGCCTTCTGCTCTCCGTAAGATGGGTTCACATGGTACAGGTGTCGCGCACCACAAGCCAAAATAGCCTTAAAGAGCATTGGCTCCTCTAAGGCATGGAATGGCAATACCTGGGTAAACTGGCGGGGTCAGCTACGTGCCAGAGCCATACATCACAATACCCAAACTCACATGCTTTACCGCATCCATGGCGTCCATCCATAGCCCAACCTCTTCGACAAACACTTGCAGGAGAAACACCTCCTCTGGGTTGTTGAGACAAGTATGGTTGGTCGAGTTGATATGGCCATGTCGTGTCGACCGAAAGGGGGCATACGAGGTACTTGGGTCTGGGAACAACGAGGCCGAATGAGGAAGGCTGCTGAGTGATGCGCCAATATTGTCGGACTGAGCATTCCCGAACCCTTGCATATAGCTATCCTTCACCGTGGCGGGCGCGTTCGAGTTCAACGATCCCGCCATGCCGTGAGGCTCGGCTTCCTCAGCAACAAGCGGAGGGTACCTCTCGAATCCGCCCACGTATTCAGACGCGATGATCCGAGACTCATCGCGAAAAGTGATCCCTTTCCCCTGAAGACGGACCACACAGTGCGGCGGTGTCGCGGTCTGGGTGTCGATAAAATTCAAGCGGATGCCACGCCGGCAGATTCTGCCCGACTTGCGGCAGTTCTGACATTGATGCAATGCCTCGTCGCACTTCAGGTGCCGTTCTCGACAGGTCAGACAGCCAGTCCGGACTCGCCGCGGCTTCGTTGCGACCTTGCCCTTCCGTCGGCCGCGGCTAGCCGACGTGCGTGGTGTGTTCACCGGAGCGCTGTTCGGGGTCGAGACCCCGCCTTCGTCGGAGGGGGTCGGAGTCGTCCCTTGCGTGGTGACTTCGGCCGCTAAGAAGGGGCTCTGGTCGTCCAACTCCAGGTCGGGAATATCCGCAACCGCCCCAGGATCCGTCAGGTCCAGCACAATGTCAAGGTCCAGTGTCGGCAAGACATGGTCGTCGACTGTAGATGCCATAGCAGGCCGGCTTTATCGAGTGATGCCCGTACTAAGTTGGAGGATGTTCGGTGTCCCGATACGATCATCTACAAGCCCCGAATTCAGCCCCAGAGACGGTGACTCTGCATGGTGACAATATCGACGGCCGCCGTGAAGGCTTTTCCTGATCCGCGCACCAGATTCACATGTGGCAGCGGTGGCTCGGAGGGAGGGGCGGGACAACCGGCGACAGTGTGCTGTAGAGAGAAGATTCACAAAAGACCGGGTTTTGGAAGATGGATGCATGTGCATCGACCGCTGAGGTGAGGCTCGGAAACCGTGTGGTGGACACTAGGGCTAGATCAACAAATGTCAGCTTGCAGGGAATAGGCATAGAATATAGAAACAACACTCGACGGGTCAGCGAGTACGAACATCAACTGAAATGCAGCTCACAGCGTCTCTGGAGGTGTGGATAAATGGATGAAAGGGAAGCCGGCCGGCGATCTCGAAAGATTTGCGGGGGAAGTCGGTCTGCCTGTGGCATGGAGAGCTAACCCCAATGGGTCTAGTGCAAACAATCCGGTGCAATCGCGGAATTTCGGAATCAACAAACTACTCCGTACATTTCTATAACAACATTCGCTATTTTCTAGTGCCTATTGAATATGCAACATGCTTTTAAATGGGTATATCACCTTCCAGAATCACTCATATGATTGATATGACCCCAGAATACATCGGACTTCGCAGTCACGGCCAGCAGGAGTTCATTAACGGCTGCATCTACTCGTTAGTCATCAGCAAAGAAACAGTCCTCGCATACCACTTCACTCCACCGATCATACAGGTTGAATTCTCGATGAATCACTTATGCTTTGCTTCCTAGCCTGGGCAGGCGCACGCGGAGATGAAGCAGAAGCATGAGTGCAGCCCACACAGCAGCGGAGAAGAACGTCACACGAAGTGCGGCGGCATATGCCCCGATCACTGCAGAAGTGTCAGCAGTCCGTCCGACAATCGGTGTTAGACATTAATCGACCTACCTTGGTGTTGACTGAGGGGGTCCAGCTTTGCGATAGCTTGCACAGACTTGCGAACCAGCAGAATGATGTCGGCCTTGTTGGTGCCCGTGACCCTTTCGTCAAGCTCATAGAGCAGACTGTTCTGGAAAATCCAGCTGCTCGTTGCCACGCCCATGACAGATCCGAGATTCCGCCACAAGCCTAGAGTCGTGGTCGCCACGGCCTGGTCCTCTTGTTCGGAGGTCGCGAGCACCGAGACCATCAACGAAGGGAACGCGAATCCCTGTCCCAGACTCGTCAAGGCAACGCACATCATCGCAATCACATCCGGGGTCCCCACCCCCATGGTGGCGGCCGCTATCCCTCCGATAAGCATACAAACATCACCAATCATCACCGTCGGCTTTAGTTGCTTGGTCCGAGTGATCAGGAACCCGGTCGCTACACTAGAGGTCGTCACTGCAAGCGTAGAAGCCAGTAGCCTGAGACCGGAGTCTGTAGGTGAGGCCAGCTTGACTGCCTGGAAGTAGAGGGGAGCATTGAAGACCATGGTATTGACCGAGATCGCCCCGAAGAAGTTCCCGAAAATGAGACTCGCACGCGGCTCCTTCAGCAGCAGCGAAATTGGCATAACTCCCCGCTCCACGTTACGTTCATAGCGGACGAACAGAATCGCAAAAACCACGAAAGATACCAGCGAGGTGACGACAATAGGGTGGGTCCATCTGAAGATATTGCCGCCCAGGTTGAGCCCCATGATAAGCGCCGTGACGGCGAGCACCAAGAGCAATGACCCCACAAGGTCAATATTCTTAAGCAAGCCCATAAAGGTCAGACGCTCCGTCTTGGCTCGTTTCCTCCCCAGGTCGGCAGGCACCGTCCAGGCGGCTACAATGAAGTAGATAAAGATGAAGGGCAGCTGTACCAAGAAAGCACCCCTCCAGCCTACTTGGTCACATAGATAACCACCGAACGCAAGCCCAAGGAAGCCTCCCAGACCAAGGCAGAGATTGACGTAAGACTGGTAGACTCCTCGGTACTCCAGGCGAACCAGATCACTAGAAAGAATCATGCCCATCGAGAAGACGCCACCGGCGCCCATGCCGCAGAATGCCCGAGCGGCGATGAAACTCAACATGCTCTGGGCAGCCGCACACCACGCGGTAGTAATGAAGAAAACCGCGATGGCAAAGAGGTAGACAGGCTTCCTGCCCACGGTGTCGGAGATGCGGCCAAACAGCGGCAGGAAAGCCGTGGATGTCAACAAGAACGCCGTCGAGAGCCATGATGCCGAGTTCGAGGCGTGGAAGTGAGACGTGATGACCGGGTGGCTGGAGGCCATCAGGGTGGAATCGAAGAATCCGATGATGTACCCCATCATAACTCCACCGAAGATGAGCCAGAATCGCATGGGAGACACGTTGATGAAGCGCGAGGCATAGTCGTCGACTTCTGGCCTCTGACCCGCTTCCGGATCACTGTTGTCTTTGACATCATCTTCGGGTGCTGGGGGAATGGTTTCTAGGGTAGGCTCAATATCAGGCCCTTGAGGGATTGAGGTGACTCTGGTGAGGCCGAGAAAAGCGGAGCTGTCTTCGGCGGTGAAGGAAGAGGATAATAAGTTTGGATCAGGCCCGTTGCTTCCAGCATCGTGCGTATGTGTGTGTGTGTAAATTGGCTGGGATGGTGAGCCATTCAACAGCGGTGTTGATTCTGTGGCATCAGAGGCCACATGGGAGACAGTCATAATCGCGAGACAGCGTAAATGTATGAATCTAATCTTTATGCGAAAGATCTATCTCTCAAACCCAAAACAGCTGAAAACTTTTCATGGAAACAGCAACAACGAAGAGAAAACTTTTCTGTGCAAAGGAAAATAGGAAACTAGCAGCCAGACGTGGGTTGCAAAGGGGTCTTGAATCACAGGATCCGATAACAAGCGAAATTTATAGAGAGAGAGAGAGAGATTTCTAGCGGGGTGGGGGGGGGGAGGGAGAAGCTAAGGATGCATGGCGCAGGTAGGATCCATCGCAGTGCACGGGGCGGGTGGTGAAGGAGTGAGTCGACGGGTGGAAGCGCTCTAGCCTCCGAATATGACTGCGTACGGAGGAATACTCGGTAGATTGTCTAGATTATGACTATGACTCGGTCTCCAACCTCAAGTTTTCGGACGAGACAAGAAAAAGAGGGGAAAGGAAGGGGGCCTCGGAAGAGCTCCACCACCTGCCGCTAGATCAAAATTTTTTTTGGCCTTGCAGCTAACCTCACCTACCCGGTTCGTGGTTGGCAGGGTCTTTGTTATAATCAGGATATCCGGTGACAGAGAATTAAATCCCTCGTGCAGAGAGAGAAGATGCAGTGTGTAGTGTGCCGGATGTAGTATGCCGTGAGTTGAATACAGTTCCAGCATGGTTATAGGTGAGACCCGATGTCGGTCTATGCAGATGAAGTATGAAGGAGTATGATTTGTTGGAGATGGAGTCATCCGACCCAGATGTTGCATCGCGCCTTAAACCGGATGGGGCTTAGTCGCTGGGGCTCCGCTGCCATTGCCGGTACTTTACTATGAGTATTTTGAGCCTGGTTATCTCGGCTCTCATCCCGCATGGAAGCAGAAGTCTGAACTTCAAGGTCGCTGGGTCAACATGAGCCTACTCTGCTGCTGGTCGATTATCCGGCTGTACAAGGTGTAGTGTCGTCAATGTCAGATTACCCCCACCTCATCGGCTTCTCAAAGTAATCATGAACACAATTCAGCCGCGTTCAATTATCAGCTCAATATCAATATCCCCGAACAAGCTGGGGTAATCGAGCGAGTCGAATATATAGAATGACCTCAAAGCTCGCATTCGCCGTGTGACGCACACACACGCAAATGCCTAACTCATATTCCAGGGAAACTCCCGCCTGCATGAACCTCATTGTAACACAGCAACAAAAGCAAAACCCCAGGTCTGCTGCTCTAGGCGACCTGCATATCAGCCAGCTTGTTCGACGAGAGGTTTAAGTTTCCAGCTGCAGCGCAAGCTTGGGTTCTTTTCTTACTCTTTGAAGTCTCAAGGGAAACTCTTGGATGAAATGGTATCGACCACTACACTTATAATATTTTCGGACTGTAACAGTCACAGTGGTACAAAACAACAATAGAAGCACATCACATATTCTACCGTCATTGCCGTATGTTAACAAGTGCATGTATGGAGCTTTCGGCATATACAAGGTGCTGTCAAGAGCACCCTCCCGCGCCCGCAATCTCGATGATTGTTTGTAGATAAAAGGCATACGACATATGACTCGTTTGAGTAATCTCTAGCCCTAGAAACCCCCGATCAATTAAGCCCATGAGTTCGGGGGAGCTTGAAGCCGCCCGGGACCAGATGCTGAAAGACTCCCTCGGGATCATACTTCCTGGCCACCTGCTGCATGAATCTCACATTGTCCGGTCCATACCCACGCACTGGGTCCTGGGTGCCTCCGGCATAGTTAAGATATATGTATTCGTTATATGCATCTGTCAACCAGGCGTACGTGTCTAGCTTCGCCCGTCCAGATTTAGCGAGATGATGAAACAGGCTGTCATCCGCCTCGTCGCTCCAGGCATAACTAATGATGATATCTGTTGCAGTGGCTCACGCACGATTAGTATGCATTAACATGGTATGACAAGAGCGGGACGGGATAATGGGAGGTACAAGGCAGTATAACTCACTGAGCATATTTTCGTTAAATCGTACCAATCCAAGCACGTTCCCTCCTCGCGCCTCGCTGTCCTTCCAGAAAAGAGGAACCCAGGGCTGCATCACTAAGATAATTTTAAAGTCCTTGCTGCGGGCTCGAGATTTTGCCCTCCGGATCCGCTTTGAGAGGATCTCGACAGCTTGATGGATAACGTCTGCTCTGTTGAGATAAGTGCTTGTTTGACCGTCGACGCTAGGTATATGTGAGTTTATAACTGAGTTTTTGTGACAGTGCTTGCGGGGGTAGATGAGCCTCACCGGTAAGATGTATAAGTATATTTGGTCTGGTCTACAATCGTCGAGATCCGGGTCGAATCCGTGATGTTAGGAATCTGATAGAGTCTCTGAAACACTGCAGGCCGCATCACGGGTCTTGCGTAAGCCAACCTAGCGACAATATCGGTTCGGTCTGTGGTGGCACTGTAGCTGAAGATGCCATACCATGCACCATACGGGTCGGTGGCGATATTATCGGTGAAATTTGTCGCCGCAGCGATGTACTCCGGAGCGCGAGAGATATTATAGACAAGAGCGCCACCCCACAGATCTTCCGCAGGCAGGGTTTCCATATGAAACGTAGTCACGATACCAAAGTTATTGGAGCCCCCCTTCAGGGCCTTGAAAAGGTCGGGATGTGAGTGCCGATTAGCATAGACGATCTCGCTGCTCGCCAAGACCACCTCGAAGCCTTGGACATTGTCACAGCTGAGACCAACACGCGCATTGTAGAACGAAAGCCCTCCGCCGGTCAGAAAGCCCCCGACGCCGATGGGCCCTACACGGCCACCCGCGACTGTAACGTGACTTTCTAGCAAAGTCTCGTACACTGAGTCCCAGAGGGCTCCGGCTTGAAATGAAGCAGTGCCTGTGCTGGGGTCATAAGTAGTATGATTCATCAACGAGAGATCAATAGTAACTCCAGGCTCGATATTTGCGGCGCCGGGAGTTGGCGTATGGCCGCCACTACGGACGGCGAAGAAACAGGGCCCAACATGCGAAGTGGTTAGTATTCGAACAGCAACAGAGACGTCCTGCGCTGAGAGAGGTTGAACAATGCAGGTAGGGTGTAGCCGGGCATTGAGGGAGTAGTAGGAACGGATGGACTCTTCGTATGCAACACTGCCTGGGAAGGCTATTCTGCTGCTAACTCCGCTGGTGTTAAGGGCTGCACACTATAGCGGATCCGAGTCAGTAATTTGAATGGGAAACTAGCTCGGTAAGATGGTTTTAGACATACACAGAGATCTAGGTTGACAGCAGATTGTGCAAGGCAAGACCTGAGTAGGATGCTGAGTAAAACAGCTGCCATGACTAGGCTGTTCATTTCAGCGTGGAATCGATGCTTGATGAGCTTCGCTGTTGTTCTCCTGCCGTATGATTATTGTGGGCTGAGTTTGTTGAGGCATCGAAGATAGAAATTGTGGAAGGTGACGTCTGTGTCAACAGTAGGCGATGGAATTTGTGAAGATCAGGAAAGCAGCGATATCGACTTAAAGAAGGGAAGGCATGAGGGAGCCCAGGCCATATAGCCCATCCTAGGCTGTCATGCTGTCATAGACCCGAAGAGGGATTGATACCCCGGATATTCCAAACGTTTGCTATCTATGCACCAAAAAGAATTTAGAATCAGACCAACGAGACACCTAAAGACCAATATGTTGCGAAGAAGGATCAGGGCTAAGACCTTGGCATGATTTCCTGAACCTCGATTGATCCGTTGACAGAATCCCGGAGTCCATAAAGAAGTAGAGAAGCGACTGCCGTGGAAAATGGAATTCAAGTAAATTCGAGAAACTGTGGATTTTGTAGCCCAAATCCCACGCCCAGATTCTGATAACAACGGGTGGACCGTGGTGCAGTGAGCTAGTATTGCATGTCTAGGTCAGCTCGGATTTAAAGCATCTTCAGTCAGCCAGTGTCTCCCATATGCGCTTTACTTCTATTTCTACACAATTAATTCCTACTTAGATCTGAAATTGGTCCTTGCTCACAGGAGTATCCTCACTTTGACAGATCAATCAAGTTCCATTCATGATCATAAGATGGGGAGTCAGGTTAAAAGCAAGGAACTCCCCTAGAGGCTTGATATCAAGCCCTGAATAGCGGTATGCTGCAGTATGATGAAGAGTCTACTTTCAAGCTTGGCATACCTTTTTACTAGGAGTCGCAAGAACAGCACATACTCAAACGACCAGGAGGTTCGTCCCACATAGCAAGGTAATGGCTGGAGCTTCGGGTATTTCGTCGTATATATAGGGATAGCGAAAGACGCCCATTGTTGGATGCCCCCTGCCTAGGTTCTTATGTGCCACAAGTGGTCAGATGACAATCGCTGTGTTACCTTCCCAAGATCTGGAAAGATACAATCGTGCTGATTCCTGTGGGACCTGCGCTGTGGATGAATTACTTGCAATGCATACGCTCCCGTGTTTGGTCTGCATGTCAGTCATCAAGCAGGCTTAGATAGTTCCAATGAGCTACAATGACAACAAGAACAAACGGCATGTGTGCATATGAGATTATCGTTTCTCCATCCAGAGGTGACCGATCTGGTTCTGGGCCCCATCACAACAATGAGCAAATGGAATACAAAGGAGGACTACTCGGGTCAGGGAAAATAATGCTAGTGAGGTCTTTGTTGTAGTCAGCCCAACTCGGTACCTTGCAACAGCTAACCCGCCCCACAGACTCAGAAGGCTAAGCTATGACTAGTATTAAGAGGGGCAGTATGTTTCTTATTCTTATTCTTCAGGGTGCACTCCATTGCTCCACAGAACTTCTGTTGAGAGAGGTGTGCTTGGCTTGAAGTACTAGCCTTTGCGAAGGCCAGATTCGGTGTCTTCCAAGCTCCCGCAGTTTGAGTGCATAAGTCGATTTGATGAAATATTGGACCATTGCTCAAGTCAGAATCAGAAGCTGTATGCGATGTCATTCTCTCGAGTATAGAGGATTGCAAAGACCAAGGCCCCACATTGATAAGAGGGAAGCTTATCCGCGATCACAACACCACCGCAAGGCGGTGGCGGATCCCTCGGTGGCACTGCTCCGTCTCCATAGAACACCCCGCAATCAACTTACTTCCCCGACAAGTATATCACACTTCACTTTTGACTCAATTTATCCCAGACCCCCTTTCTTTAAACTGTGCTCAAGCCCAACCGATCGCCAATACGTCCTCAACTCACCCTACTCCACCAAATCACTCCTTCATCAACCCCATCAACAATGCACCCCCCACTCCGCATCGCCATCCTAGAATGCGACACCCCCGTCGACAAAGTAAACACCAAGTACGGAGGCTACCGCGGCGTCTTCGCGAAATTACTGCATGAGAGCGCCGCCGCACTCGGCCAGCCCGACCGACTGGACCCCGAGACCGGGCTGGACATTACCGGCTGGGACGTCGTGACGGCCCAGGAGTATCCCAACCTGGACGATGTAGATGCCATCGTTCTGAGTGGCTCAAGTGAGTGTCTGCTTGCTGCCTTGCCCATTTTGCTTTTTTCACCCGGAGTGTTGTTGTTCTCGCATGCTCCGACCACTATCCATCTGCATGTACGTCCTGCACGGAACAAACATGCGTAACAACAACAACCCCTCCCGGCCTTTGCAAAAGTCCAGAAGACTCACATCCAAACCCCGGCTCATCAACCACCCCCACAGAACACGACTCCTTCGCCGACCACCCCTGGATCCTCAAGCTCGTGGACTTCACGCGAAAAGCCTACGAGGACAAGCGCGTGAAGATCTTCGCCATCTGCTTCGGACACCAGATCCTCGCCCGCGCCCTAGGCGTCAAGGTGGGCCGGAACCCCGAGGGCTGGGAGCTGGCCGTCTGCGAGGTTGATCTCTCCGAGCAGGGGCGGGAACTCTTTGGGAGGGAGAAATTGGTAAGTCCAATGCCTTTCCCCAATCGCCCTCACATCCAGAGGAAGGGGGCAAGTTGGTGGGTTCACTAATTAACTGGGCTACTAGCGCATCCACCAAATGCACCAAGACATCGCCTACGGATATCCATCCGAGGTGGTCTCGCTGGGCTCCTCGCCGCGGTGCGCGGTGCAGGGCATGTATATCCCCGGAAAGCTGATCACGGTGCAGGGCCACCCGGAGTTCCGAGAGGATATTATGGACGAACTAATCAACCTGCGCACGGCGAGTGGGTTGTTCTCGCCGGAGATGGCCAAGGACGCGGCCGGCCGGGCGGGGCTGCCGCATGATGGGGTGGCGATCACGGTGGCCTTTTTGAAGCTCGTAATTGAGTCGAGGTAAGCCCCGGCTTGGCCGGTTAAATAGACGACAGCCCGCCCATCCGCCCATCTAGACTCGAATCGGGCGCGGTGAACTTGCGATACATAGATTTGGTAGATCATGTCTATAGACTGGCTTTGTCCCCATACAGCCGAAATTCACTTTGACTGAATTTTTAACCCCGGAAAATAAGCCAGGTAAAATGGTATCATTTGCAATACACAAAAAGCGTGGTATCAAGCACATGCACAAACCCAAACCCCCCTCCCCCTCCCCCTCCCTCAACCCCCGAGAAGAAAAATCATTTCCTTTATCGAGTTACAAACCCCACCCCACAGACAACGCAGACAGCTCACCCCGTCGCCGTGGGATCCTCCCTCTCCAAGAACGACGGATCCATATCCACCCGCCTCTCAAACTTCTTCCACCAATCCTGAAAGCTCTTAAGCGGCACCACATCCTGGCCCTTATCCGACGACGCAAAGCTAGCCAGGAAATTGAAGGCGTTCCCGATGATCCGCTGCGCCAGGACCTTAGTGCTGATCGGGGGTCGCGCGGGGGTCGTCAGCGCCATCGACAACCCCGGGTTGTTATTCTCCTCCGCCTCCAGCGCGGCGAGCTGCGGCGCGACCGCGTGCACGGGCTCGATCGAGATCCCCAGCGTGACCAGCGCGGACGACAGCGAGGACGCCGTTTCCGGGGAAGGCGGGTGGACTTTGAAGACGGCGGAGGGCCGTTCGTTGGCTAAGGCGCCGATGAAGCGGAACTGCGGGCCCGATGATGATGCGACCGATTCCGGGAATTGGAGGTAGATGGCGGCGGCGGTGTCTGGGGGCAGCACGGTGCCCGGGAGGAAGAAGACGACCAGCTCATCGAAGGCGGGCGTCTGCGGGAAGGTGAAGGCGAATTTGGTGGGTTGGCCGTTCGGTTGCGCGTCGACGGCGACGATGTCCGTCAGGCAGGGTCGGCCGGGGATAATGACGGAAAACATGATGATTTGGGGAGATGCTGTTGAGTGGCTGCGGAATGCAGGGATAGAGGCATAGAAGGTTTGCTGAGGCAAAGAATTAAATGTAAGATGTACAAGCCGTGCCGAGACAGCGAGTTTGAGGGGTGGTTCAATGCATAATTTATCAATTGCTGGAGTTGGAGCTCAGGTGGTGCAGTATAGGAAGAATTTCCTGGCGCGTTCCATGATGGAATCTCAGAGAAGCTTGGCGGCAGTGACGAAATCGATCCGTTTGCCCTTATCGATAAGGGTTCGTTTGGTTAGCCTTAGCCTTCTGGCAAGCCTTCCAGTTCCCCGGGTCCGGCCTTCGCCAGTTGACCCAATAAAAGGATAGAGTGGAAGGTATATCTACTATGTCATATGGCACTGCTATCTTGCATCGGATTGACGTGACTATCACCCCTCGATAGAACGTATAAGCAATGAGTGAAGCGTGCTTCAAAGCCCGCAGCCACACAGTCACAACGACTAAGGATCCAGGGGATGTTGTTTTCCAGAGTATAATCACTATCATGTCATCCTAGTAGCTGTAGTTTTCTCACTTAGTGCTACTTGGTATGTACATAGATTATAAGCTGGACTTGTTTGAACGGTGAAATACTTCCACCAGCCACCGATAATTCGATATCAGTCTTAAAAATAGATAAAAAAGTATCTAGCATTGATTGAACCTCTCCTAGATGGACCTCGGCCGAAACAGCGTCCACTTTGCGGCCTCTTAGCTAGTTCTCCAGAAAGCCTCACATAACTGATTTGATCACCCATTCATCTCAGATCCCTTCCAAGCACATGAAGTCAGCCAAGTTTCCAGAAGGCAGCTAGACGGGCAGACTTGTTAGCTAGAGAATATGTAATGGGAACCGCATCTTGGCGAGAAGGGATGATCGTTACGCCCTGAAGACTCCTCACCTTGGATCCCTTAGCGCTTGTTTCAAGTTGAATTGGAATAAAAACTGCCTATATGAGTTCAGCCGTCAACATTCTGCAAGCTCCGGCAACAGTTGGCATCAAGTTGGAAGAATGTTGAAACATTGGAACTAATGTAAAGGAGCCGCAGCAGCAGGATAGCATTGGGGCATCGATGTGGGTTCTAGTGCATCAGTGGTAACTTTAATAATGCTACCAAGCGAACTTTGATGAATAGCAATTGCCGGCCTACGAGCTGCTCCACAAAGAACTGGAACCCAATGAAAGTGACCAGGCGATATCCTCGTCCGCCATAAATTGAGAGTCGCAAATGTTCGCTCCAGACGTTACATGAGCGCTCAAGCCTCCTCCTCCTCCTCCTCCTCCTCCTCCTCCCCGCCCCCTTCCCCAAGTTTGTAAGTACTAAAGCTGGTGGTTGGCAACGACTCTACGCATGCCCTTGGCTACGGTACCCATTGCCGCTCACTACCGCTACTTAGAAAGCTACCGTGCATGTTGAAACTTGCATCTTTGCATGCTGACGGCCTGCCTGTTTTGTGAATTATGCACGGACCACCTAGCTGGGAACAATATAGGTAAAATTCAGTACCGTTGCTCCAAACATTAATGAAGGTCGATCAGCCTTCCGTGTGTTGGCCTCGAGATTGCAAGCGTAAGCAGAGAAGACTGTGGATCTAAGCAGGTTCAACTACGGTACACAGAAATTCAATCATAAGAGCGCGATCCTTCCTCAAACCCAGACGCCATGATCCAACTCCGGATGGAGTGACAAACTGTCCACGAAGTCCAGAAAAGCGGTCATGCAGCTATCGTATCTCCGAACTATTCCACTGATCTACGAGATGAAAAAGAACAGGGCGAGCAGCTGCGGTTGAAAGTTCAGGGTGTTGAACAGGGCCCTACTCTTGACACGCATGCTGTGATTAGAGACTCTTAAGTACCGTTTATCACGGAATACGGACACTGAATGGTTACTTTGCTATCGCCAAGGGAGTGGAGCAGGAACACACAAAACTTGAATGAACAAGCCGACCGGTTGCCTTTGCCCGTGGCACTGTGAGAGATAGGTTGTGTCCAAGGCGACCGAAGTCGCCCAAGCCCTAAACTTCCCCCGCGCCGGCGGCGGGATGGCGATCATCGCGTAAGCCATCCAAGAAGGCCACCTGCGACTCGTTATTCCGCCCGCGCGTGGCATGCATATACGCCTTGAAGTTCCGCGACATCTGCACCACTTGGCGAATATGGCGGTCCGTGAGTTTGGGCACCGGGTCTTGGCGTTCTTTCGCCTCGAAGCACGCGAGCGCGACGGCAGTTTGGAAGGCTAATCAAGCCCCTCAACTGAATTAGCCTCTGTCCATTGCTCGAAGGAGGGATAATACTGATGTCGCTCGCTGGGGGTTGTCGCCCTCCGGACAGACCTACCGTTGCGAATCTCCCGCCCATTCCACTTCAAGTCTTTCAACTCCTGAGAGACACGGACGCATTCCTGTGCGGCATAACTGCACAGGATCTCCGGGCCCCCGGACCGGTGATTGTCCTCGAGCTTGCGGAAGTGGTTCTCCCAGATGCGTTCGCGTGCCGCGTCGTCGAGCGGGTCGTAGCCGATTTGCACGTGGATGCGACTCATGAAAGCCTCGTCGAAGCGGCCCACGCGGTTGGTCGTGAGGAAAAGGATGCCTTGGAAATAATCGAGGACGCGGAGGAAGACTACGGCCAGACAGAAGAAAAATGGCCAAGCAGCTCTGGTTAGCCTTGCAGCGTGGTTTCCTTCTTCTTCCTCCCTCGGAAAACTTCAGGGGACAGGGGGGGGGGGGGTGTCTCTTTGTATTTTTCCCTGCCATGTGTGACCTTCAACTCACTGGAAACGATGCTGTTCCTCCTCAGGTCGGACTGGGACCGGGTCTCCAAGTATACATCCGCCTCATCCAGAAGCACAATCGCGTTCCATCGGTTGGCGTCGCGGAAGAAGTTGAGCAATTTGGTTTCGAGGACTTCGGGCTCGTGCCCCAGGTCCGCGGCAGTGATACTCAGTAAGGGCCGACCAGTATATTCTGCCACCGATTCTATAGGACTGTCATCAGGTTCTCCTCTTGGGATGGAGAGGGTTTGCCCGGGAAAAGTCTTGGAAAGGGGGAAGGCATACCTGCTGTGAGGGTTTTCCCCGTCCCCGGTGGCCCGTGAAGCAAGATGATCTGCCCTTCGCCTTTGCCGGCGATGAAGTCGGCGGTGAAGGGCAGTTGTGGATAAGAGCCACCGAAGACCTCGCAGACAGCCCGGATCATCTGCTTGTTCGACTCTGGTTTCATGACCAGGGTGTCGATAACATTCTTGTTGTGAATTGGATCCTCCAGAAGCGAGACATCCAGTAGGTCTATGAACAGAACACGAAACGGTGTCAGAAATCGATATCTTTCTCCGGAAGGCAAGGACAGATCCTTCAGCCGAGCACGGGGTTTTACATATTTACATACCCCAAAGCCTATCGCGAAGGACAAAGGCATAGGCATGCGAGTGGCAGAGGAATAACTGATGCTCTGTGACCGGCTTGTCGGCATTGAGATCGATATCATCGTAGTCGTCGAATGTGGTCCGCAGCGGAGTGCCTGTCTGTCCGAGGCTGGTGGACTCGCAAGTCTTGCAGGGACAGCGGGGATGGCGCGTGCGCTCGCCAAGCTTCAGGACCAGTTCGTTCATCCCATATGCCTCCTCGGTTATCAATCTGCGATTGGCCGGAATATGGTGGTTACTAGTATGATCACTTCCTTTAATATCCGTCCATGGCCGACAGGTATGGTCCACCACTACCCGCGCTCGATTGAACTGTGGTTTTGATAGGTGTATATCAGTCAGACAGTGCACACAAGAGATACGAAGAACAGAGGGGCTGTCACTCACGCTTCGGATTCCTTGCAAGGTGCTGGGGCCCGTGAACTCCTGGAGGGTGGGTTTCTTCATGATCCGAACGTATCGCTGGCCCCGGGTGACGAGATTGCGGTACAGGACGCCCGTGGGGTCGTCGGCAAAACGAACGGGGTGCACGGGCAGGGTTCGAATGTCCCGCTCCCCGTCGAAGACAGGGATATAGATGGTTCGTAGGGACCGCGTGAGATACCGCCCATCGAAGGTTAGATTCCAGACGCGCACTTCACAGGGGCGAGCAAAGGTCCGGTGTTGTCCCTCGCCAAAGATACCCATCTCCGAGCTGCGCGCGGCCTCGAAGGCTTCTACAATGTAAGCATTGAGCTTCCCGCCCTTATCCTGCACATAGACCTCGCTTCCGGGTGGGAACAGTAGCCACAGACTCTTGAAGGTCGTCTTGGGGACGGAGTGGCGCCACAGCTCCTCCACCGCTTTGAGCCCAATCGAACCCTGCGCGTACAGATAGCGGACCAGAATGTCGATGTGCTTGTCACAAAGAGCATTGAATTCCGGATTGTGACGGCGGCGGACGGCGGCATAGGGGGAGGATGGGTCGGCGGTCTTGTAGGCCAGCAGCCGGTCTTTGTAGTGGTACAAGTCAGCGAAGGGGTAGACAAACACCCCGGTATCCAGGTTGGTCACGATCTTGTCGGCGCCCGGCTCAATGGGGGTGTATTCTTCCGCAGGCACGCGGAATTCGATTATCGTGCGCAGGGCAGCCAGAAGCGCCGCGGAATGGATATACAGAATGGGGTCTCCCGTCTCGAAGCGGCCAGTCATTAATGCTAACGCGCTTCGAAACACCTCGCGCTTCTCCTCCAGCACCGATTTCTTCGACCCGAGTTTCTCGTCTTCTTCCTCAATCACCGGCTCGTGCACCGAGGACCTGTTCGCCGTCACGACCACCTCCTGGGATGCGTTCATCCTCAGCATCGTTACACTGTAGATGATATCCGTCATCTGCTCGTCGCGGGTTACCTGACCCTCACTCCCCAGCACCGGCTTTATCTCCTTGCTCTCTTTATTCTCCTGCTTGTCCTCAGCAACATGCAGCGTGCCCGGTTGTTTGGTGCGGGCTATGTTGACTTCGCGGAGGAGGGAGTAATTCAGTCGGAATTGAATGGTAAACTCGAGACCAGGGACAACCAAGTGCTCCCAGTGGGTGGGAAGGATGTGCGAGCGATGCGGCTTCAGGACGATGAGAGCAAAATCGTCCGATGCCTTGGGCTCCGCGTCCAGTTCGTCGCTGCACCATTTCGGGAGATAGCAATCGATGAAGACCTCCTTCAGCAGTTCTTTGACCTCCTGCCACGTCCGGCAAATGGCGTAGGGAAAGGTCCATCTGGTGCCCAATGGATCAATGAAGGTGATGTCGGAGGAAGACTTGGAGTCATTCGACCGGTCATTGCGCCCGAACGTGTTCGTCATGCCACCGAGGATGGCTTTCTGTAGACCCTCCTGCTTGCTGTCCACCGAGTGAAGCGCATCTTCTTGAGGGGCGCCGGCAGACAGAGTTGGGCTCGTGGGAACGACCCGGGTGTATATGCTTGACCCGTCAATTTCCGGTTTCCAGGTCCTCGCATCTATTGTTCCACTGCAAACTTCATTTTTTGCGGGACCAGTACTGCATGCTGAAGACATGGGATCGATGCCCCCGGAGTCAAGCGGTGCCTCAATGCTACCCATGCTAAAAGATCAATCAAAGGACGGCTTGCCGGGGAGGTTTTGGGACAAATCCACTGCATTCACCTTGCACGGGGAAGCGCGTTGAAGCGATTGGGATCAGTAATCTTGAAGAAAGAAAGGGAGGAATTAAAGGGAATCGGCCCCCAGGATCTGCTTCTCAAGCTGCTGACAAATGTGTCTATCTCATTCAAAGCAGTGAATCACATCGTCGTGCGTGACCGAGATAGTATCTCACTGCATAAGCGCCTTGTACCTTCAGATTCCTGCGGGGAGCCTACGGAGTAAGTAGGGCACGAACCGCCGACACTGCATACCTATAGTACTTACGGCGTAAGCAACCCGCTACCCCTCACGCTATCGGGCAAACAATTGGTGAGCTTAAGTCTGACAGCCTTGTGCGGGGAAGTATGTCACACTACTCCGGAGTATACTCTTGGCGCTTGCTGTCGGGCTCGTTGAACCCTCTTTAATGTTTTTTTATGTCGATTTTCTTTACTTTTTTTGGGGGGGGGAGGCTAAGAGCGCGTAGGAAGCGCGACAGATGTCTTCTTCTTTCCCCCTTCTAGCACTCTGGCTTAGTATGCCCGCACTTCCACGCAATTGTGGAGATAGTGCGCTCCATTGCACCAGTTTTCTGCGAAGGTTCGCGGAAGGGCAAAGATTACTTGGATAATCAATCACTGGTTTTTCTCCCCACATCGATCTTCCTCTTGATATACTACCTCAGTGGTAGATGGTTGAAAGACAAGATGACAGATCGGAGTTCCAGCTTCCTTTCTGCCACCTCGGCCCACTCCTTCGTACAGCAGCTGCAGCCAGATTCCGAGCTCGATAGCCAGACGAAGGCCTACCAGGAAACGCTCGACCACGAAGTGGAAGCAAGCGAAAAGAGGCGCCTGAATCGTATATATTATAATGTGAAGCCAGAGGAAGGGTACAATCACATCTTTAAACCCCTCCGGCGGAAAGGAACTGATCCTAGAACATAGCACGATCTACCACGGGGCCGAAATCGCTCGGAACACGTTACAAGCCAAGTGCGAGGAATTCTTTGCACTGCAAAAACCGTCCGACCCATTGTCCCGTTCGTCGCCCGCGTCACGGTTTCGCCGTCATCATCGAAAGTCCGACTCGGCGCATTCGTGGATCGGGGCCGAGATTAAAGAAGCTGGGCTATACACGGCCGAAGACGTGAAAGGTCTGACCCTGCGGGCGGAGAAAAAATGGAAGGACGGGGCGGGGACTGTAGGTACCCTGAGTCTGCTTTCCTTTCTGTCTTTTTTGTCTTTTCTGTCTGTCTTTACCTGCACATCCCAGACAGTAGAGCGGCAATGATGCCAGTGGCGGTGGCAGTAGCAACAGACGAGAAAGAGGCTGACCCGCCAAATCAAGATCGCCCGAAACTTCAATACGATCTGTAACAGCCTAGACGCCCACAAAGGCATCTTTGATTGTTTCCCCAGCGCCACCTGCTATACCTCGGCGCTTTGTGGCGCTGTGTCGATGATCATCCAGGCTTCGGTCAACTACTCGACCATCGCAGAGCAGCTCTCCTCCCACATCACGACCCTGTCGGAGCGTATTCTAGTCTGCACCCGGTGGGTAGACGCCTTCCATGAGCCCGTCATGCAGGAACGCCTCGCCAGCATCTACGGAGCATTTTTCGACTTTTTCACCGAGGTGGCGGGTTGGTTTCTCAAGCCGTGGCACGCCCGGGTCCTGGACTCCTTCAACAGCCACTGTGCGCCCAAATACGAAGCCACCTTCTCGGCGATCAACCGCTCCCTGGATTTGATGACCGAGTATGGAGTGATTTTGATCGCGGATGGCGTCCTGAAGCTGTCCCAGTCGGCCGCTTATCTGCGAGAGGCGATGGCCAAATGGCGCACCGAGTTCAAGGAGGTCGAGACGTACCGACGGGAGGTGGGACAGTGCATGCACATCCTTTTGGAAACCAGCGAAACTCAGCAAAGTGGGTTCCATCCTCAGCTAAATCCTCGCCTTACTGTATAGTATTGTCAAGTTAACGAATGTGTGCTTTCCCCTCTCACCACAGTGCACTTGCGACAGATCGAGCAACAGTCCCGTCGTCACCAATTGCCAACCGGAAGAAACCAGCTGCACCTGTTGCAGCAGCTGCAGGAGCCGCATCTTTCCCGAAGCAATCTTGACCGCCGTGATGATCAAGCCGAGAGCCAAGAGGGGCGAGGCAGGGGAGGAGAAGGAAGCCCAACATCCTCCACAACCCCCTTGATTCCCAAGTTCACTTCTCACGCCGACGCAAAGCAATATTGTGCCCATTTTGAGGATTTCATCACCGCGGTGGGCGCGAGCGATGGGTTGGATCTCGTCTCCGATGCCCACGTCATCCGGCTGGACCCCTTGCTGGTCCGCCGCTTGGGGGCCTGGCTGCAACCTCATGCGGACCATGGTGTGATGATGGATAGTTCTGTGGGCAGCCCTCGGACCCTCTGGATCAACAGTCCCTACCAGCGGGGCACCACCCATGGCGCGCAGCTGGCCGCGATCAAGGTTCTTCAGGTCGCTATCCGCGCCCAGGCACCGTTCATATCCCATTTCTGCCATCGCCCACACTGGACCCCGGTCCCGAACTTTGTCGGCACGGCGAGAGACGCGGGCCTCCTCGCGCTAGTCTATAGCCTGATCCTGCAGCTCCTGCAGTACCGACCACCAGGGCAAATTCTTCTACCCACGCATGACCTAGCATCTCTGGGTAGTCGTGATCGTCCGATGCAGATCGAGACCTGCTGGCGTCCGGCATTGGAGATCTTGCGCCTTCTTCTGGCGGGGAGCTCGTCAGTGTTGGGATATTGTATCATTTCCGGCTGGACGGAGCTAGAGGAGGAACAGAGCGCGGCGGACGGTGCCTCGGAGCTGTGCACGGAGTTTCTGGACGTGCTGTTCAACCACGCAGCCCCCTCTCTGCGGGTCTTGCTCACGACTTCCGGCCAGTCGCGAATCCTGGATGAGTATGTGGGCTTAGAAGGAAGGGTCCGGACCGAGCAAACCGCTCAACAGATGGCACGGAATGGGCGAATAGGGTTGCTGTTCTGAGTGCGTCGGAATCTCACTCCATCACGGAGCCGACATGATGCTCTCCACCCAAACAGGCGTCATCCCCCTCAATAGGCGGCTATCGACTCCGGAGAGAGACACTGCATCAAAACTGGATTTCTGCTCTGTTGCTGGCCCTAAAAACAGGCGCTTGATGACCATGATGAACTGGCTAACCTGACGCGTAGCCCTGCGTCTCCGGACCTTGAAAATCCAGATCCCAATCACTCATGCGCGATCTCGAGGACCACAGGCCAGGGGATAGTGGCACAGGAGCCGTCAACATCATGACAGATGGCTCTAACAACGATTGACGGGCTCCTTGGCCCGTCAGGCATGCACCCATGGGTGCCTCGGGGACCTATGGCCTTATGTATGCACATAGTTCAGAGCGAAGGTCTGAAGAGCCTTCCTCTTCTTCTTTTCTTCCCAAGAATGGAATTCTTGCCTGGTTAGGATTTTATCTTCCTTTGTAGCCTCACAACGATGTCTATTTTGACAAGCTGGATGAACAGCAGGGGTGTGGGCTAGAGACACAAGGGATGGAAAAAGAATATGATTCTCTCGAAGCAAACTCTCCGTAATACACCAAGCATGTCCTTGCGGATTTCCAAAGTCTATCTTTTGGCCGAACTCGCGAGCGCTCTTGCGACGTGATAGGCCATTTTCTTTTTACCGTACAACGAACGTGCTGACATTACATTGAAGGGGCGGGGGGTGGTCTCCTCCATCTCTGTGTTAATTGATTTTTGAGCTTTGCTGACCTCACCATAATCGACCCCGGGGGTCAGTCAACAAACTTATTTTGAAAAGCACTGTTGTCTTGTTCTTTGAACGGAGATATGGTCATCGCATGTCCTTGTGTCTACTGAATTTGCGGTGTGGGGCAAGGCACCTGTTTCAACATGTAAGAGCCTTGAATTTGACAGTGTCGCTATAAATTTGGCTTCATTGATTAATCGGATTCTTGTATCTTGTATCAAAGAGGTCTGATGGTCTTACTGGGCCTTTCTCTAGAAAGAAAATCCATCCGAGCTTCTGGTCTTTTATATCCTTAAATGATTGGGAATGCATTTATTCAGACACTATGATGGAAGTAAAGCTGCTAACTCTCTTATGTGATGTTATTTCATCTGTGTTTCTCTTGGCGGATCTCGTAGCATGCTGCCTGTAAACAGGCATCATTTACTTCCTTAGAATAGTCCTGGTAGCGTTTGACAAAGCTGTGAAATCTTCAGTGATTAGTTGCTGAAGTATCGGCCCTTTTAGTTCACCACTGGCACACTCGCATGGTCCTATGCTTGTGTCTCCCACTGGCAGCTAAGAGAAGGGAAGAATCTACTTAACTACTCCTACCCTGATGAGTCAACTCAACCAGCTTTTTGTTAATGTGATCTACATGCGGGCTGGCTACATAAGCGGCCTGGCCGGCTTGCCAAGATTTCCAGTTAATATAGTAAAACTGTTGTTGTATATTTGTAAAATATTGTAACTAATAATTATACTTATATAGCTTAAAACAAGAGATTGTAGTATATTAATATGGGAGCAGTACTTTTAAAAAACTATAGAATCGCGGGGGACTAACTATAGTTAGTACGGTTATAGATAATGTAAGCAAAGACTAAAAACCGCATTGGCTCTTCTAAATGCCCTGAGGTATTAATAGCGATCACCTGACAGGGCGGGTAGAACGGGCATCGATCATCCCGAAGAGCGAGCACTGAGCACTGGGGTAAATCTGTCAAGCAGCGGTAGCCCGGAGGAGTTGCCGGGCGGAACGGAACGGATGTGAGGCTAACAGTCACAGTACCACAGTACACAGTTCTATATATTTGTGTAATCGTAATTCCGCGTAAGAAACAAAAAAGGAGGGGTGGTGGAAGTTGGGACAATCGCGGGTCATGTTACCTATAGCCTGAACATATAGAATATCTTCGCATCCTTGTAACCTTCTCCCTCAGTCCCCCTTTGAAGGGGTCACTTTAAGTTTACTTGTTGGTTTCACTAGTTTGCACCGAAGGAGGAATAAGCAAAAAAGGGAAGCAGAAAATATGGACACCTCCTTTGCACCTTACCTGAGGTTCTCCGATGAAAACAGACAGTATGAGAGCACCCTCGGCGATAGGCAGACTCTGAAAAGATGCTGACGCAGCGGCTGCGCATTACAGTCCAGACACTCCGGCCCTGGAGGTAACTCTCAGTGGGCCACGAAACTTCTATACCCAGAATCCAACCGGGAATTTCTTTACCTTGACTGTCAAGCGACTTGGGGAGCGCGAACCTTCCGAGAACCGGCACAAGCCATGTTATTTCTACTGGTCTCCGAGCACAGATGAGGGGTTTCGGGTTTTTCGCACCCAGGAATCGGATGCGCAGGAGCAGGAGGTGGAGGTGGTGGTGGTGAAGTTGAGTTCTCCCTCGCCGGCAACGCAGCAATCGGACCAACTCCACCTATGGTCCTTGAGCGCGGACAAAGATTCAGTGTCGTGGGACGTCAGTCTGGGTGAAAACATGTTCCGCAAGCTGGAAAAAAGTGAGTCGGTCACGTACGTGCTGTTTTGGCCGGGGGGGCAGGTCTATCTGTGGGACTGGGGCACAAGCATAGGAGACAAGGGGTTTTCTGCCCGCCGGGAGCTGGTGCCTAAGTCCACCCCAATCGTCCTCCCAGGCGGTGCCAGATGTGCGTTCAGTTTGGTGGATGGCCATGTGCCGCCGCTGCCGCCTCGACCAACGGACCCAGGTGTCAGTAGTGTGTGAGTTTCCTCTTGCCACCCCTCCTCTAATGAGGAAATGCTGACCACAACTGATGCGAGAGCACCAAAGTACCCCAGGTACTCCGATCCTCCGTCTCGAGCTGGATGCGCCAGCAACATGGAAGGTACTGGAAGACTTACCCTTGACCATAAAGCTCACATATCATGGGGTGTCGGGAGAGGAGTCCCCACGACCGATCACGTTCTCGGTCGGCGATTTGTACGCGTGGGGGGTACTGTCCGCCTATCGGCGTCGGGGTAGTTCTGGGGAATGGGGTGCTTGGCTTAGTACTGCTGCGTGGGGTTATCCGGAGTTTGGGGACGACGAAATCAAGTGCACGGTGGGGACGAGCGATGCGTTCATGACTCTGCAGCCCCACGAGACGTGGCATGACGTGTGGCCGCTTGAGTGTGAGCTGTCTCTACCAGCAGATGCCCGTGTCGGAGAGGTTATTCGATACCGATTTGAGGGATGCAAGCTAGCCTGGTGGAATTGGGGAACATTGGAGGATCATAAGAATACAAGTATAACATTAACTGGTCTGGGAGGAGCGATCGTCGATCCACCCAACAATGACGGGCGGCCAGAGGTTATGATACCGGCTTCAAACCTGGTGGAATTTACAGTCGTGGACTGAGACTGAGAAGTTTGGAATTCAACCCAATCTATCCTCAACCGGGCATACTTATTGAAATGGAATCATTATGGCGCACTTAGACGTTATCACTACCCGCAAGTAGCGGCTCGTTCTCATCTAACGGAGTCAACTGGCAATGCTGATTTTTCCATGCCAGCCACAACAGAGATGCCTGGACTAGAGCAAAGACCCCATTGTCCACGGCCGGCCAACCGACGAAGATATACCAGTTATAGATCGTAAACCATGATGCGTAGATATCCCAACTAGAGCCGAGATATGTCACCCGCAAAGGCCAAGTGATAGCCAGAACTGAGAACACTCCTGCTTGTGCCGCAAGTCCTACTGGACTCAATGCTCGCTGAGGCGGCTGACCTTTCCTGAGCTTTGCTGCCTGACAGAACACTGAGCCCAGAGTAAGGAGTGTCGTGAATGGATTTAGTAACATGAAATGGACACCACTCAGCAAGGCGAACAGAAATTCATCTTGCCTGTCGTGGGGACATTGTTTTCTGTTTGTGATCAAGACCATCAAGACTGCCGGAATAATGGACACGAATAAGAAACCGATATATGGCAATGCGTGGCAGGACTTTTGGCGGAGCGATAAGTGGGAGGAATATTTTAAACATAGTGTAAAGCTTTTTCATTATGTCTCAGTATCTATTTTCATCTTTTGTTCTCTCTTCTTTCTTTCAAACGTGGCTTAGAAGCTACAGGGGAGATGAAATCAGAACCGGTTAACTCACGTGAGGTGGTAAAGCATCCAGACCACTGTTAAGTGAATGAAATTGACCCAATCTCCAATGGATCTAGGATGCTCGAGAAACATGTCCGATCTTCCATCTGGGGTGTTGTTGTACAATAAACCTAGGAGAAACTGCTCGGTGGCACAGATCAAGTTTAAGGATAAATAGCAGAGCGAAAGACCCGAGCTATCCTTTCTCGTCCAGAGGAGTTTCAGCTGGGGTAGAAATGAGATGATGCTGAAAACCAGTAGGATGCTATCAGGGTGAAATTAGTGAGGGTTGGGACTTTACAAATTATCGAGTAACGCACATTCGGACCCAGCAAGGGAGGAGTAGTTGAGTGACCATCATTCTTCTAAATCGAGTATTAGCACTGTGAGAACGGACACATTGAGAGAAGATTGTGCAATGGGTCTTGGCAGTCGAGGGGTTTTTAGATCATTTTGACTTGCTTCGATTTCTTAGTATATTTGCATGGTCCGATACAAGACTCCTTACGACTAGCCGGCCACTCGTATGTACTATGAACATTGAAAAATAACCAGATACTGAACCCTGATATTACTGAGTGTAACTGAGGATTCTGAGAATTGTTGGAGTTTCCGGCACTGCTGCCTAATATTCAATTTTCACAACACCAATCAACACTTCCTCCGTACACTAATAATATAATCGCCAATCGCTAGCTCAGAAATCCAATCTATCTGGCTGAGTACTTTTCCGCCACTGTATCCATCGGATATCAGGTATGGGTCCACCCCACCGTTGGTCCCTTCCCGACGGCCCCCTATTGATGGGAAGAGTGGTAGTGGCCATGTCGATGCCAAGGATGATTCATTTGACGTTTCGAGTGAGCCTTTATTGATAGGTGCACGAGGCTGCCAGTTGGAATCTTCTCATCAGAACTGAGCCTTCTTTGACCGTCTTACCGGGCCACTTGGATCAACTGGAGCATGACTGCTAGCCGCAATAGCCGCGACAGATGAGACGGGAATTTGCGAGGGTGTTGGCGAAGCAGGCCCGGACCATAACCCTGCAGTTGGCTTCGGAGTACAGCCGCCGTACGCAAAGCCCTTGTTAGGTGCAATGGCCACTGCGGTAGCACGGTGAAGGTCACACTGACTTGAATGCTCAACCCAAGACCACGCTTGACATTTTGTTGTTTGACCGCACCAGCGCTCACACTCGGCTGCTGTTTCGATGTGAAAACTGTAAGTGATGGGGGCGCTGCTGAACCAAGCAAAGGTCGCGTTATGGATGTTGGCCCAACACTCAGCAGTGCCTTCGACGCCAATAATGGCTATGGCAGTAGCAAGGCAGAGAATGCGGACAAAAGCCATTATAAGAGATGCGTTCACCAAGGAAATAGAAGGAAAAGATACAGTGGAAGAGAACTTGTCTAGAAGACGATATATATAGAGAGAAATCGTGTGGGATCGAGTATTTACAGATCTGAATATGAACGGTAGTGTCATGTCTTGGTATGGAGTGGAGCATGACTACAGAGACCCCACCAGGAAGTTTCGCTTGGTGATGAAATAGTGCGCCACAATGGGTACCGCTAAGGGGTCTTTATGTCTTAATGCGAACAGTCTGTTCTTGGAGATGGTTTCCTGATTGAAACAGACTAGGAATTAGGATTTGTTTACCTTACCAAACAATAGCCTGATACAATTTTAATGAAATTGCTCCATTTTGTCCATTGTGTAGGAGATATCCAGAAGGATGAAAAGGTTTGTGACATATTCGCTCGCATTGCGCTGCAAAATTAATTGCATTCAATAAAGAGGGTTGCAAATCACTGCATATAGGCCTGAGAGCATTGGAACAAAACCAATCTCTTTTACATACCTTTAGGTAATTGTTTCCATCTATTGTAATGAAGTACTGACCACTCGAGAGAAAGTTCTATCGTTGATGTTTTGGCATTAACTGGTGGATACAACAATCGCATAAATCTATACAGACATCTAACCGCGAAGGGAAGAGAATCCTGCAAGAAAAATTGAGCGTGGCATGCTATCGGAGCCCTAAGACTTTAACACCCCTGGCGTGGGCTTGCGCAGGCAGATTCCACAAGTTGACTATCTGGACTAATTATATAGTGACTTCGCGTACCCGACTCGGATAAAGACAAGTGAATCTCACCATACTTATTTCCCTGTTGCTTAGCATACTAAGAATGGACCCGGAGAATTGGTCCTAACTCCTTGTATCCAGGAACAACACACATACGGCTCTCATTACCAGTAGTTTTGTGGATCTGGTTATATGATCTACTGGAGCCAGTCAGTACGGTAGTGGAACAACTTGCACACTAGAAGTTGAAGCTATACGGTATTTGGAAACTGGCATCTGGCATTCATTTTCCACATAAACTCCTCATTCTGAGTCAATTAGGCGCAAAGTTTCTGGTCAGTCTTCTCGAGCCCTTGGACAATCTACCTCTGTTTGGAAAAATTGCTAATGATTATTCGCATATAAATAGGGTAACCCGCTCCTCATACTATCCTTAATCTTCAGTAAAAGTTTACTATCTCTCTCTTATTTTCTTTCTTAGTCTCTCATTAACATACGCTCCTTTTTCTCCCTTCATCCTCCAATTCTCTATTTCTCTGTGTCGTTGGTCTCATTGCTCCGTCTTATTTGTTTTCCACATGCCGCTGAGCAACGAAGTATGAGGCCCATTTCTCTCGTTATATGGGCCTCATGGCTCGCTTTCAACCATGCGCGGGCAGCAGCTGTGTTCGCCCACTTCATGGTAAGTCAAAGATATAGAAGACACTCTAAGTTTTGTGATGGAGAAGACTGATCAAGTACTTTGACTCTAGGTAGGTAATGTTCCTACATGGGATGCTGCCACCTGGGAAGACCACATGCTCTTAGCTATAGATGCTCATGTTGATGCATTTGCCCTCGACATAGCTAATGGCTGGTATGCCAATGAGCCTTCGTTGGCCTTAGCATTTGAGGCCGCCGAGACTTCTGGTTTCCAGCTCTTCTTCTCCTTCGATTACGCCGGAAATGGTTCATGGGCGCAAGAGGATGTCATCGCCCTGATAAGTCAATACAAGGGCTCAAGCGCTTACTACCACTACAATGGCCAACCATTCGTCTCTACATTCGAAGGCCCCGGCAATGCCGAAGATTGGGTGACTATCAAAGTTCAAACAGGCTGCTTTTTAATCCCCGATTGGTCTTCTTTGGGAGCTATCCCAGCCGCAGCGGCAGCAAATGGAGTTGCCGAGCAGTAAGTCGGAGTAGTATTGTATCACCCAAGGTTGACCTAGCACTGACGTGGGCACCCTCGGGTTTCTTAGGCTGGGCTGGTTGGCCGTGGGGAGACTCGAACATGACCACATTTGTTGATGCTTCTTACATCGAAACGCTGAATAGTTCCGGAAAGCCTTATATGATGCCAGCTTCTCCGTGGTTCTATACAAATATGCCCGGCTACGACAAAAATTGGGTCTGGAGGGGAGACGATACGTGGTACCAACGGTGGATTCAGATATGGTATATGCAACCTGAATTCGTTGAGATCATCAGCTGGAATGACTATGGTGAGTCTCATTATATTGGCCCACTCGATAATAGCTCCTACGGCGCCTTCGCAGCGGGTCGAGCTCCCTACAACTATGTTGAGAATATGCCGCACGATGGCTGGAGGGAAGTCCTTCCATATATGATTGACACATATAAAAATGGTCGAAGCTCTGTTAGTGAAGAGAAGATTGTGGCGTGGTTCCGCACCTCGTTATCAGATGACTGCAATCGCCAGTGGACTACTGGAAACACTGCTTCGCAGTTGCAAGAGGAATTTCCGCCTGATGAGATTGCGCAGGACCGTCTGTTCTTTACCGCGCTGCTTGCCTCACAAGCAGAAGTAATCGTGCACTATAATGCACCGACGAATGTGATCGAAGCTGACTGGGACTTCTTACCCCCTTCCCCGGAGGGATCTGGGGGTGTTGGTCTCTATCATGGGAGTGTCCCTTTGAAGCATGCGCAGAGAGTCACAATTGAACTTGTGCGTGACGCCACCACTTTCCTCACTCTAACTCCAGTACAAAGTATATCGGCGGATAATTGCGTTAATGATCTCACCAACTGGAATAGCTATGTGGCTGTTAGTGAAAGCATTGAAGTGACGGAGGAATATGCTGCTTTCCATCTCAGTCAGATGATCTGCACGGCTGGCTACAGTGTTGGTGACTTTGATGAGCTTTGCCGCTTTACATGCTCTTTAGGATACGTACGTGATCTTGGTGCCATGCCACCGTCTTACTATTGAGACTGACCAATTATTAGTGTCCAGTTGGGGCCTGTGTTTGTACTAATCTAGGCGTGTTGACCAGTTTCCCCAATGCAACAGGAGAGGTAGGATATCCTGCCAACGGGGATGCCAATTGGTCTGGCCTCTGCACTTTCGCATGCAACCTCGGGTTCTGCCCTAGCGAATACTGCTCCAAAAGTGTACAACCTCAATATATACCTAGTGTCTCACCTTTTACACCCTCCGCGTGTGTGTCTGGCACAGGCAACGGCAGTTTCTCCGGGCTCTGCAGCTATACCTGCAATTTTGGGTTTTGCCCCGAGAACCACTGTTCCTGCACTGAAACTGGAGCCTTGGTAACGGCTCCCTCCATTGTAAACGAGACCGGGGTCTCTTTGATTGGCTATGACTCCGACTTGTGCAAATGGTCCTGCGAGCGTGGATACTGTCCTGATACTGCCTGTGCACGCGCGGTGTTCAGTTACCCTGACAATTCATGCAGTGCCGCCCAAAAGTCTACAATCGAGCTTGAGATGACCAACGCGATCTCTCTGGCTTCCTTTGCTGCATCCGATTTCCAGTCCGGCCCATACTACGAAGCCTTCTTTCCCGCTAGTGTGCGGTCCAGCACGTTCACGGCGGACGCCGCCAACGTGTTCGCAAGGTCCGCCAAGTTGCTTTCTGGCCAAGACACGCAGTCAAATGGCGAACCGTATAAACTGCAAATCACCTGCCATAACAAAGGCCTGTGCGTCAAGCCAGGGCAGGAAATAATCGCATACATGAACGATGGGAAACGGACTATGAACTTTTGCAACCGATTTTTCGTGGCGGACACCGACCCCGACAGCAATAATAAGATTACAAGTACCGCCGCGAGGTTAGCTAATTGTGGGACTTTGAATCTGCGCAAATGCTCTCGGTCACGCTCCACAGTCATCGTCCATGAGTCCATGCATACACGATATGTTATGGGTAAAGACACACAGTTGGGTCTCCCACAATCCCCAGGTCTGCGATGCGCTACTAAGAATCATCTACTAGGGCCAATGATTATGCCTACGGCATCAATGGTTGTTTAAGCCTCGCAGCCAACACATTCACCCGAGCATGTCCGGCATACAAAAATCTGCCGAACCTGTGTCCGGATCCCACCACCGGACTAGATGGGCATTGTGATAAGAGCTATACCGCAATGAACGCTGACTCCTGGGCACTGACGGCTGCTGGCGCTTACTATAGCGCTCAATGTAGCCGAGAATTCCCCATTTCCAATGAGGTACCTACCACACTCAACCTTGCTTCCCACTTAACAAAGCGAGACACAGGCGATTCAGGCGCCTGCAATCTAGTAGATGATTTCATCCTGTGGGATGTCTATGATAATTCGGATCAGGTGACCGGCCTAGTTCATTTTGGGGATTCATTCGCGGCAGGTATGGGCACTGGGCGTACACCTTGGACTTATTGCCGCGTGGGCAGTGAAAATTACGGCAAGCTCCTTTACAACTACTTCGATAACACCAGTCTTCCCTATCAAAACTATGCATGCTCAGGAGACACTACAGTTGGACTGGCTGACAAAGTCAGCGCATGGACAGTTACATCGGACACGAATGTGGGGACGCTGACGATGGGAGGAAACAACCTCGGCTTCGACGACATTGTTTACTATTGTATCCTGACTCCCAACTGGTGGCGCTGGGCCAGCACAAACAAGAAATGGTGTGAAGAGTCCAAGTCCAAGGCCCGCGATCTGATGGCCGACGATAGCGAAAATGGCCTGCAATCACTACTCACGGCGGCATACCTGAGCATCATGAACAAGGCGACCAACGCCGACTTCCGGCTTTATGTCACGGGATATCCTCGTTTCTTCAACAACGAGACTACCACCTGCGATTATTCTTCTTTCCACTTTTGGTGGGGTAAGTACAATGGCGCCTGGGACCCACGCATCGTGTACTTGACCACCGCCATGAGGACAGAGATGAACGGTTTGGTGCAACAGGTCAACTCGGTAATATCAGCCGCAATCAGTGAGGCTAACACTGTCTTGGGGAGTGCCGGTGTCGTGTATGTCGATGTCGAACCTTACTTCGAGGGACACAGGTTCTGCGAGGATGGTGTCAAAGAACCCGACTCCAGCCGCGATGCGACGTACTTCTTCCTCAGCAATTGGAAAGACGTTATGATCGACAATCAAGAGACAGTAAGTTCTTCGTCTTTCTTCTCTCTATCGCCGCTGCAGTTTCCCACAAGATAGGCCACTAATTTGTGTCTGGTTGACACTTGCATAGACCACTTCTGCCGAGATCGCTGCCGAGGTGGCGACCATCATTGCGGATGGGCTCACTCTCCCCGACGCGGCCACCTGCAACACCACCTTGGGTACCGACCCTGATCCTTACGCAGTAGCCATGTGCCGGTCTGCCCTCCGGATTGCGGGCGATCCAGGGGGTCAGGAGTCCCAGCTCTTTGCCCAGGCTCAGCTCGACATCGCCAACAAGAATTATTCCAGCCAGGATATCAGTTTATGGGTGCCGGTGAACCAGATCAAAACCTTTCATCCCAGGAGTAATGGCATGCTCGCATTTCGCGATGCTGTAGTGGCTGCACTGGTCTTCTTGCGCGATGTGCAGCGTGAAAGGAGAGCTGCGCAGGACAGACCTATCAGGACACACTGGGTTCCCGTGGCATCGAGTTTCTTCGACTGATATAACTTAATCTTCTTTGCGAATGATATAAGAGCCTCTGTCCCCTCTTTATGCAATTCTGTAGAAATCAATACAAGTGTGATTACAACTTTGATTCAACTGTCTGCAAGCAAGCGAAGATTTAAACCAACTTGATCATCGCCCTCATGTCTCACCGTGTTACGAGTACTCCATATGGAAAGCTGCCCTGCATTACCTCTGCACCCGGTAAAAACACCAAACCAGTGTGTCTGTCATCGCCATAATCCCAAGCCCTGACGGCTATTTCACTGAGATACTCTGGGTCTAGTGCTTGCAAGACTCCCCTTAAAAACGAGGTTCGATGGAGGTGTCCTTGGACCTTATGACCTTCTTTTTATATGTGAAGGCATAACGACGTTTTCGCCTGGAAACAAAGGGGAAAAACCAATATTATAAACAAGCTGCCTTCCCAGCTAGAACATGCCTGCATTGGGCAACTTCGAAGGCGCTCTTAGTTACTGAAGTGAGAAGCAAAGTCAGAAAGAAGGGTGCCGGCCTGGTATAGATGATAGTCCTTAATTTCCCCTAACCAGTCACCTGAAATCCAAGCCGAGTTCACATTCCTGGACGCTATTTTCGGTGGTATGTGCTTAAATTAACGTCGACACGTAAGCGTAGTGCTACAAAAGTATTTATCCGCTTTGCGCGTGTGGTTCAGGAGGATCATTGCAACATGCAAAAATAAAATCTTTTGTTCTGCACTGAACCTGAGACAATTTCAATCTCACAGCTGACTTAGCTAAGCACAGGCTTGTTAATTATTTCTTTTCTCTGATTGTATTTATATTAGAAAAACCCACTCTCTAATTGCTAAAGACTAGGCTAACAATGCTCTCAAGTAACCGGAATTGTAGTCTGTTTAGTACCGTGAGATCTACGCCTATACTGTCGGTTGGCTTGGTAACAAGAAGTTAAATATACTAATTAATCTTGTTAGAATAATGACATTCACACTGTCAATCAAGAGCCCGGAGAAGCCCTCCGGATAATGATCTCAAGACCCATAGTTCTAATGCAAATTGTTAATCAAATGGTTTTCATCAGCATCACTTGTGTAGACAACATCCTATACAATATCTAAGTAGTACAGTATGTATAATGATCTACACTGATATAACTTACTACATCGGTCAAAAACAGGTAATGTGATTCTATAGTGCTTTGTAATTGTAGGTGTAAGGGCTCAACCAGCCCTTCCAACCTTCGCGAATAATCTATATATAGCGGGCCTCAGGCACGAATCACGTAACAACCAAGCGAGCAGACCGCGATCTGCCATAAGGGCGGCGGCTGCCTCGCGAATTAGGCAAATTAGCAACAACACCATAAGGCAATATTGGCACCTTAGGCCTCGCGAGAGACTATTCGTTCATCACGCTATTTTACTTACTTTAGTCCTTATAGTAGGCATAGCACCAGTATAGTGTACCAAGATTTGGGGACCACAGTAGAATAGTATTTTAAGTCTTTATAAACAAAAATACTAGGCTTCCTCCAAAAGGAAAGCTAAAGAAAGTCTATATCTGGGGTTTTTATAATGTAATATAAAGCTAATTTACTAATCATTAGTTTAAAATATTTTATATATCTTTAAATCTTGACTACTGGACGAGCTATATAAGTCTACTAATACCAATCAATATTTATTTATTTAGATATCTTCTTAGCTAAGGAAATAGCTGAATAGAAAAGGGTATACTGTTACAGTGTTACCTTCGCCTTCTCAATTTTTATTATTCTGCCGGCAGATTTGTTCTTGCAGAGGGGCCACTATATCCTTCCGCAAAGTAACCTAATAACAGCATGACTCAAGCATAGACTGTTTTCCCTGCATTTTTGTATACCACCCAGTCCATTCACAACTCTACCATCAAACCAAAATGGGCAAGTCCAATCTAGAGCTGGTCAAAGAATGCGACCGGTAATTGCCTTGCCCCTCCGACCCCTCCCCCTTCACTGTCCATCGGAATGCTTACTTACCCATGATCCCACCACGGTAGATTCCCGTACTACCAGGATGACCCCGCATTCTACACCGCGCACCTGGAGAACTACCACGTCTTCAAAGTCAGCGGCTGCGACGCCGTGTTGGGTTACATCCTCAACAGCGTGGTGCAGCGCTTCCCCTGGCCGGCCGAGTTCTGGGCGGTCGACTCCACGACGCGGACCGTCACCCTCGTGACCGGCGCCGATGCGACCCCGGCGCAGCGCAGTCGGCAAGTCGCGCAGACTCTCGCCGCAGCGGTGGAGCAGGGCACGTTCGAGATCCTGCGCGGCTGGCGCGACGAGCTCTACCCTATCTACGGGCCAGGGGGCGAGTTCCTGCTGGAGATGGAGCGCTCGGCCACCCCGCTCTTCGGGGTGGTCTCCTACGGCATCCACGCCACGTGCTACGTCGAGGACGACGAACAGGGCCTCCGGATCTGGGTGCCGCGGCGCTCGCGCACGAAGCAGACCTACCCGGGGATGCTGGACAACTCCGTGGCGGGCGGGATGAGCTCCCACGAGCGGCCGTTCGAGTGCCTCGTGCGCGAGGCGAGCGAGGAGGCCTCGCTGCCGGAGGCCGTGACGCGCGCGAACGCGCGGGCCGCCGGCTGCGTCACCTACTTCTACGTCCGGAGCTCCAAGGCCGGCGGCGAGACCGACCTGCTGCAGCCCGAGGTCGAGTACATCTACGACGTGCGGGTCGCCGCGGACATGGTGCTGCAGCCCTGCGATTCCGAGGTCGAGCAGTTCCACTTGCTCTCGGTCGAGGAGACCCAGGCGGCCCTGGCGCGCGGCGAGTTCAAGCCCAACTGTGCGGTCGTCTTGATCGATTTCTTCATCCGCCATGGCATCCTGACCGCCGAGAACGAGCCGGATTTCTTGGAGATTCTGGCCCGGATACACCGGCGCTTGGAGTTTCCCACTGCCTCGCATGCGACGAACTAGAAAGAAAGAGGAGGCGAGACAGATAAAGGCATGTATGAGAGCGAAGCAGCAGCAGCAGGGAATGTACACAACATGTCATAGAATTTAGTGGTTCTCTATTTCAATATACCCAAATTTCACCAATCGAACGCCGGCGCTGCAATCGAAGGACCCCAATCAAATGCAATCAGACTTTTTTCTGTTTTTCAATCCACTTTCCCAAATACTAATCGGACTTCGAGCGCTTCTACAACCCAGAATAGCTTTAGGGAATCAGAAAACAAACGTCAAAGACGACTCTCGTCCTTTGCTGTCCTTATTTCTTAAGAAGAAGGTAGACATAGTCGATCCGCAAGGGTGCCAGCTTCTTGTAGGGACCTTCGAGGTAGAGCAACAATCCGCCAAAGGAGGTGAAGACAGCCCTGGAGAGAAGAGAGATCCGAGGTTAGTCATAGTCACAACTTCCATGAGATCAAAAAAACCCCCCACATGTCGCCATAAAGATCCCAGTACCAGGACACCAAGAACTTACATATTTCCCGCAGTCGAGCTCTCCTCAAACCGGTAGACCTTGCCGTGGCAGACGTAATCGTAGTCGTTGGCCAGGGTCTGCTCGCCCATGCCGACCTCCTTCCAGCCCGCCTTGGCCCCGGAGTCGTCCTTGCCATCCAGCGACAGAGTCGACGCCAGCGCCATGTTGAGGGACTCGCCCACGACGCAGGGGTACAGCTCGGTGTTGACGTCGAGCGTGAAGGTCGTGAAGTTGTCCGAGGAGGTACAGGTCAGGCGCGACACGCGGTCATATTTCTGCTGGTTGATCGCCGTGATGGTGAAGGTGTCCTCGAAGAGTAACGGGTCGGACATGGTGGGCAGGTTTCGTTGCACACCGAGTTTTCTTCGTGTAGAGAATTGCGACCTTGGTTGTTGGTGTGAAAGGTGTGTATAAGCCGGTCGATAGATGAGAAGCGAGCGCGCGCGCGGAGGGTGGAAAGATCCAGAGTGAAAGAAAGTGAGGAGTTCGCGCGGGAGAAACCCGACGACAGCTTTTTTGGTAGTAGAACTTTTAGTGCCGCCGTCCTCGCCGCCGCCGCCGCTTTTACAGTACCTTTCCGTGCATTGCCCCGCAGCCAAATCTCAAAGCTTGAAGAAACAATTTCATGCGCGCTTCAGCTGAGTTGCATTTACCACAACAACATTCTCAATAATGTCTTTTCGAAAGAGGAATATTGGATTATCGACTGGAGGCGATCGGACTGGGTCCGTCAATGCCTCTGCCGGGCTGCAGCAAGCGACGTCTGCTGCTGCTGCTGCTGCTCCAGAAACCACACCGGGCGTTCGCCCCTCCCCCGACGATGGGCGACCGACGACGTCGACAGGAACACCGTCGCTTGATAACATACTTGCTGGACATGGAGGGCTTCCTATTGGGAAGACGTTGCTAGTGGAAGAGAATGGGACGACAGACTTTGCGGGAGCTTTGCTACGATACTATGCGGCTGAGGGCGTTGTGCAGGACCACAGAGTCCATGTCGTCGGGATGCCCGAGCAGTGGGGAAGAAGTCTTCCGGGGCTTATAGGGCCAGCTGATGCTGTCGATGATAAGCAAGACAAGCGCAAGGGCGAGCGCATGAAGATCGCTTGGAGGTACGAGCGACTGGGGGAGTTTGGAGCAGGAATTGCAGGGTCAAGAGGTAATTCGATCTATGTCCATGGGTGTGAATGAGGCGCATTGACAAGTGATAGTGCCTACAGCTACTTCCGGGGACCAGAGTCAGCCGACTGCAGACGGAAGTCCGGACAAGCGACCTGCGTTCTGTCACGCTTTCGATCTGACCAAACGCCTCACCCACCCCTCCATCACCAATCTCAACTACATCCCGCTCACCCCGTCGAACGAACCCTTGTTCACGACCATCCACAAACGCCTTGATGCTGCGATCGCTTCGAGCCCTCCAAACACTGTCCATCGCATCGTCATCCCGTCTCTCCTGAACCCCACGATATACCCGCCCGAATCGAGCCAGCCTGATAGCGTTCTGCCGTTCCTCCACTCCCTCCGAGCACTACTCAACACACCCGGCGTTCGAGCCACGGCGATGATCACAATTCCCTTGTCTCTGTTCCCTCGTGCCACGGGCCTCGTTCGATGGATGGAACTCATCAGCGACGGCGTCATCGAGCTGTGTCCCTTCCCTCACTCAGCCGACGCGCTCGCCACCTCCGGCGCAGCGACGTCCCACGAGGAGCCTCCCCAAGGAATGTTGAAGACCCATCGGCTACCGGTCCTGCACGAGCGTGGTGGCGGCAGCGACCAGAACGTCGGCCAGGACTGGGCCTTCACATTGAGCCGGCGGAGGTTCGAGATCAAGCCCTTCAGTCTTCCGCCCGCCGAAGGCGACAAGGAGGGCCAGGACGGCGCGGTTTCCGGCAACATGCCGAAGAAAGCGGATCTAGAGTTCTGAAGTGTTGGGTGTTTGTTTGAATGCAGACATCTTCGCGATTATTCCTCGTGTTCCGATCCTCGCATCATATCGTCCAGCTCGATCTGCTCGGACATGGCGGGCCCGGTGTTGACCATTGTGCGGAGATAGTGTCTACCGTACGAGTCGATGCCCGGTCCGGCGGGCGAGGCTGCGAAATACGATCGCAGGCGGCGGTTCCTCATGCAGGACGAAAGACCCAGCCATGCTTTACGGTCCCGTTAACAAATAATTCCGATGCAGAGAAGTGGTGAAAGTGGACATACCTAGAAGCAACAGGAGGGGAGTGAAAAATACGAAGAATAGAAGCAACAAGAAGCTCATTTTGACGCCTAATGATCCTCGTCGTTCGACAATCAATCACATCTTCTGGTCGCGGAAGAGCATCCATCAGCAATGTGCCCAGTGTATGGTGGCCCGTGCTCATTACTAATCACACATGGTCGGCTAACCGTAAGAGGAAAGGTCTCCATTGGGGCAGCTTCTTTAAGAGCTTCCATCCCACTAAATCTTTTTTCCTCAATTCTTGCTCTTCCCGCCAGAGAACAACACGGACTCTGCAACACTTTCGCAGTCTTTGCGCTGCTAACGCATAGGATGCTTATGCGTTCTGAGTAGATGGTAAGCCTCACTTTGTTTTTCTTTTTTTCCCTCCCTTTGCATGATTATATGAACTACTATAATCTGTCAATCCCCTGAAGCTCACAATAATCTCATTTAACGAGCATATGTGATTGAGAAACGTATTGAAAATGATTTGCAATGCCTATCCTGCTGTTGATTCTCTGCATCACTCCTTGAGTCTTCGAGCTAACAGCGCCTCAGTTACAACAGAGATTTACTTCCAATAAATTTTTACCTTCCCAATGGAATCAGACCCTCCCCTTCCCGTCCCGATCTCGTATATCGCGGGTAGCTACTTTCTCTTCTCCATTGATGCCGTCACGTATCTGAGACGCGAGCACCACATCTGCGGCGTGCTCACCGGCACCCTGCCGCAGATCCCCCAGCAGAATGTGTTTCTGGGGTTGCCGCTGAAGCTGATGCCCGAGGAGGCGCGGCTGCTGGTGGAGAAAGGTGTAGCTTGCATTGTAGACGAGGTAAAAGCGCAGCGCGAGGGCATGCGCGCCCTCCGTGAGGCCGACCGCCAGAAGTATCGCCGCGAGCTAGAATCCCAGGGCGCCCACGCCATGCGGCTGCAGACCAACCGCAAGGAGCAGCAGCGCGAGGAGGCGCTGAAGCGGGTAGATGCGAAGAAGACGGCCGCTAAGAAGAGGGCTGCTGCTGCTGCTGCTGCTGCTGCCGCCGTGGGTGAGGGTGAGGGTAAAAGTGCTGCTGGTACAGGGAGCGATGAGCCCGCACCCCCAGATACTGCTCCAGCTCCAGCTGAAGATACCCCAAGTACCACCACCTCCCCCTCCCGCCGCACTTCGATAACATCCACATCCACACCCACGCCCACAATCACAATCACAACCACAACCACCGCCCCCTACGGCACAACAATGGGCATCACCCCCGCCACCTCCCACCCACCACTCCCGTATTCACCTTCCACCTCAGCAGTCCTCCCCCCGCCCACAGTGCCCCCCTCCTACCCGCTCTTCGCCCACCTCCACGCAGAGGGGTACTACCTCTCGCCCGGCCTGCGCTTCGGGTGCCAGTACCTCGCGTACCCCGGCGACCCGCTGCGGTTCCACTCGCACTTCCTGGTGGTCGGGGCGGACTGGGACGAGGAGCTGGATCTGATGGCGGTCGTGGCCGGCGGACGGCTGGGCACGGGCGTTAAGAAGGGGTTTCTGATCGGCGGGGCGGCGCAGCAGAGGACGGATGAGTCAGGCCCGGGTTTGGGGCTGGGGGATGCGGGGAGTGTGCGGACGTTTAGTGTGGAGTGGGCTGGGATGTGAACTCTTGGTGTTGGTGTTGATATCGTGGAGGGTTTCCCGTCGATACTGATATGTATCGGTGTGGATGCTTATGGTGGCTTGGTTGCATGCCTGATTCCTGTGAGGCATGGAGTTAGAGCTCTGCTGCGCTGCACCGTTGCCTATCCGCTTCGAGTTGATTAATCCTCCTGGTGATGGGTGACGCACTTCTCTCGGTTAGCAGAGAGATGCGGTGCAGCGGGAATGCAGTCCAGCAGAAATGCATAGGGGCTGTTTTTGCTTAGCTGCGGCAGGGGCAGCTGGGCTTGTTGCCTGCCGGGTTGATCCTGCGCAGAGTCGTCCCGTTAGCCCCATCTGGGATGCTTAGGTGCCTGGCTCAGGTGCGTCTGGCTGAATCGAGATTGAGCTGGGTCGGCCGAGAGACAAGTTATGCTCGACCAAAGATAGTGCTCGATGTGAGCTACAATGAACATGAATGAACGAAATCAAATAATTATGATGAGAAGATAGATTCTGGTGTCGATTGATCTATTCGATGTCAAGACCTACTTCTGTAGACCTTTGCGCATGTGCATGTGCATATGCGTGTGCAACGTGCATTGTCGAGTGCTCATCGAGCCTCGTCGGAGTATAGCCCAATATAAGGTATTGCGCTGGAGTGCCCTGTCACGTGAAGCCAGCCAGCACTTCTGCGCCAGCCTAGTTGGCGGAGCGCAGTGCTTGCAGCCGGGGTGTGACTGCAGAGGCAGTAGATCGACATCCTCCTCTACCGAGTTCACGGCTGCATAGAAACGCTGAAGCTAGCCCTGTGGACACAATCTCTGTAGCCATGCTACTTCCACGGCCAGGAATCAACGAGTAAGCCAGCAGCAAGCCCGCCCTGCCCTCAATGCTCCAGCATCTCCCAGCAACCGCAGCTACACTGCACAGGCATATAATCCTTATCCTTAAACCCCGAGCACCACCAATGACCCCATAAATCCAAGCCCCCTAGTCAGAAAACAAGGGACAGTTCAAGGCCAAATCTCAAACATAGTCCACATTCCTCCACTTGAACTTCTTATTCGCGCGATCGACCGGCCGATTCTGGAACTGGCTGCCATGCAACTCGAACACGAGCTTCTTCTGTTGCTGTTGCGCTTGCCCTTCACTCTCCCCAGCCGCATCCCCAGTCCCAGCCGCATCCTTCCCCCCCGACGGAGAAGAGGAAGGTAAAGGCAACTCAAACCGAAAAACCGTATGTTCCTTCGGAATCACTACCCAAACACCAAAACGTTAGCAAACCCAACCCCCAACGCCTCTCAAGAAACCAGAACAAAAGAGAAAAACTCACGCGTCACTCGATCCCCCTCCCCCACCACCGTAAACGCAAACATCCCATCCCTTACCACAATGCCCCTCAACCCCACCCGACTCGCACACCGACTCCGCACCACCTCCACCTCAGCCCCATGATAATCACAACTCACCAATTTACTCCCATGCGAACTCGGCGTAACCACACACCCCGTCTTGCTTCGCGGGTCCTTCAAATCGAGCACCGAAAGCATATACTCCACCCACAGCGCGTTCAACCCCTTGAAGGTGGCGTATTTGTATTCCCCTGCATCCGCAGCATTACCATCACCCTTACCCTCTGGCTGGTTCTTGTTCTTGGAATGCTTCGACCGCGACCGGGAGGTAGAAGGCACCCCAAAGACCTCGGGGTGGGCGCGGCGCTCCCGCGCGGACAAGGGCCGGGGTTTCTGGTGGCGGAGGAAGTAGTCTTTGCGGCGGAGGCGGTGGAGGCGACGGCGGTGGCGGTTGTCTTCCGGGGTTGGGGAGGTCGGGCGCACGTAGAGGGGTTTCTGTTTGATGCGCTCGGTGAAGAGGGTGGTGGCTGTGTCCGGGGAGTGGGCGCGGAGGAGGAGGGTGTGCGCTATGTGTTGTTTTTTGGGGGTGGTTGTCATTTTTTATGTGGGGTGTGATATAAGTTGTGGCTTTGTGGTAAGTGTAGGAGGCTATGAGGTGGATGGAGGATGGTCGAGGGTGGGAGTGGAAGTGGAAGTGGAGGTTGTATGTCGAGGTGTGGTGAGGTGTGGTGGTGACGGTAGTTGGAGAAAAATGTTGATCGTGCTTATCGGCCATCAACCTGATAAGAGCGCTGCCTTGATGCCTTGATGTCTTGGGGATGGCGGGTGTCGACGAATTGTTGGTCCCTGGTTTCCCATGCTCGCTTAGACTGGCTTGTACATAAATCTTTGTTTGTTGCATGGCTTCTGCTTGATATTGTGGGTTGCGGAGACGTCTTCGATATGCCTCTTTCACGCAAAGTCTGGTTGCTATGGTGGTTGATCTCGCTGGTCCCCACATGATGTATACTCTTATGCAGCCAGTATACATCAAAATGCTTGAGAACATTGAGAACTCTTCATAAACCAATTCTGCTGACTCTACGATATAGTCGACTCAATGAAAGCACTCTCATATTGACAACAAGATCATACTCAACCGCAATCCGCAGTGAGCCGAGCAAACCTCACTTCACACATCATTACCAGGTATACCCTCCTCAGATGTCGCTTTAGTTTACCATGGTTTAGATATTGAGTAGACTCCTCGACCAGAAAATTTTTGATCTGCTTATAGTTTCCATCGAAGATGAAACGGGTTGGGCTATCTCACTTGCCACTCTCCCACAAACAACAAAACTAACAATGCTGCTAATCCTCCACCTTAAGACACCCTCCATTCACTATCACTCTCAACGTAGCCTGCCCTCATCAAACCCCCCTCCTCACCGTATCCCTGTGAATATACCCCCCAAAATTACCTTATCATTCCAAACACTAGCATGCCTAGGAGCAACACTGCCTCAGACCCGCCTCAAGTCCCACCCCAAAGACTCAGAATCAACAGTGGTGTTATATGCTCACCACTATATAAATTCAACCGCCTCATCGAGTCACCAGAGCAACAGTTCCTCACACTATTCCTATCATCATCCAATCACCCCTGTTGACTAGCTTCATCAAAAGACCTACCACCCCCCTCACACCAACATGGATAATCTCCTCGACTCGGACGACTTTCAGACACCGCTCAGTAGTCCCACATCATGCATATCGACACCCCCTACCTCTCCACCCAGTACTGGCAGCTCAAACCCTCTATCAGCTCGATATCAGGGTATGATCAGACTTCCTTCATGCCATGCTAAGCAATCAGCAAGCTAACAGACTCTATCAGAACGAGAATCGCCCCCGCTCTTGTCGTACACCGCGCGGTTCCAAAACCTTCTCATCGGGCTCCCATTTCGAAGCAAAAAGAGCACCTTCAATCCAGAAAGTACACCCACAAGCGTCATCGATGACATCAAAAGACGTCGAAATAACTTCCTTCGAGCAAAGAGAGACCTCATCCTTCCTCTTCTAGACAATGTTCCCGACGTACTGAGGAATCCTGAACATCACGGGCAACCAACGATCGAGCAGCAGCAACAACTGACTTCTCAGCCGAGAGGGTAAGTAAAGAATCCCTGGGCCTTGCACACCCTGATTAACCTTGCAGGTTGCGGGCAACCCTAAAACCATACCAGCTTGACGGTCTCTCGTTCCTCATGTACCTTCGACGAAACGGAATGGGTGGAATTCTAGGCGACGAGATGGGACTCGGCAAAACTTTGCAGACATTGACGCTCTTTGCACATGTCACGGAGAGTGAACGAGCGTCTTGCACCAACCCTGCGCCATTTCTGGTTGTTTGCCCTCTGAGCGTCTTGGATACTTGGATGACTGAAATGACAAAGTGGACTCCGAACCTCACTCCCGTCAAGTTTCATGGGAACCGCAATCAGAGAGCCATAGTAAAGAAGATCTTCTCGAAGAAGCAAGGCAAGGAGGGCTGCTTCAAAGAGGATGTCAGAAGTACAGTGCTAATCACCTGCTACGAGACGTTGATGACGGACATCCTCTGGTTCCGGAAGGTGGCAATCTGGAAGTATGTTGTACTCGACGAAGGCCATCGGATCAAGGACAGCAACTCCAAGCGGGCACAGGCTATGGGCAAGCTTCGTGCCGAATATAAGCTCATACTCACAGGGTTAGTGATATTGTCCATCTTGGCCTTTGCATGCTCACCAAACCTGGTATTTAGTACTCCGATTCAAAACAACTTGGGCGAAGTGTGGTCGCTGTTGCACTGGCTTTTCCCCGAAGTTTTCACACTGTCGTCGGCTAAGCTGTTCAAGGACGCATTTTCGCTGAACGAGGGCAAATCCGATGCTGCCTTCTCAACTCATATCAAGGGGTTTCTCAACCTCATCATGTTGCGACGACTGAAGGACTCTCCGCAAGTCGGAATCAATCTGCCACCCAAGCAGGTTGTCACACTCGCTGTGCCGCTTTCGAAGCTACAACACTCTCTGTATATGAAAGTGCTGACAGGACTAGACGAAGCACTCGGTGAAGTCTCGCAGCCGCCATCGATGCTGGGTACAGACAATGAAGGCTGGCCTATCGATAAATTGAATCTCGATCCTAATAAGCCAGCGGCCAAACGGAAATGGAAGATATCGGATAATGTTCTCATGGAACTACGAAAGGTAAGCATTCATTGCATCCTGCCATCCATGCAGTATACTCACGCCTGAAAGTGTGCCATTCACCCTTGGTTATTGAACAACGGCCCAGAAAATTCAGACGACCATGTTAGCACCCTCCTGTCATGCTCAGGCAAGCTTCTTGCGTTGAGCAAGTTGGTCCGCCACTTCGTCTTCACCGAAAAGAAGAAGGTCGTTATCTTTTCATGTTTCGTCAAGGCTCTTGATATTTGCGAGGAGCTCTTGGGAATCCTGCAGAGACGCGGTCTCTTCGAACATGTCAGGCTTGACGGAAGTACTTCTCGAGCTTGGCGCAGGCTCTGTGTCCATCTCTTCAACAACCTTCCCCAGTTCATGGTCTTCCTAGTATCGATTCGGGCCGGTGGCGAGGGGCTTAACATGGTCGGGTCTTCGGTGGTCATCTTTTTAGACGAAGATTGGAATCCGCAAGTAATGAGACAGGCTGAATCTCGCGTGCACCGTATAGGCCAAACGCAGCCGGTAAGGATCTTCAGGCTTATCTCCAAGGGTACCTTAGAAGAGCAGATGAGCCGCCGCCTGCTCAAGAAGTCATATCTTTCATCGAAGATCATTGAAGAGGAGCGCATCTTCGAAGCTGGAAACGGTCATGACTATACCCTGACCGGGATCGACGAGACGCCTCCGATGCGTCTCATTGCCTGCGAAGGTCTCCAAGAAAATAGCTTGGCAGATATGAGGTCGTGGAGTTTCGAATCTCTTCTTGACAGGTGCACTATCAACTCGAACACGGCCAAGGACCTCGCGAACACCCCTTCCTGGTGGGAAGTGTCGGAGCGGGTGCGCACGAATATCTTTAATGGGCAGAAGGTTGAGAAACTGTCTAGGTCCCAGTCATTTTCAAACGACGCGCCCTATTTCGCCCGCGCAGAACGTCGAATTGGCAAAGGGCGGGTCATCAAAATTGAGGGTTTCGAGGTCAGCAAGGAGAATCTGCGCATGCATATCACATCTCCAACCACACCAAAATCACCAGGGATTGGAAAACTGAAGTCCATGGCAAACGAGATCGTGAGTACAGTGGCCATCACAATTTAGAATCCTGGCTGACTGAAGTAGACATGTGGGATCTGTAAGAGGTTCGAACCTCTGGATTGCAAAACCTGTCCTCGAGCATATCACTGGGAATGTCTGCCGGATTCGATGAAGTCGCACACGAACGAGGCTCGTTTCAGTTGCCCCCATCATGTTTGCTCGGGTTGCGAGAAAAGGGCATCTGAGGCCGGTGGGCTCTTGTTCTGTTGTGCGAGGTGTCCGCTCGCATTCTGCGAAGATTGTCTCGATTGGGAAAAAGCCAAGTTCATTGGGAGTAACTATGCCCTGGAAAACCTTGGATACCACCCACACTCCTATTTCTACATTCACTGTCCCAGCTGTATTGGCGGTCGCAAGCGATCCGGCGATGAGTTCGATGGCACGATTTCAAAGCGCTTGAAATGGGGGGAATGACTGAATGTCGTTGCTGGAGGGCACCAGACCATTGAGCAAATTTGAATGGATATTTCTCATGGAATCAAGGTTTTCTGTACAAAGAGCTTCAGTGTACCCTAGAATACATGAACATGTCGACTGGGATTCCCTGTCAGTAATGAAACCAGGTACTGGAAACGGTCACCGTACGACCTGCCACAAGACCCGTACAACTGTAAATTTCACGAGGTTTGATTGCCCTGTAAGTTATACGAGCTGCAACCATACCATCCGGAAAATCACATGGCACGACACGCAGGGCGCTAGAGGGAACATGTGGCGCCTCCGGTTCCAGCAAAGTCCATGCCAACCGGGGCATATTCCACTCAGCACTCGAGCACACCCCGGTCGGTAGAGTACCGTGTAGACGCCCCAAGGATCTGCAGGTTTGTTTGCTCGGAAACAGGATCACTGAGGGGGTGAGTATGATCGGGGCTTGCATACGCCCGCCCCGTATTCGAGGTAATTGGAGACCGCTGGTTCTTGGGTAAGCAAGGCAACCGCTGCATGAATCATGCGGCAGGAAGAGCAGCGGGTGCAGGGCTGGCTCTCATTCGGTGCCAATCTGCTGGGACGGAGAATGGAGCAGTCATATTTTGTTTTTCTCGAAGGCTATGCTCGGGGATTAGTGATGCAGGGAGGGAGTAGAGTGGAGGCAGTGGAGGGTAGTCAGGTAGTGGTTGATCCCCTTGGGAAGCGGTGAGGAAAGAACGGTGGGGGTTCTTTCCTATCTGGTTTCTTACCTATTGACAGGGATTGTACTGAGTTATGATCGGTTGGTCAGGTTTGGGTCTGGTGTCAATCTATCTTGAATGTTACTTTGTATACCGTGTCTTACCATGCTTTAACAATAGATGCTCCTGTTTCATTGAGGAATTCAAACCTTGGTGGGCCATCCAATTTCTACCTTGTTCGGCTGGACGCATATTGACCCCATTGTATCGATTTCCTTGGATTTGATGACCGGCTAGACGAGAATATTACAGAGTTGATACCAATATACACTTAATCGAGTGCACATTTGTAAAGGTGCGCAAGAAAAAGCAAACCTCATCTGACTCAGACGTATACTGCCTAGTGACTACATCCAGACTGCAAGCCTAGAGCCCCCGCAAACCTCACAGTCAATGCCCTCTAAGCAGCCAATGCATGATCTTGCTAAATCCACGCGAAGATCCTCAGTAGTGCATCCATCGCCAGTCCCGCGGATCATCCACGGATCGGACCGGTCAGAGGGATACAGCCTTCCACGAGAAAGAAGCTGCACCGCCAGATGTGTCATCTCTTCGACACAAGTGATAAATCTGAGATATTGCCCAAGTATGATCACCAACAGGGTACCGCTATCTCCCACTTCTAAACGAGACTCAACCAATCAACTATCCCAAACGATCCATCATGTCAGTGGTAGCTAAGTCTTTCGTGCAGGGGGCAAGAGAATTCTTCAAGAAACCAGAGGTTACACAACTCTGTGGCCCGAACAACACCGCAATGCGACACGCCACTTGTCCTCGCTTCTCATCCTTCTCGGTCTCACTCTGTTTCGGGCGTCCTGCTCCTGCTCCTACTCCGTTCCCGTTCCCGAATCCCAACTTGCTCCGCCCGGACACGACCGACCCCTCTGCTACCAGCCCAAAGAAGCGGCAGGATTCGAGCAGGCGGCACTCCGGGATCCAGGTTCCACGGACGCCACTGTCGCCTGTTGGCACTCGTTAAGCTTTGACTGGATACGAACCGTCGGGAGGCCGATCCGGCGGGCTGTCACTGCTGAAGTAGTTTGGTGCTTGGGTGTCTTTGCGGGAGTATTGCTGAATCCGGGAGTGCAGAGCGGGGACACTGTTTCTTATTTGGTGTACTTGTCCTCAATAGGTGTAGCAGTGGGCAGCGAAGAGGCCTACAGTATCAAGCACTGGGCGATACCGACCATGTAGTTCCGAATCAGCTCACCCAAGCTCACCAGAGGACTACAAGGACAAAGCACAAACTACCTTTGGAGTCTACATCTCCCGCCCGAGCAATCTACTTATGCAGCTAAAGTTGTCTTTCGACCCAAATGTCACCACTCAACCAGTGACAACCCATCTCTTGGTAGACACAACCCCCCTTATCGGAGAATAATTACCAGGAACCGACTTCCCCGAGCCACATGCGTTTGCTCCCCGGTTCAAAGCAGCAGACTCGGGACAGAACTTTGAATTGACTACATAAAAGACCCAAATATAGACCCTAGTTGCAGCCCACCAGAGGAAACCTTCAGCTACTGACGTGTAGTCACCCATCAGACCACCACCACCGGTCCACGAGTATCTAAGCACCTGGTATGAGTACATCGCCTTCAACCCAAGTATCAACCAGAGAAAAAAGCCATTAACCCTCATCCCAAGAACCAGGGAACTCACCCACCCAATGGACTTATCTTCTTCAATGAAAACCCCGTTTCACCATCATATAGCAGGTAACTATAGCAGACAACGCCACAAGCCCAATCCACCTTCCCTCACACCAATCCAACTCCCAGAGCCCCTCAACCTGCCACGTCTACATTCTCAGTATGTACAGTACCATACTATGTCGTAACCTGGTACAAGTGGCATGAGGTGCCCGGCACTGGCAGTGCAGTCATACCTCAGCTCATACCCCATTGAGATCTTGGCACGTCAGACGCGGGGAACCCGGTTTCGGTATCCACCGCCATAAGAATCAATGATCCTCGATTCCAGGTTTCTTCAATTGCAGTGTACATGTACTGTACTGTACCACCTTAGGTAACTACATACTGCTTACTGCATAATCCCTTTTCAGGGTCGATGATGATGATGATGATGATGATGATGTAGTTCCCAACTCGCCAAGAAAGTCGACGTCAACCCCTCCAGGCTGTACAGGTAGGTAATGATCTCGAGGTCAGCCGAGTACTGAATACAGATTAATGAACAAGGTAATGCCTAGGTCTCAACACCATCGCAGTTTTGTATAGGCATATGAATACAGTGTATATTAAATACTCGAACACAAACAAACCTCGACACCTCCCCCCCCTCTTCCCCCCCGGAGAACGTGGCGTAAATGCGCTGGCAGGGCGCAACCTCCCCCTCTCCTACACGCAACCCTCCAGCAACCAACGATCCTACCTCAAGAAACGCAAGAAGCAAAAACAACAGTATTTACCTACCCCGTAACTACCACCACCACCACCAACACCATCACCGGCAGCAACTCCTAGCCTAGGCATGACTATACAGTGAATGCAAATTACCCTCCACCGAACATCAACCCCCGAACCCCAAAACCCCAAACTTACTTACGGAGGACTCCAAATTGGAAATCTGCATTACGGTAAACGTACTCATAGATCCATGAAAAGAAATTGATCCGTGCGCGCCGGCGGGTTGGGTTCTAGTCTAGCTTTTAGGTAACTTAACTAGTCTACCGTTCTTCAACCCCTCGGCTCCCCGTTCTAACCCCCGTCCTAGAGTTCCGGCCGAGTGCAGGGACGTTGGACGGAGTTTTGTCGGAGATTTTCGATATGGCCCAAAATAAATTGATCCAAGTTAATGGTCGATGTCTCTGAGTGAAATTCATATATCTCTGGAGGAGGGTTGAGGGATTAGGGAGGCAAGCGGCGTTAGAGGATTACGATACTAACTACCAGATGCTAGACATATAATGTACGGTATTATTTAGCCAGGTTTGTGACAGTGACAGGGTCTTGGTTGCATGATTTCTATCTGACTGCACCATGTGGTTTCGGATGATTCGGGACTTGCTACCTGCTTATCAGGTTGTATCTACCCTGGAGGTCTATGTTCTGTATGTACAGGTATACTGACTTGAATGCAAACGGCTGCGTAGTCACCACGCAGTTTCACAATCACTTGATGCGATAGCTCCAGCATTACAATGTAAAGAGAACACCCCCTTTCACTGACCGAGGCATGGGATGACACGTTCATCAAACCGCCGGGAACTGAATCCAACCCAGCGGGGCCCAGTGGAGCCCTCTCTAATCATTACTCAGCGTGCCCCCGATTCTAGACTGGGTGGCCTCAATATACGATTTAGATTACATCCAAGGACAGATGCAGTTTCTTCCAGCCTGGCTCGATCATTGGCTCGACTTTCTCCATCTTCAACACCATTGCGGGTCCTGTCAATCATCGCCGTGGCACACACTTTATTTAGGTTTGATTGCAGCAGCCCGCGGTTGTGGTTAGACCCTCCGTCACTCCATCACTCTAGTCCGGCTTCGGCTAACGCTCTAACATGCAGTTTCTCGATTGCGGATCACACCTGACTCGCCATCTGAACCTTTAGAAATGAATTTGAGTCTAGAAGCACGTAATGCCTCGGCCAAAAAGGGTATCTTGAAGAGGGAAATTGCCAGGACCTAATTTCGTGGCGAGTCCGGCGATGTAACATCGTGGGTTTGGTTCATTGCTGCAGAATTACCATCGTAAGCGCATATCCACAGGCTTTGCACAGGGGGCAAATAATCCTGATGGAGGCGTCAAGATGCACAAATTACTACCAATGATGGGCTGAACAGGCTCTGGTGAGGGAAAAAGAGAGAACTCGTTGAGCATTTTACTAGGGCCGTGAATCGTGGGGTGAATTAACAATGATCGTTTCAACATTCCATTGATCCCGTGCTCACTATCTTCACATGCGCCAATCGTTCTTCGACTCGTTTCGATATCTCAGGGTCGGGTTCTGGCCTTTCTCTACGTTTCCTGCAATGAACGGATCAACACGTGCTTGCTTATGAGCAACCGCTTCAGTAACTTACGGATCTCGTATGGTCTCGTCACATTTCTCTTGCCCGCAATGGGAGCAAATGGTTTCTCGCGGTTGTAGTAGGTTGTTGCAGCGGTGACAGTAGTATCGAACCCGTTGTCGGGGCTTCTTCCATGTCCGCGCAGGTAGTTCCGAGGGAGGCTCAGCGTCTCCGGGATAACCATTCGGGTACTTGTTAAGCTTCG